TCAAATAAGTCTATCTTTGCATTGGTCTGAATGTTTGTATTACTAGGATTATCATATACATGAGTGGTATTTGGTGAGTCATTCAAGTTTATTTTCCTTTTGTGTTTAAATTTCTAGTTTTTTACTTGTTTTCTTATTTCTTTCATCGGATTAGTGAAACAAAAATCAAACTTTTTATTGATGTGTGATGCGCTTTGCTCAACTATGTCTTTCAGTGGTACTAAGTTCTTATATTTGTTTTCACTTAGATGTTTTTTCTTAATAATGAACTTTGATGATATTAATGCTGATTTTGTGACTACAACTAGGACAATAGTTGAACTGGAAACAATTCATTTTAATGCTTTTTCGAAAATGGAAAACTTGGAAGTGGAAGTTCTTCGAGTAGTCAAAACCAAAGTGGTGGATCCTTTTGGCTTTATCTGGTCATTGACAAAATGTGAGCCAATTGTATGACAACCTCTTTTTCCATCTCTATTCTTGGAATGTCAAACAATGGTATGTCCACTTCTCTTTTCCAGTTTTAAAATATGAAATATCATGGTAGATCGCAAATCAAAATTATGTAGGACATGAATATAAAGATATTTCAAACGATTCGCAACAGAACATGTTAAAATCGTGTGAATCTTTTATTGTTGTTTTAATTAAAACATATATATGTGTATGTGACTTTTTATTATTTCTCATCCAATTTCTAATATGTGTATCAAATATTATATGTGACTTACTCTCTTATTTGTTTTCTTACAATCATCAAATTTTCATAAAATCAATTCTCAGAGCATTCAGTTATAATAAATATCTTAGTTACATACTAAATGTGGAAATGGTTGATACATTTTAAGAGTTTCAAAAAGATAAATATAGTTTTCAACTATTAACAATAAATTTAATTTAATCCCAATTTTACTCAACAATAAATTTAATTTCATCCCAATAGATAGAAAATAGCTTATCTAGTTGAAAATTGTTCTTATTAAGAGATGAATGAAATATATGATGAAAAATTATTTATTCATCTCATTTTTATTCATTTTACCATCGTACATCCAATCAACTCGTTTATTTTATTAACAATCATTTGCAGCTTAAATGATGTAACTAATCTAAAAAAGTTTCAAAGCATTTTGTTTTTTTTATTCATTTCTTATGCATCAGATCTTTTCATTGAAGAGACTTCTTATCTAATATGGTATATAAAATTTTTGTGACTTGTTATGTCATAGTCAACATCGAAATGAAGAAAAAAAAACTAAAACTTATGTACAAAAATAATAATCTCAAAGTATTCTATTCTCATAAATCTCTTTGTGAAATACTAAGGGTCCAAATAGTTGATACATGTTAGGAGGTTAAAAGAGATAAATCTAGTTGAAAACTATATTCTTTGAGAAATTCACAATTTATAGTGAATTTATTTTCATCCCGATTTTAATCCACATAATTGAAAAAAAAAAATTTTGTTTTAGTTAACAATTGTTCATCAACTAAATAAGAGATGAACGATGAAATTTGTTTTATTCATCTTATTTTTACTATACAACTTATTTTTGTTAATTGGACCATTATTTTATATATAGGTTAGTTTATACTTATAAAAATAAGTATAAGTTAGTTTATAGAGAAAAGGATGAATAACAAAAAATTGAAGACGATGTATTAGTTTATAGAGAAAAAGAAATAAATAATATGAATTAGTTCATACCTAAGTTAGATAAATAATAATAATAATATATTAGACAAAACATTACCTTGTCAAGTGAATACCAAAGACGATATTAATCATAATTCAAGAAAAGTGTATCGTGAAGATTCATCCACTTCATAGTTTCGGAGTCCGACCACAAATTTAGAAGGTCCAGGTAAATCAGAGCTTTTCTAACTCCACCTCTTTGGAATATTGGATTGTATTGATGGCAGCACTTAGGTTAGGATTTTCGACTATTATCCCAGTACTAATAAATAAATAAAACAATTGTGTCAACGAATTAGTAAGTTTCACAAAATAAACAAAAATTGTACAAAACAAATGAGTCAACAAATATAATAATTTCCATAAATTAAACAAATGCTAAATCCAGATTTACTTGGGAAAATCTGTTGCGGTATTGAAGACTGCGGTGAAGTCCGATGATATCATGAGTTCGACTTGTGGATTAACCAGGTTGCTAGCACGAAGACGACTTCCAATCTAAGTTGCCTTAAATTTTTTTTGTAAAAGGCAACACCTTCAAAAAATCTTTGAAAGTTCATCGTGAACTCATGTTTCACAAGCCCATCCATCCTATATGAAAATTGTTGGAAGAGCCCATTAAATTCATTTTAAAGAATGTGTATATTGTATGGGAGAAAAAAATATAGCAAACGATACAAATATGTAAGAAAAACTCTAGAACAAATGATTGAACGATGAACAATGTGTATATGCTAGGTTTGTTCTAGTTAAAAATTGTTCATCCTTTAAATATGAGATGAACGACGAAAAATTGTTTATTCATCTCATTTTTATGATTCAACACATTTTTATTAATTTAACCTCTATTCATCATATTCAACTCATTTTATTTTATTAACAAGCATTTGCGGCCTAAGTAAGCTAAGTAATCTTAGAAAATTCTCAAAGTATTTTGTTGTTTATTCATTTCTAATATTTCTTCTAAAATTTTTTTTGTCAACGTTAATTATATTAAAACTAACTTACGATTACAACAACCAAAACGAATCCGGAAACTCCTTGCCAAAGAGATCACTTGTCGAATGTTCGAAACGGAAACACACTTGAAATACAAAGCTTGAAAACAATAAGATAATAACCAGAAAATAAGATGTCTTATACGTTATTTAGAAGGTTAATTCTGAAATAGAAGGTCAATTCTGAAATAAGAGATGTCTTATGTATATAAAAAAGTTATACGTTATTTAGTCTCTTATTTATTTTGATGCTATCATGGTTGAAATTAAAGAAGATAAAGGTTTTTTATAAAAAGAAAACAAATATCAAAGCATTCGGTTCTCATAAGTATATTAGTAACATACTAAGACTCTAAGAGAAAGAAAGTGAGATAGGTAATCTGAGAAAACTTTCAAAGCATTTTGTTATTTATTCATTTCTTATCTTTCAGAATCATATGAATGCAATGTTTATTCATTAATAAAATGAAATTAACACCATTTGAATAGTTGATATATTTATAATTAGCGAGTTTGTTATTGATCTTATGGTCTATTTTTTGTTAGATGGGCACACATTTGGAAAACAATAAGTACCGGTTTATTCAGTCTATAGAATTTCAACAACATCGGTTTACCTGACCCTACCCTCAACACTGCCCATCTTTGAACTCTTCGTGGACAGTGTACTCGTAATAGTAATCAAAGTTCCCTGGATTTTGATATGTGCATGCTCACGAATTTTGACAACAAATACTATGTGAACTTCGGTGAGTGAAAAGTTCTTATCTAGAGTGAGTAAGAGTTGTTCTCTAGCCTCTATGTCATAGACATAATTAATCCCTTTAGTGAGATCATATGCTAATAGCACACAAACATTCTTCAATGCGTTTATGGAGACGATGAATATGATAGGAAACATTACACTTCTTACAAGATCTTAAAGACAAATCGCATTGAATTTTAGGGTGGTGATCAATTCTAACTCCCTATTTCTTGATGTGGTTAAAATTGTTGACTTTCTTAGCTCTATATGAGTCATTTCATTTGGATCTTTAGACTGAATAGTTGTTTTTCTTTTCTTATGTTTTCTTGGCTTTTTGAGCTTAATGGGATTACGTACATGGGCTTTTTTGCGCTAAGGGCAGTCGAATTTGATAACTATTTGTTAATCTGATTAGGCTTCGAATTCTTGTGGACTTTTCTCTTGAGTTGGATTAATGTGTGAAATCTACCAACACTAACACATGTACACGCACTATTCAACCATCAGCCTTTAGGGGTTTCTGGGAGATGCCTTAAAATCATCATTGCTATCGGGTCTTGCATTAAAGAGCATTTTACATGAAAAAAAATGTTTACACTTTACACCAAGTAAAGAAAGCTTAAAACACTTAGAACCTGCGTGGTTCTCTTCATGTTTTGGTGCAATCAAAACTAGCATATCGAGGGTTTCATGTGTTTTTTCTCCTTTATAACATATGTCACAAGTTTATTCATGGTAAACTATTATGTCACAAACTTTTAACGAAATAACGATGCATTTCACACGTATGATAATAAATGAAAAATCTACTACTAATCTATCTGGTATGGTCTCAACAGATCAATTATCATATTATTAAAAATATTTTTTTTGTCTAAGTTATTGGCGGTTTGGGCCAAATTTTCGCTAAATATTGGCGGTCTAAGTAATTTTAGTTTCCGCTCTGCTATTATAGGGTTTAGCGTTTCTAAAATGCTATAGTATCGTTATAAAAATCCGAGTATCATTTTTAATAGCATTAACGAAATCCGTGCTATTATGTTGTGCTATCAATGTCCACTTTTTTTGTAGTGGATATATCTTTGTCGTATTTTCATCAGTATGAATTATATGGGTTGGTTGGATGGCTGTAAAAAAATATTATCTAATTTCTACAATCCAGGTGATCTTTCTATCAATTTCCCTCTGTTTTTGGAACGAATAAATACTTTGACAAAGAGATTCGTCTCTAGTCCCGACAAGATTTTGAGAACTTGAGAACATAATTCTTTTATTAAATACATCACACAATAAAAATACCAAACAAATATTTCATTTTTAAAAATAAAGTATATAACATAATTTCAATCTCACACATAAATAAGATACAATTCATAGTTTCATTCTCACACCTAAATATAAGATACAATTTATTAGTGTTTTAGTTTGAAACATAAATTCGGTTGAAAGCAACAATATAAGTCTCCCCAAAGTTTTTTTCGTTGAACAGGATCAAAATCTCATCAGAATGCTAAAACCGAAGGATGATGACAACGATGAGCACCACGCGGGAAGACGTCCACAAGATATCGTACATTTCTTGTTTCTCAAGCAAGCACACAAAACATTAAAATATGAATAAAAACACCATGAAATCGAAGCTGGGAATTTGGGAAAGATCACCAGTTGAAGCTAATTGCCTCAAAATGAAGGTTTTTAGCCAAGCCAGAGGCACAGATCCTTGCGACCTCATGCCTCATTTTTCTTGGTCCACACACCATTACTCCCACGTCTTCTGAACCTTCTGCCTCAAACAGTATCTCTGCGAAAACGATATCGTTTTGGGTTAAGTTTTACTATTTAATCTGTGTCGTGCATGTGATAGAAGATTACTTACTCTTTAGATTAGGTTTAGAGCCGAAGTGAACATTAGTGGCCTGTACTATAGACTGATACGGGACACTCTCCAGCTCTCTCTCCGTGCTGCCACCAAACCACGAGGATGGAGAAGATGTAGGCGTCTGAAAGTCTACGACGTTCTGTATCTGCTTTTTCGAATCATGATGTGCATTGTTGTTTTGTTTCTTGCGCCATAAGAAAACCCCACTGGAAGCAATGAAAATGCAGACACATCCAAGAAACATGTCCCAAAGTGATCTATAAGTAAAGTTGTAGATGCTTCCTGTGTTACGGTCAATAGGGTAGATATAATAGCGAGTGACGATCGCTGTGAGGATTAGAAACATTGCAAATGATGATAAGATCACAACGCCAAGCCATAGGAAGTTGTTGGTTCCAAGAACAGGTGAGATAGGTGAGTCTTGATGGTTTGGTTTGAACCATTTCGTCTTCAAATGATTGCCATCATCGGATATTGTTGTTTTCGACTGCTCGTTATCCCTTGTTACATAAGCTTCGATTCGAAGTTTCAACTTGGAAATGTCTGAGACTGATATGCCTGTAGGAGGGAAGATTAGGTCTAAAAGGGAAAGATCTTGGTGATGTTTGAAGGAGCAAACAAGAAGAAGATCTGGTAGTTTCGTGCTCGGGTTTTGACTCTGGAAAATGATTTCTCTGATGACTGAAATGAAAGGCGCGATTCCGCTTCCGCCACTCACTAGTATTAGAGAGTCATGTCTTAAGAAATCGAAGGAGGTAGGGCCATAAGGTCCTTCAGTCGAGACTTCGACAGAATCGGTAGAAGAAGAAGAGATGTGGTTGTAGAGCTTTTGAGTCCAAGTTCCTTGTCTTCTGATGACAACGCTTAGTTTGTCTTCCTCTAAATTGCTGCTTGAGGTTATTGAAAAGGGATGCCATTGGAGCTTGGAAATGCTTGGCACATGTATAAATAGTATACTTGTTGGGTTATAATGAAGCCCTGCAATGGTCAGCATGATCACAATTGGTTATACATACTTACATTTATTCAAGACTTAATTAAAAAATGAATAAAAAAGATGTTTGTTTGTTCAAAAAAAAAAAAAGTTTGTCGATGGAACTACACCGAAAGTTAGGGGTGTAGGGCCATAATGAGCTAACTATAAAAACCTCTCATCATTATGTAGAATTCATGAGTTATCTCAGTTTTCCTTGAACTCATGCACCCACTATAAAAGTATCAAATCATCCTATAAACACAGCTCCTGTACGTACTAACTTATTGTGACATCCTCTGAGTTAGAGTCTTAATTTTTAGAGCCCTAAAAAAGAGGTCAGTGATGTCTAGTGGTTTCAAAAGATTAAATATATACATAAAGATTAACAATCCATTATGGTTTTATTTTCAAACTTTTAGCATATTTTGGGAAGAGTCAACTGAGACGGAGTAATCCACTTTGACATGCATCTCTATTTTTTTCACTTTTTTTTCTGGTTTTAATGTTGAGAAAAAACAATAGTTGATAATTTTTTTTTCTTTTCACTTTGACATCTCATGAGAAGGTTTCAACTTTCAAGAGTAAGGGAACTAATACAGATTATATAGGGTCATAAGTTACTAATTTATTGTCATTTAATTTTATGACAAAATCACATGAATTTTCACAATTTAAACCGATGAAGGAACAAGAGACCAAAAAATAAAAATAAAAGGTATGGAATCAATAGAGGATACGTAGTGTGACAAACCTGGGATTTTGGAGAAAGTGAGTTCGAGGTTATCAGAAGGTAAGAGCCGAGCACAGACAAGCCTTGATCGTTTCGTTGACTGTAGGAATCTCAAGTAGCGATCGATGAAGAAGAGAAAGATGTTGGGCAGGATCATGCAGAACCACGAGTCTCCCACGTGGAACACGTAGAAGATTATGTAGAGACCATAAAGATGGTGAGTGTAGAAGAAAATTTCAAACTTCTTTCGCCTGAAGTAAGGTAAGCTCGTCACCCAAATAGCTATACCGATAGCCATTGCTATCACTCCGGCTAAATTCGGCACATAAGTCTTGTTCCATTCAAACGTCTTCCCGTACAAATAGATTAAAAAAAACATATATAAGAGCTGGTATATTATTGCAAGAGAAAAAAAAGATAGATATATTAGACATGAAATCATAAATCCCAAATTCTAAACCCTATTTAGAACATTATTTATCTAGATTTATTCCGAGATAAACAAGATGTCTATAAGAAAACGGTTAAGATGTAACGGACCTCGATCAACTTTCCGACCATGGCCCAATAGATAAGGAAAACAATGGTGTGAAGGAGGAAGAGGAAATTGGATATATGTCCGAGCCAAATGTGATATTTGATGCTTGACTCCGAAGTAAGCCCGACAAGTGGCAGAATCGTTGAGGCTCTTGTGACTGGGAAAAACAGAAAGGCCCAACATATGTGTCCCACATACCCTGCTCTCAATCCAAAAGCCCTAAACTTCGCCTGCCATCTGCATCATTTAGATTTAATTTTTTATCCATTAGGTTTTGTCAATGTCATTTGTAGGTGGAAATGAATGAATTTACATTTTAGCGTTGTCGTGGTTGTGAAGTTTGACGTTGTAGCTAATGTAGAGGTAATTGGCGAGAGCCCAAGTCAAAAGAGCCACAAACAGAATAGAAAAAGCCAAGTCTGTTGCGGTTACTATCCCCAATGGGTTCATCACCATCATCACCCTCCCCATCCCTCCTTTTACCTTCCATTTACTGCAAAATATGAAATTACATTACACACATATTATTGCCCATATTACATATATAACTTGTTTCTATATGTAGCATATACGCTTTCAAATCGGTAAAGTCCCTTCTAAAGAAAAAAACATATCCTTCTAGTATACATGAGGGTAAATTTTAGAGTAGTCAAATACAAATATATAGTGAGTAGTGAGATTTAATCTATGATCTATATCAAATGGACAAAATCACTAGATTCCAACCAAGTGGTTAATATATAGTACCCTAACCTTCCGGAACGTTCAATATCAGTTTCTTTCTTCTGAATATGCAAATAGACACAGCTCAGAACCGCAATGAACATCATTGGAATTGTAAGGAGCACAAGATTCGTGCCTACAAATACATGAAATGACAAGTAAAAACGACATTCTTGAAAATTGCAAGAGAATAAGTTCAAGAAAATAAAGGAAAGAGGAGAAAAATCAAAATCAACCAACCTTGAGGGCCAAAATAAGTAGTGTTAAAATACTTAGCAAGTTTTGGAGTCCAATTGTACTTGTAAACCTTAGTCGAAATCATTATCCACATAAAGAGCCATCCAACAAATACAAACGCAAGTATCATCTTCAGCATGTTCCTTATATTTCCCATGTTTTCGTAAATTAGTGTATATGTATATGCCGTATAGATGGGTGATTGTGTTTGAGTATGAATGATCTTTTAGGTATTGTTGGAGAAACTGGATTTCTTGATTGGGTATTTATAGAGGGTTGTGTGTGGTCGTTTAAATATGTACATATATGCAAATTGCAACATAATTGCATCATAATAGATAGAATGAGAGAAAGTTGAGAAATTCTACCCGAAAAAAGAGGCATGATTCATGCATGCACAAAATTTTGGTAATTTCTTTTTACCTTTGGTAACCGGATAGATTTTTTTTTTTTTTTTTGTCAACCGCTTTAATTAGTATTCAAAAGAGTCATTCATAAGGAATGTTGTTTACATATGTGATATGATGCGGTTCGGTACGAATTTTTCGTGCCAAATTATCCGCTTTTACATTTGCACTACGAGAAATTAAAGATAAAGAAAAATTTGAGAATTCTTCCTTGTCGCTCTGTAACTCCTCCAAATACACTGAAAATGCCGGCCATTCGGTTGGAGAAGACACCATCTTCACCAGGTCTGAACAGTCTGTGAAAAAGCTACATCTTGGTTGTCGGTAACCGGATAGATCCTTATTAAAAAAAAAAACCGTACCATTATCTAAAAAGGGAAATTGGGTATTTTTGTCACCAAAGAGAAAAATATTTGATGGGATTTGAACTTTGGCCTAGATTCACTCCATTCACAACCTGAGCAATTAGTTTTTGGTTTAAATTTACTTTTTGTCATATTAGATCTTCTTAGCAACATAATGTATGTAGTTTACCAAAGAAAAAAAAAATATATGTGGATTCCAATCAAATGACAAATCAACGACACTAACACAAACCATTCTACTACATGTCTTTGTCAATTTTGGTATGGTTTTATCCCAATATACTTTCTTAGTACTTGATAATTATTGGAGATCATGGACAACCCACAATAAATGGAAAATATTTAACTATGCATGCTATAATATGACCAAAAGATATGCGGTTCAATTGAACATTCTAGAACCAAAATATTTCCATTTATCATCTACAATCACATATTCTAGTATTCAATCTCCAAGATTGGTATAAGATCTAGATACTTGTTCTATATTAGAGTAGAGGCATAAGTTGTAGTACGTTACTGTGGTACGTTACTGTGGTACGTTACGTACACGTACTACCATTAACGGCTATTGAATTTAGTACGTCTAACAAAACTAATTCTTTGCCGGTGTCGTACTCGTAATAGCACTAAACTACTAATCAATATTGTCTTTAGATTTTCCCGATTAAGAAATATACTCATCAACCATGCACCTTCAAATACTACATCAAGATTCTTAAATTAAATGACGTCGTGAAGAAAAAATTCACGCTCGATGCTATTCTTTAACTTGAAGAGAATTTGATCAAAATATTTAAAGACGTAAATAATAATTAAGTCTTAGATTTTTCCCCTTTGTTTTTTTTTTTTGTCAAGAGTCTCATATATTTTCCAAATCAATTTGAGAATTCCGGTCAGAGCTCTAGTTTTGTGTTAAGTTTCATGGGCTTCCAACTCAAAACCAATTGGCAATGAGCAGATTGGCCAAAGTCCCTTATATACTACTCAAGTCCCTTCCTATCTTTCCAATGTGGGATCTTTCTCCACACGCCTCCTCGAGATAATGGCTCTTCTAGCCATTAATCTCGACAGAATCCATCACGCTCCATCGAGATAATGCTCTTCTAGCTATCTCGACAGAATTGAACCTTCCTTTGGGCCATCAATTAGTGGGGGTGATCGGACCACTTTCTGGGCCGGATTAATGGGTCAGCATATGGATCGGGCTCTGATACCATGTTAAGTTTCATGGGCTTCCAATTCAAAACCAATTTGCAATGAGTGGATTGGCCCAAGTCCCATATATACTACTCCAGTCCCTTCCCATCTATCCAATGTGGGATATTTCTCCACATTTTGCTTTTGTTTTTTTTCTCCCTAAATACAACGAATAGTTCTCCTCTTTTTATTTTTATTTTTATTTTGTTTTTAACAGTAAGAAACAAATATCTGAACCACATCAATTGGTTACAATTATTAAAAAAAAAGTAGATATATCTATCTAATCGAAATGGTAGAGTTGACCTTTGATATGCATTTAATTTGTACATGGAAGTACAGTTGACTTTCCGAATCAGAAACCGAAGTACTGTTGACTTTATAAATTGAACGAGTGGCACAGTAGTACGAGATAAAGTACAAATGTACAACTAACTTTGTCATAGGTGAATAATTTTTTTAAAAGAATAGTTATCTATATCTACTTGAATCATATTTAATTGATTCAAACAACTACATATATTTTTAGGTTTTTTTGCCTACTCAAATTTATATATCAATATGTTTAAATGTCGTTTTGTTTTAACGAAGCAACACGTGTATAGTAAACCAAGTTTCAAAGTTTCGTGTAATTTTAGGATGAGTTTAAAAAATGATATACTGAGCTGATTAATTATTTGTTGGGGCTCTGAATGTATTTTTCAACTCGAATTAGACTTAGGATTGTATATTATTTTAGAGCTTAATTTTGTAACATACTGTACCTTCTAAGTTTTACCATAAATTATAGTAACTATGGGGGTTTTTCGTTAAATGCAATAATTACAATTTCAAATTCAATATTTCTCACTTATTTATAATGCTGATCTCTGTCATGCAGCAACCACCGTCATCGTAAACATTTATTTCAGTAAATTATAATGGTAGAATTATAGGGAGAGAAACAAGACCGAGGAAAGATTCTAACCAGGAAACATCAACTATCCTGTTTATTTTCTATGGACAACCATTAAATCGGTCTGACAAATAATTAGGGATCAAAATCAAATTAGTAAAGGCCCATTGGAAAACGGGAACACGATCGAGGTTCGTTGGATAAATACTAGCCTAGGGTTCTTCGGTTGTCAGGATGGTTTTTCCGTTTCCTTGTATTCCAAGCTAGCGTTAGACCTCCACACGTTGTTTGTTCTCCGCTTCTTTTAAATGCCACGGTGGTTCTTGCGGCGATTAAGGTACTGTGTTTCTTCTCTCTCTCCCAAACCCTCTAAGTAGTCATTTGCGTCGCCCATTCCTCTTTTTTTTTTCCTCCTATCAGATGTAAAATATTTTCATAAGTAAAAAAAAAAAGGATTTTAAAGCGTTCATTTTTTTATTTTGAAAGAAAACATTCTTTATGAAAGAAATGGAAGCAAAACAAAGTTTAGCATTTTATTTTATTATATAAAATTGAGTTTTCAAATTAAAGTTGCTAATGTGATCGCGACATGTGTTAAATAAAACATAAACTATCGTCACATGTCAAATTTAAATTTGTTAATATATTTAAAAATAGAAATATATAAAACTTGAGTGAAGAGTAGACCTAGGCAATCGGGATAATCAGATCAATTTCTTGTAATGTTTTTTACTTCGCTGAATTTTCTGTTTAGAATTCCATCGAACTAAACTAAATAAAGTATTTGGTTTAGATGGGGTATATAATAGACCATTGCAAAGTGAAAACTGAAGTTTAATTTCAGTTCAGTTTAAAAACTTCACAAAGCTAGTTTCAAAATATTTTGTTCGATTTTCTTATAAATCTTAACAATGTGGGCCCATTCCCAAAAATAATTACAAGCCCAATCAACAAGATTCAAGATGAGATCCTCATGACAACAACTGATGACAATGACTTTGTTTTAGATCATCTCCCCAATTTGAACTATTCGACACTGTATTTTGATTTTGCGCTTCTAAAATCGAAAATCTCTTTGTTTTCTGATCACCTCCCGTCTCTATCTACCAAAACAATCGAAAATGTGACTCTATCTACCAAAATATTTGGAAATATTTCAAAAAACAAGTAGGCATACATCGCACCAAAACTTCACGCCTTTCTTTATTTCTAATGACAGATGTCGTAACTCCTAACAATCCAACGATTATTACATCCCTATATAATCCGCTTCATTTGCATATTTATTCTCCCCTAGAATATGTTCACATTTATCTGATTTTTATAATTTCATCTAATTTCCTATATGTTTATAAAATGATATGTGACATAATCTCTTATTTGTTATATATATATATATATATATATATATATATATATATATATAACAATCGCAGTTCTCATAAATCTCTTAGTGACATACTAAGTGATGTAAGTAATCTACGGAAGGTTACATACGAGTATTTTTCAGCTCGAGCGTATCAATGCAATATTGCAGGGAGTTCAATTAGTTTTTCATCAATCTTAAGGTTACATATGACTATTTCTTTCGTTTACCAATTGAATAAGAAGATGAAAGAAAAGTATGATATACATTCAAACAGTCTCTTTTTCCATTACTTGTAATCCAAAGAGATGGCACAACCTCAAAAATGAACGTATGTAGTTTTTTTTTTTTTCTTTGTTTGCTATCGTAAATAGTTTTTTACTTTCATTTTTTTTGCTTAGCCTTTTACTTTTTTTTTTCACTCTTCACTTGTCTTTTTCTCGAATTTAGCTGTACAGTCTCGTTTCCGAAGTCTTTTTATTCATAGAAACGGAATGCTAAAAACGAATAAATATATGATCGCTCGACCTTGTAGATATTCTTTAGGCAAATGTTTTTCTTTCTTTATCTTCTTTACGAGTGATAAATGTTCAATGTTAACTGATTGTGAAATTTTTTATATATGCACAAAATTATCAATTGTAGCCTCCTAATCTAACAAACATACGATGATACTGATTCTGGGAACTACGTAAACTGTTCTCCAAACATTAGAAGAAAAAATCATAGTACAATAAGATCAACCACACTTTATATAAATTACAACTTGTGGTCAACATTATATGTATTGTACTTGAAGAACAATTGAGCTTCCACAAACACCTTAATTCCAACAAAAACATGATTTTCAAATTCGTCAAAGATAAATATCAACAATCCATTTCCTCCAAAGCTCTGTAAATTAAATAGATAACTTAAGAACGTCGATTTGAGATACCAAGTGAGATATATACCATATATTAAATGAATCTCGTTGCCATATTTGCATGCAGATCCCAAATTTTCTGAAAACGACTTCAGGTTTTTCGATCTTCATCTCTCAATTCTCATATCATCAGTTTCTTAAAAAGTTGTGAACACAAAAAATGATTTTTTTTTTACTACAATCATATAATTGATGGCGAAAAACAACTTAAAATCATCAAAGTAGTGGTCTAATGGTTCTCATTTGATGAAAAGTTGTCACGTCTAAATCATAGATCAATTCCCTTCAAAACTAAAGATAAATAGGATGCAAATATTACCTGAAGAAAAAATATCAATGGTAGAGAATTTAAGAGTTACATAAGAAGTGAGCAAGAGAGCGCCAATATTAGAGATCCTGAAACCGTGAAAGTATTAATTAAATGAGAGTGAGTGGTTTACGTAAACCAGAATCGTTAGATTTAATTGATGTAAACCGAGTCAAAGCCTCTATGTAAAGGAGAGTCTTAGAACATGTGCTTTTCTATGGACAAACAAATTAAGTCGGTGTGACAAATAATTAGGGATCAAAATCAAATTAGTAAAAGGCCCATTGGAAAACGGGAACACGAGTTTCGTTGGATAAATAGTAGCCTAGGGTTCTTCGGTTGTCACGAGGATTTTCCGTTTCCTTGTATTTCAAGCTAGCGTTAGACCTCCACAAGTCGTTCGTTGTTCTCCGCTTCTTATTAACGTCGCGGCGGTTCTTGTGGCGATTGAGGTACTGTGTTTCTTATCTCTCTTCCAAACCCTAAGTAGTCGTTCGCGTCACCCATTCCTCTTCTTTTTTTTCCTATCGAATCTCTTTCTCTCATAGCCAAAACTACATTGGCGTTAACCAACCTAGAATTGCTAGTTTCTTAAACCGTAACTGATTTAGGTTAGAAACAGAGAATCTGATTTTTATGTTTTAGTGGTTGTAGGAAAACAATGTCAAACACTGATGAGCAGCCTCCAGAAAGCATAGAATGGATCGAGAAAATGGCATATGTGGTTGCAATAAGGGGGCCGGAGTTTGAGAAGGAGATGATAATCGTTAATAGGGGAGATACAAATTTCAGCTTTTTGAGCAGCTCAGACCCTAGTCACGCTTTGTACCAGCAAAAGCTTACTGAATATCAAGGAGGTAAACCTCCGGATTTCCAACCTTATACTCCAGCTACTCCTGAGCCGGAGGAGCCTCAGGATTGTGCATTTCCATTTCCTGTGGTGATCTCACGCGAGGAGAAGGAGCTTTGTATTATTAAGCTCATTGCGCAGTTTGTGGCGCGGTATGGGAAGCTTTTTCATGAGGATTTGAAGCGTGTAGGTGTTATGAGCCCTATGTTTGACTTTATTAAGCCAACTAATAGCAACTTCGGTCTTTATAATGCCCTCGTTACTTCGTATTCACGAGTATTAAAACCTTCCCTTGGTTCTCCCTTCTTTCTTGATCGTATTTTCGACCATCTTCAATTGGAGAAGCTGGAGGAGGGAAGTGAGACGGCTATGATTGATTTGTTTGATTTTGTGGGTGGTGTTGACTTTTTTGCTCACATGGACGATGCTCACTATCCTGCTATCCTACCACCACCTCAACCCTTTTCAGTGATAACGCACTTGTCTGATTTGCAAGCTGATGATTCAGCTATTCATGAGTGTGTAGGCGATGCAAAAACCGGTCTTGGGCCTCCTACTATAAGGATCACACCCAAGGAGTTCGGTGTTATTAAGCTCACAGCGCTGTTTGTGGCGCGGTATCGGATGCCTTTTCGTCGGGCTTTGATGATGAGAGTGGCTATGAACCCTCTGTTTGAGTTTATGTTCTTTCGCCCGTCTTCTCTGAAGAAAAGAGTACTGTTTACGGACTACCCTTCTCTGACGAAGAGAGTACTGTTTACGGACCCTTCGTTTGGGTTTGTGGAGCCAACCGAGATCAGGTTCAATATTTTCAATTTGCTTGTTGATGTGTATTCCAGAGTATTATTTCCTTGCAAAAAGCTGAAGAAGAGTGATGCTTGTACGAGGGCCGTTGTTGATTTTTTTCTCAAACTCCTTCACTTGGAGAGGCTGGAGGAGGGAGTGGCGGCTGCTGTGATCGATTTGCATGCTTTTGTGGGTGGTGTTGACCGTTTTGCTCACCTTGATGATGAAGATTATTCTGCTTCCATGCCACCACCTGAACGCCTTTCAGTGATGATGAACCGGGTAACACTATCTGAGCCTGATATGCTTTTGCAGCTTCCATTGGGATCTCAGCTTGCTAGTGTTCGTAAGCAATACAAATGTGTAGGTGATATCGATTCTTTAAGGGCTCCTACTCTAAGAAGCGTAACATTTAGAGTCCCTGGAAAGGGGATCACACTCAAGGAGCTTGGTATTATTAAGCTCACAGCGCAGTTTGTGGTGCGGTATGGGTATGATTTTTGGTGTGGCTTAACGGATAGAGTGTCTACGAACTCATTTTTTCAGTTCTTGAATCCTTTCGATAAGCAGTTCCGTTTTTATTGTGGGCTTTCTCTTGCGTACACCGGAGTGCTAAAATCTTCTAAAATGCTGAAGAAGCCTGATGCTTGTACGGCGGCCTTGCTTGAGGGGTTTTTTCACCGACTTCAACTGTGGAAGCTGGAGGAGGGAGTGGAAACGGCTATGATTGATTTGCATGCTTTTGTGTGTGGGGTTGACTGTTTTGCTCACATGGAGGATGGCGACTATTTTGCTATAATGGATCCACCTGAACGCCCTTCAATAATGATTAACCAGCTAACACAAATCCAACCTAATGCTCCAGCTACTCATGAGAAGTGTCTAAAACGTAGCTATAATTTTCCATATGCATTTGGTGGCTGGATCTCACTCAAGGACCTTGGTATTATGAAGTTCACAGCTCTGTTTGTGGCGCGTTATGGGATGTATTTTTGTCGAGATTTGATGAAGAAAGTTGTTATGAAGCCTCAGTTTAAGTTCATGGAGCCAACTAATAGCATGTTCAGGTTATATAACGTTGTTGTTGATGCATATTCTAGAGTATTACAGGAGCCTTCCGATGATGCTTGTACGGAGACAGTTCTTGAGGATTTTTTCCGCCGTCTTCAATTGGAGAATCTGGCGGAGGAGGAAGAAGTTATGATTGATTTGCATGCTTTTGTGAGTGGTATTGACTATTTTGCTAGCGTAGAGGATGTTGACTATTCTGCTTTGATGCCACCACCTGAACTCCTTTCAAGTATAATGAACCGGATACCTAGTATGCGTATGCGGCTTCCACTGGAATATCGGCGTTTGTATCCTCCTTATCATTATTGTTATGGTCAGTTTTCATATACTTCAATGGGGATGATGCAAACTGCACGATCCGATGAACCAGAGGCAAAGAGACAAAAGTTTGACGAGTCAGCTCTTGTTCCAGAAGGGACTGATCGAAGGCGTCACAGTCGATGGCAATAAGAAAGGAGTTCTCTATATACTGAGGCAAGAGCCGATTTGCTTCAGCAACTAATAGCTCTTTCGAATGTGTCTGATCCATTAAGGTTTATTGACTTCCATTTAACCAAAAATTGGCACCGAGTTTCGATTGTTTGGTTTGTATTAGCGCCTTGCTCAACATTTACATGTTATAAGAATATGTTTTCATTCATAAAAACATTAGTTATTTGTGTCACAGTTATGTTTCTGCGATAATAAGTTGGTAAAAGAAAAATGATCATGTAATATTTGTGATGCTGTGTACCGTATTTTGTTGGTAATTTTGATCGCAGTAAGCTTAAATTGATACCACAAATAACCCTCCTGCATTGCGTTTTAAGATGGTTTTGGTTTGATAATTTGAGTTACTGTCACTCTTGAAAACATTCATACACTTTACTACTTAAGTCATTTTTCGATCCGAGCCAAAGAAATCGGATAGGCCGGAATAACCAAAGGGATCAAGATAGTTCGAGAAATATCAGGTTGGTGGTCTGGTTTAAGGGGATTTTGGCGTAAGCAAGCATTTTCTAAAGAATGGGTTGAAACTTCAATGCCCAATTTGTGCAGAGTAACCCACAAACTTGAAACCAATTTCAACACGAAATTACAGCGTTCAAAAATCAATTGAAAAATTGCTTGAAGTCACAGATCTTACTCTTTTGCTAAGATCTCCAAGAACTTGTTCATATTTGTCCCATAAACATACGCATTGGCAGTTTGGTATTTGGTTCATGTAACTGTTGTCTCTGCCCAGCTTCACAGAAAATTACTACAGCATCAACATTCCTTCTGACTTGTTCATTTCGGTTTCGGTTTCGGTTGCGTCGCCTTGTTCGTTGTCGGGAATAATAGTTCTCTAATTTGTCCCTCTGCGTTTTCTTCTGATGTTGCCTGCAAGAGTTTTGGTTGGCATGATATGTTAATACCATCATTATTATGTTAGCACGGTTTCTTAAAATATCATAGATCAGGAACAAGATCTTAAAAGATCAAAGGAAAGAACTGATGTACCCTTGTCGAGAATGCAAACCGCAATGACTCAATCTTTGCTCCTGCGCAAAGCCTGAGGTCAAAACCTAAGGAATCTATCCCAATCAGCTTCACTTCCTGCAACCAAAAAGGAATTATGGTCGATCATCTATTTGTACACAGCCAAAACCTACAGAAATATCCTGTTGAACTCCAGTTCATAACTAGAGCTTCTAGAGTTAAGTTGCAGCTATTTACCTCTGCTTGAATACTGTTATGTCTCCAACACAGAGACTTGAGGGCTTCAGTTAGTTTATCACCAGATTCTTCTAAACGGCTTATGATTTCAGCTGATGCATGAGCAATAGCATCAGGTTGTGCTTTTCTGACATCTTCCACCTCAACTTCAGTCTGTTCCCAAAAGTTAAAAAGATACTAGTAAGCATAAGCTTGCAACAAAAAGAAGAGTCTAGATAACACAATGGTTAGATAGAAAAGAGAAATATTTTGCAAGAACATGAATAAATTTACATAGAAAAGTTGAAAAGCTTTATTGCAAACCTGATCCCCTTGTGCTGTAATAAGCTGAATTCTAATCATCTCCAGCTTGTAAAATGCCACCACAGTTCTTTCTTTTTCACCCTGCGACGAATCTACGTCAGATTCTTCACCACCAGCCTTACTGATGTCTGCAAGCTTTTCTTCTAAGTTTTCTGCATCCTTGTTTCTGTTCGTACTTGTAGAATTGCTATCAGCAAGTTTCTTTTGGATATCTGAATAATCTTCCACTAAGATATGACTCAGAAGTCCCTGGATAGCAAGGCCAGCAGACGGCTGATCCATCCAATCAACAGGATCATTTGAAGCAACCTAAATTTGACAACAAACAAATGTGTTAAAAGTTAACCTCAGTCATTCTCTTTTAGCCTTAGGTTTGAAAATGATCTTGCATATCGTTTTTATAAAGAATCACAACACATTTTTTTAAAGAATTTAAGGCTAAAAGTTAACCTCAGTCATTCTCTTTGCAAAAAACATGGGATGACAACTCCTCATTGTTTCCAAATTTGCCCAGTCTCCCAGCGATTCATCGGAATCAGAATCATCATCATCATCATCATCATGATCATCCTCATCATCATCGTCGTCTTCATCCTCTAGAACAGCAACCCATTCCTGAAGTCAAGAAAACGGTTGCTAGTGAAGCATGCTAAGACATGGCAAAAGTATTCCTCTTATAGAGTTCTTTAGTGACACAATATAAAAGATGAAATAAAAAAATTTGTTAAACCTCCTCATCTTCGTCTTCTCCTGTATCCTCACTGTCATCCTCTCCACTTTCATCATCTTCAGTTTCAAAGTCACTATCAGAAAGACCCATCAGCTCCATTTCCTTGATCATCTCCATCGTATCAAAACCAACTATAACTTGCTGCAATCATCCATAACATCTTAGAGGTTAGTACAGAATAAGGTCGAGAAAAAACTACACAGAGCAGTATAGTCAGATATTATCAAGAGAAACATATTGAAGCTAGAAGGCTGCATATTGATGCATGCATGTGCGTTTCAGTTTAAAATAATGGTGAATTAACAAAAAATAAAACGTCAGAAGATAGATGCTTTAGCTACTGTAACAGAAAAAGAACAGATCTCTCATCCGACAAAGCTTAGATTTAAAACACTTGGAACAATCCCCATTTGGCTATACATATAATGTAAATAGGATATGCATGTCTTGTGAAACATACCACATAATTATTTTCAGAAGTAACGGACTGCATGACGTCCTCATCCTCTTTTACTTGAAAGTACAAATCTGCAGGGCATTAGGGTGACTTAATTTAATCGTGACGATGTTAGGTAGATTAAATAATGACAGAAACTAAGGATGATTAAATTTTATCTTACTTCCATTCTGATCTGTTATGTAAGGTATATCTGGCCAGAGAATATTCTCATGAACTCCATCACCAATTGAACCTGTAAGCATCAGGGTTCCTTTATTGTTCACCTGAACAAGACACACTACGGGAAATGTTAGATGCACAAAAGCGGATCATGGACAAAAAATAATGACAGGAAAACTGAAAATGGAGGAACATAAAAGGATTCTATGCAGGACTTACATAGACTTTGACAAGATAAAAAAACTATTCTCTACATAAGAGGATTCTATAGAGGACTACTGAAAATTGATAGATGAATATTGAAGTAACCCATAATAGGAGCAAGCAAAACTACTAAATGCACTAACATGTGACCGCAACAACAATGAATGTAACATATGGCATTGGTCTAACAAAGTTTTCACCAAAAAGATAGTTCATGCTGATTGAAAGACGCAATATAACACCTCAATGATGGTTCTAGTAGTTTCTGCAGGTGAAAGCCTGGAATCTCCGGCATTCTGTGGCAAAGAGGCTCTTATTTCTTCTGAAGGATGATACCTTGACTTCCCAGTTTGCTTTCCTGGATCTGAAGCAGAATCTACGTACTCGGCTGTGGCTTGCGTTCGATTCTTCCTCATGTGTTTTCTTGTTAAATAGTCACTGTTGTACTTCAGAAACCCACTCCTAAAAAGGGCATATATGAATGTGAGAATTTACATAGATGAAGAAAACCAAAATATACAGAATCTGTAATATCCGAGCAAAATTTCAAAAGAATCGATCTTTGACTGGTTCCACGGCTCACTAAAGAAGCATCTAACTTAGTGCTCTATCTCTATATAATCAAGAAACATCAACTTCACACTAAATTCACAGCTGATAAGAAACATAGTGCACTCGTAATATACACTAAGCACTCAAATACTAGAATCTATCCTCCTGATGAAACATAAACTCTCAACAAGTCAATCTATAAACTATTTTACAATTCAATGACGGAACAAAGTCAATCTATCAGTATTCAGTACCCATCAATATGATTGAGACGTTGGGGCTGAAAAACGCGGCGGGACGCATAATGGAAGCAGTTTCCTCCCTCCTCCGAGCTCGGTGCACTACGATACTCTGCAAATTTAGCATGAGACGAATGAACAAAAGACTCAATAAAGAGGGAATTGAAGAACTGAACATAAATTCTGCTATTAATCAATATAACAGAGAGAGAAATAGAGCTTACGGAGTAACGCCGTCGACGAGCAAAATCCGGTGGAAAGACGGATGGCCATAACCGACTCAATCATCGGTAAAACTACTATTATCTCTAACCTCTCGCTCTCTCTATCTCTGAGCTCAGAAGCTGGGACAAGGATTTGCAGATTAGGCTATCTATTTGCTGAATTTTCCTTACTAGTGATGACGTGTCATATTCTCATTCGTCCTAACCCAACAAGATATTATAAAGGTGTCCTCAAAAAGTGTTCACTAAACGCTGCGTTTGAGTAATGTTTTACATTTGTTTTCACCAATAGTCACCACAAGAGCAAACACCAAACCGAAACACGTGAAATCTATTAGTGTCTCTGATGATTATCTCTCGAGAAGTTATCTGTGAGATAAGCTTAGCTGCAACATGACAATCTCCACAAATCCTAAGATTCTTCGTTATTCTTATGGCATCAGTATTGTCTTCTTCCTTTGTGTTCATCAGGGCAAACACTATGGCTAATTTCTCACTGTGAACAGCTAAATGCGTCTCTTTATCTTCTTCTTCTACATCGTGAAGCGCTGATTCTGAATCAGGAACATAACCTAACTCTTTCATTTTCTTTACTAGAACATCCAGCTCTCTGTAAATCTCATTGGATTGCGGGTGTGACCTGTCGCCTACTAAGAATGTATGAATTATTCTGTTCACCTCAACATTGCTTGCTCCGGGATTCTTCTTTAACCCTTTGCTCTTCATTATGTTTCTGATGTTAGTCACTTCTTCCCATCTTCCAGCCTTTGCATATATGTTAGAAAGCAATACGTAGTAACCCGATTGCTCGGGTGCTAACTGGAAAAGTTTATCAGCTGCTAGTAGACCAATGTCTGTATCAGAATGCACCCTGCAAGCTCCTAATAGCGCTCCCCAAACTCTCTCGTTTGGTTCCATTGACATTTCTTGTATGAATTTGTAAGCTTCTTTCACTTTTCCGGCTCGGCCAAGAAGATCTACCATACAAGCCAAATGCTCTAACCTAGGACTGAGCTTGTAATGATCTGTCATGAGTTTGAAACAACTCCTACCTTCTTCTAGTAATCCCGCATGGCTACAAGCAGCGAGCGTTGTGACAAACGCAATTGAATCAGGGACGAGACCCGAATCTTGCATTTTCGAAAACAGTGCCACTGCGTCACAGCCTCTTCCGCTGAATCCATAAGCTGAAATCATAGCTGTCCAAGACACAACATCACGTGACTTCATGTTCTCAAACACATCTCTCGCTCTGTCTAAACATCCGCATTTCGCATACATATCGATCAGTGCGTTCTCTAACAACAGATTAGGTATCAGCTTCTTCCTCTCAATGTATCCATGGATTTTCTTACCAAGAGACAGAGCAGATGTATCTCCACAAGCAGGTAATACACTTGTGATTGAAACTGCATCAGGTTCGAACCCATCAGCCTCCATTCGGGAATACAACTCCACGGCTTCAACAGGCATCGTATTTTTCATATACACACCGATCATCACATTCCATGAAACCAAACTCCTTTTCCCCATTTTTAAAAACATATCTTTAACATACATAACGTTTTCAATTGTTGTGTTACTCACTGCTGGTAACAGACTAGCCATCGTGCCAGCATCATGGCTTATCTTCACAGATTCCATTTCCCTACAAACTTCCAAAGCATCATCAAATCTCTGATTTTGCGCATACCCAGCAACTAATGAGTTCCAAGAGACCACATCTCTCCTAGACATCTCGTCAAGTACAAGCCTTGCTTCAGATAAAAATCCACACTTTCCATACATAGAAACTAAACCGTTCCCAACAAACAAAGTCGAAGAGAGCCCAACTTTTGTAGCAGAACCATGAATTTTCTTCCCAATGACAATATTCCCAGAGCAAGAACACGCTTTTAGAACACACGGGAAAGTGTAATGATCAGGTCTAACATGACAACCACACATCGTCCCAAACACTTGAATACCTTCACGATAAAACCCATTATTCACATAGCTTCTAATCATAACATTAATGATAATTACGTTTCTCTCAGGAATTTCGTCGAACACCTTGCGTGCTGATGCCACATCTTTTAGAGAAGCATAAGCTCTCATAAGTTTAACGCCTAGAGAAGAATTGTAGCGTAGATCTTCTGAAATGATTCTGGAGTGGACTGTTCTAAGCGTTTTGAGATCTGGGTAAGTGTCAAGTACCTGACCAAGCATGAAAGCTATCTCCTTTGGTGAATTTTTTTGATCAAGTTCCAGTTTGGGTACGGAAGAAGTTACTTTTCGAGTTTGAAATTTTCTGAATTCCGGAAAATGGAGAAGACGGAGATCGACATTGATGCGTTTCATGAGCTTTGAAATCAAACCTCATCACCATCATCAACGGTATATAGCGAGCGACCAGCAACGGTAAAAATGTTTGTGAGTAAGCCGGTTATAGAGGTTCAACCATCATATATAATTAAACCGGATCAGACCGGTCTCATTATTTTTGTCTGTTTTTTTTTTTTTGCAATTTTGTCGTCTTCTTCAGTGTGTACAATCTGTTTCAACCATCAAGAAAACATGAGTTTGAATCTCCCATTAAAAGATTATAAGAAAACATGAGCTCAATGAGTTCGTTTGCTCACGAAGAAAACCCTAGCTCCCAGACTCCAGTTTTTCCCACGGTTCTGTTCTTCCGTCGCCGTGTAAAAAAATTCTGATCAGGTTTGTCTCTCTGTTTCATCTTTTACCTTGTTTTGATCATAATGGGTGCTCTAACATTCTCGTGTTTATTCTCTTTTTTTTTTGGGTTCTGCGTTTCTCAATTTAGAAAAAAGTGAGCTAGTGTTTGGTTTATAGTGTTTTCTCTAAACTCTGTTCTTTAAGCTCTCTGTTTTGGTTAAGTTATGGTTGTCAACTTGTGATTGATAATAATCTCTGCAATTTTTCTGTGGGATTATAGGAGATATTTGAAGCATATCTTATAATATTTCATTTATTAAAAGATACGTATTATGTTAGTTTACAAACATGAACTACTTATCTTTTTCCTTACCTTGATCATCTTTCTGTTACCAATCTCACTAGTCTTTTACTGTTTACAGGTTTTGTTTAGATTCTGTAATGGCTTTAAGACGCACTTTATCCCTCAGATCCTTGTTCTATGCTCGCTGCTACCAACCATCTTGTAGCGGTATCATTCGTCATGATGATGTTCATGAAGAGAAGCCAAATTACGGCTCTTTGCTTTATAAGAGATCCTTTAGCAGCTCGATGATTCTCTCTCAGAAGCATCTGATGAGAAGCTCTTCAGATTTGTCTCTATGCACTCCTTTTGGTATCTCTACCTGTCGGTCTATGTCGACTTCACATATTCCAGGCTCGGATGAGAGTGGCGATTTGAATCATGTTGCTGCAACTCTTACTGATTCAATGCTGCAAGATGTGTCTTCACAGAGCACTACAGTCATCAAAGTTGCCGATGCTGCTATTGATTCCTCCGTCGATTTCGATTTTGTTCAGCAGATTATTCATAATGTGCATTCATTCACAGGCTTAAACTGGTAAGAAATCCTCTGTTTTGTGTTGGTCAACTTTTAAATCATCTCTGTATGTTTTGTTTTCATATAATTATTGTGTGAATGCAGGTGGGCTTCCATTGTTCTTACCACGCTTTTGATTCGAGGAGTGACAATCCCGCTCATGATTGATAACGAAAGATGGTTGTCAAGGTGGATGGTATTGAAACATTGCTCTTGTGTAAACACAGCTCAATTTGAAATTATAAAAATAATCTCTAAAGATCTTTCCTTTCTTGATAACCATCCATTTGAGTCTATTATCGAAGTTCTTTTGTCAATATAAAGCACCTGACTGCTTGGACTCAACTGATAGCTATCAGGCAGTGCATGAACCTAATGTGTGGCTTTGTATGCAAGTGTTTTATGATGTCAATCAGATTTCATCAACATGTGTCAAATTTTACCACCATCCTTTTTTCAATTACTACATTTAATCTTGTAGATGCTAGAAATACACTATACAGCAATGGAGGAGATTATGAATCAGGTACCATAACTTTGCTTTGCTAAAAGTGATCTCTTTGCTACTATGTAACTATAGCAGTCATGTACGCATGATGAATCTTAACCGAAAAACTTCCCACATTGCTTTATTTCCTCATTTCATCCCTTTTTTCCTTTTTATCCAGGGAGGGGATCCAGCTGCTCTTGCTAGACATCAGATGGAGTTCAACAAGTTGGTGAAGGAGTAAGAACCTTTTTTACAACATGTTTATTGATTTCTTTAGACAAATTGAAATTTATGTCAATGTATGCTCCTCATATGGACCAAATTGTGGATTTGTTTGTGATGATGTAGGAATGGTGGTTACAATGGACTTAAAATTATTTTTTCATCCTTCCAGATAGTGAGGTTTTTCTTACAGTTTCCATTGTTGATCTGCATGGGGCTAACAGTAAGAAACTTAATGCTTCACAATCTATTTCTGCATGTGTTTTCTTTCTATTTCATCCCTAGTAACTCTTGCTCCCAGATCAATAACATGACAGAGAAAGTAGCATCCTTCAAAACAGGAGGTGCACTTTGGTTCACTGATCTTACAACGGCTGATACATCATTCATCTTTCCACTCTTAACGGGATTAACCCTATGGATTGCAATAGAGGTACCTATCGATAACACTGTTTTCGATATAACACTTGCATTTTCTTGTGGCTGGTTCTGATCATACTCTTAAAAATCTCGAGCATTGCAGTGTGATGCACTGCTAGGCCTTGAAGGCATATTAGTAATCCTCAAAAAGCTGGCCCGGTTTCAGGTCATCCCCGTGCTCCTTATGGGAATGTATTTGTCAAAGGTGAAGTTGTGATTTAATTTTCACCAAATGCATGTGGAATATGATAAATCTCATAACACATTATAAGTTGCATTGCAGGCGGTACATTGCTATATGATGAGTAGCATGTTGTTCTCCATTATGTTTATGTATGGTGAGTTTCGTTTCGAATCTTGTGGAATCAGTACTCTGGTTCGAATCTTGTGGGGTGTCTGATGTTGCTCTTTGTGTGTAGTGATTCGCCGTCCGGGAGTGAAGAAGTATTTTGGTATTCCAGAGGTTCCTGAATACATGGCTATAATGTTTTACAGAAAGAGACTCAAGGAATATTTTCCTTTTCGTTTCTATCCGTTACTTGTGCGTCTTTATAATTATCTGTCAAAAACTCGAAAATGGTATAAAACTTAATATTCATACTAGAAAAAAAGAGTAGCTATTTTGCTCTTCGGCTACTTTTTTTGCTTTGTTTCTTTGTTGTAGTTTCAGTTTTTATCCGCTACTTATGCGTCTTTGTAAATGTCTGTCAAAAACTCGAAATGGTATAAAACTTAACATTCATAGCAGAAAAAAAGAGTAGCCATTTCGCAGCAAACCAATGGTCTAAAATATGAAGTTGTGAGGAGAACATTATAAAAAATGAACTTGTACTACGCTTTTGCAATGTTTGGGGATCAAATGGAACCATTATAAATATGTTGTGCCAATATGAAAAATATATAAAAGATAAAAGATGTCTCAATAACTTGAAAGTAAGATGTAGCGGGAAGTGACGTGGCATGTTGAAATAACTGTTTTGATATTGCGGAAAAGCCCCCTCAAACCCTTCAAATTCGTTTTTCATACTATTTAGTTTGTATCTCTATCGTACGGATCCTTTTGATATAGCAGGCAACAGTCATGAAATCGTACACTCTGTTTCACCCATCGAGAAAGCATGAGCTTGAATCTACCACTAAATCGAGGCTCAGTGAGTTCGTTTGCCCACGAAAAACCCTAACTTTCACTTTTTTTCCCACTCGGCTCTGTTCTTCGCCGCCGTGTAGAAATTCCGATCAGGTTCGTCTCTCTGTTTCATTCTACAGCTTGTTTGACCATAATGGTGCTATTTTGAGACTGTATTTGTGCTCGTTGGTTCTAAAGTTCTCGTTTTTAGTCTCTCCCCTTTTGTGTTCTGCGTTTTTCTGCTCATTGGCTCTAAAGTTCTCGTTTTTATTAGTCTCTCCTTTTATTGTTTTCGCAATGTGGAGATAAGGGTTCGGTTTATAGTGTTTTCTCTAAGCTTTGTGTATCGCTTAATAAATGGTTGTGATCGATACTAATCTCTGAACAAGAGTATTTACTATTTAGAATTGATTACTGTTGTTTTGCTGACTATAAAACGGCAAAAGAGTTGCTTAATATTGGGATTATAAAGAGAGATAATTGAAGCATATCTTCTTAGTTTTAAAAAGCGCGCCTGTGGCGCGCCATGGCGCGATGCGCACCGAGGCTCGATGAAAAGGGCAACAAGACATGGAGGCGAGGCGAGATCTATGATGCGCGCGCCATACATGAGCCATGGCCGATGCACGAGGCGGTCAAGGCGAGCGCCTCTTGTGTTCAGGCGAAAACTCTTCGAAACCAGAAGCAAGAACTATGTGATTTTAGGGTTTTGACGAAGAAGATGACTAGATTGAATAGGATAAACCGTTTTACAAACCTAGCTGGTGAATACATGGTTCAATTTTAAGTGGTTTGGTATCCTAAACCGACTTGAAAGCTTAACCATGTGTTACCATTAGTTTATCAAACCAAATCAATCCTCGGTTTATCTTAAATTGAACTGGTTCTGACCTTTAACTCTTAACCCACGACATTTAACCCCAATTAGAAGATGTAAAATCCCTAATTCTCCTAAATATAACACCATAGACAACGAACCTTGATGGCTAAAACCATATACAGAGAATCTGTTAATGGAGCGCCACAGATCCGAAAAGCGCGCGCTTTGGCGCGCCATGGCGCATGGCTCATTCAAGGACCCTCTGTGCCATGGTGCGCTTTGCGCCATTTAAAACTCAGCATATCTTATAATCTTTCATTTGTTAAAAGATGTGTGATATGTGAGTTTACAAACATGAACTACTCAATTTTTTTCCTTACCTTGATCATCTTTCTGTTACCAATATCACTAATCTTTTACTGTTTACAGGGTTTTGAGTAGATTCTGTAATGGCCTTGAGACGCACTTTATCCCTCAGATCCTTGTTCAATGCTCGCTGCTACCAACCATCCTATAGCGGTATCATTCTTCATGATAATGTTCATGAAAAGAAGCCAAATTACGGCTCTCCGCTTCATCAGAGATCCTTTAGCAGCTCCATTCTCTCTCAGCATCTCAGAAGCTCTTCTTCACATTTGTCTCTATGCACTCCTTTTGGTGTCTCTATCTATCATCGCTCTATGTCGACTTCTCATGTTCCAGGCTCAGATGATTCTTGCAATGTAAGTGAAGTTGCAGGAACTCCGATAGATTCTGTGATGGAAAATGTGGCTTCCCAGGATTGGTCATACTCATACAATTTCGACATTGTTAAGGCATTAATTGAAACGCTGCACTCTTACACAGGCTTAAACTGGTAAGACCAATTGATAAGCTCTTCTGCTATGTGTTGATCAACTTGCAAGTTATAGTCACACTTGTCAATCATGTCGTATTTTAAATCATCTCTGTGTTTTCATATATAATTGCTGGGTGATTGCAGGTGGGCTTCCATTGTTATTGCCACCCTTTTGATTCGAGGAGTTACAATTCCGCTCATGATTGATAACGAAAGATGGAGGTCAAGGATTATGGTATTGAAACATTGAACATAGTGCTTATGTAAAGACAGCTCAGATTTGAAATAAAAAATAACTCTCGAGAGAATTTTCCTTTCTTGATAACTATTGAGTGCTTGGATTCTATTTATAGCTATCAGGCAATGCATGAACCTAACTAAATGTGTGGCTTTTGATGCAAGAGTATTTATGGAGGACAATGATATTATCGCATCTTGCTTGTGCTACATGCATATTTAGCTTACCTTTATCATATCTTATCACCATCCATATCACTATTTGATCTTGTAGATGCTAGGAATACACTCTACAGCATCAATGGAGACTAAGGATCCAGCTGCTCTTGCTGAACATCGGATAGAGTTTGAAAAGTTGCTGAAGAAGTAAGAATCTTTTTACTTCTTTTCCACAACCTGTTTATTGATTTCTTTGGGTTATTCTTCTAACTACGGCAACATTACTATTTCGAAAATTGCTGGCAAATTGAAACTTATGTCACTAACTCGACTTCATATCCTTAAAATACAGAAGAAAAAAAATGTATCCACTCTCTCTAGTGGTTCTGTAGCTATTACAGGATTCTAAAAGATTTATCCTTAGAGTAGTTATCAGACTCTGGTTGAGTCTAGGTTATCTTGAGAAGTTTGTTTTGGTCTACCTTAAGTAGAAGAACATAAGTTGAGTGTTTGAAAAGAAGTTGAGTTTGTATTTAGATGTAGCATAAATTTCCTTTGGAAAAAACCTCTTCCCTATGTATTTGATGCTTTGACACTTTGTTAGTGATTATTATTATGTTACACGTGCAGTGAAGATTTCATGTATTTATATCTCGGTTACGTGCTCCCAATATCGACCTAATTCTGGTATTATTTGTGATGGGGTGTAGGTATGGTGGTACATTTTCTGTGTCTCCCTTTTTGTACATGTTACAGTTTCCGGCTTCGGTCTGTATGGGCCTAAAAGTAAGCAACTTAATACTTCATAATCTGTTTAGGCATGTGTTTCTTTTCCTATCTCATCCCCAGTAATTCTTGCTTCCAGATTAGTAACATGACAGAGGAAGTAGCATCCTTCAAAACAGGCGGTGTTCTTTGGTTCACTGATCTTACAACGCATGATACATCATTAATCTTTCCACTTCTAACTTGGTTGACTTTCTGGATTATGATAGAGGTATCAATAGCACTGTTTTCGATATAACCAAGTATATTTTGTATCTTGTGGTTGGTTCTGATAAAATTCTCATCACAGTGCGATGCAACGGTAGGCCTTGAAGGCGCAATGATCCCCAAAAAGCTGACCCGGATTATGGTCATACCTATGTTTGTTGTGGCAATAATGGTTTCAAAGGTGAAGTTATGATTTTCACCAAACGAGGAATATGATAAATCTCATAACTCATATAAGGATCTTAAAAGTAGTTAATTTTGTGTAAGTTGCATTGCAGGGTGTACATTGCTATTTGATGAGTTGCATGATGTTCTCCATTGCGTATATGCTCGGTGAGTTTTCAAATCTTATGGGATCGGTTAGGTTCGTGGGTGTTACTAGTGAAGATGTTGCTATTTCTTAAATATCTCTCTGTGTGCAGTGATTCGCCGTCCGGGAGTGATGAAGCATTATGGCATTCCAGAGGTTCCTGAATATGTGATGACAATGCTTTTCAAGAGGATTTGGGGAAAATGGCTTTAAGGGACCTGAAGAAGATATAAAAAAGATAGACGACAAATGAGTTATATCTCTCGAGCGACCAAAAACCCATAGTAGTAGTCGTATTTGATGCTAAGCTTCTCAACGTTACGGTTTTAATAAGAGAATAATTTTGATTTAAGTGTAAAAGTGTCAATTACCTCACAAGAAAATCCAACGGTCATAGCGTGATGATGCATCATCACAAACGATGGCGGGAACGATGACGTGGCATTTTTTTTTTCTTTCTTCCTTGCAAATTTGTCGTCTTCTTCAGTGCAAAAGTAATGAAATTGTACATTTTGTTTTCACCCAGCCAAAAAGTATGAGCTTGAATATCCCATTGAATGGAGCCTCTGTGAGTAGTTGCCCACAAAAACCCTAAGCTCTCTGTTGTATCTTTAATCAGTGTCTGATCCCAAATCACTAATCTTTAAGTATTTTTACAGGGTTTTTTGAGTGGATTCTGTAATGGCTTTGAGACGTACTTTGTCCCTCAGATCCTTGTTTAGTGCTAGTTGCTACAAACCATCTTGTAGCTCTATCATTCATCGTGAACAGAAGCTAAATTACGACACTTTTCTTCATCAGAGATCTTTTACCAGCTCGATGATTCTCTCTCAGCAGCATCTGATGAGAAGCTCTTCACATTTGTCTCTATGCACTCCTTTTGGTGTCTCTATCTATCATAGATCTATGTCGACTTCACGTTTTACAGGCTCAGATTTGCATAAGAATTACTCAGTGCTGCAAGATGTGGCTTCAAAAACCAAAGTTGTCGATAAAGTTGTCGATGCTGCTCACCAGTTTGTTGACAAGGTGCATTCTTTCACAGGATTTAACTGGTAAAAAGGCTAAATTAGTTCTCTTCCTTTGTATCTAAAGCCAAAATGTGTGTTTTTGTCTGTGTTGGGATCCATTTTCTTGTTACTAGAGATGCTGTTTTTACATGTTTTGTGTTTTCATATAATTGTTGTGTGATTGCAGGTGGATTTCCCTTGTTCTTACCGCTTTATTACTTCCACTAGTGACAAGTCTGCTCATTTTTATCACCGCCTTGTCCAGGATTATGGTATGGAAAAGGCTTTCACTCTCATTTAAGAATAGATATTTGTTCCTGTTTTATTCACAACCATCGAGTTTTAGCCTATTATAGACATGTGAATGAGGATACTTATTATCAGGAACCTAAAACTATGGATAGCTTGAAAGTGATTCTGTGATTTCTGAGCAAATTTCCTTGTGCAGATCTACTATCTGATCATGAAGACGCTATTGAGACTCGCGAGAGTATGTTTGGATATAAAGAATCAGGTACCACAATTTTGCTGCTCTGGAAATACTCTGTTTTGCTAGCATGTCTTAACCCAAAACCTTCCTCATTTCTCTACTCCATTTTCTCTTTTTACTCAGGGAGGAGATGTAACTGTTGTTGCTACAAGTCATAAAGAATTCGACAATCCAGTGACTGAGTAAGCATCTTTTTACCTCTCTCAAGTGTCTGATAGACTCTACCAACTGATACTTCTTCTTCTTTCTGCTACAACCTTACAACATTTCTGTTAACTGATTTGTATTATGGTACACCTGCATTCAAGTTTATTTCATTGTATCTTGCTCCCAATATTGGCTTGCAGCAATGCAGGTATGGTGGTGAAGATATAATTAACTGTTCTACTTCAGCCTTCTCTTTAGCGAGAAATGTTTTACAGCCTTGGCTCTATCCCTGGGTGGGAATAACAGTAAGTTACATTAATGCTTCATAGTCTGTTAGAGGAATGTGTTTTCTTCATATTTTCAGAATGGTTTCAGGAGAAAATAGCATCCTTCACAGTAGACAGTGCGTTTTTCCCTGATGATCTTGCAAGTCCATATGCACTAAGGATGTTTCCAGTTCTACCAGTATTCAACCACTTGATTAATCTGGAGGTAAACTTTGTTTTCAATCTGACAATTATGTAAACCGCAAGTATATCTATCTTTTTTGTGGTTGTTCTGATCAAATTGTTCAATGTTGAGCATCTCAGTGTTTTGGAATACTAAGCATCCTAGGCTTCACAACCCTTGGAAAGCGAGTCCCTGAGGCCTGGATTTTCGCTCGTTTTCTGGCCATTCCGGTGGTCCTTTTGGGAATGGTTTTGTCTAAGGTGATGTCATATGATTTTTCACCATGACTATGATAAATCTCAGAACACATTTGATAATTCTTATAAGTTGCAGGCTGGACAATGCTATTTCAAGACTTGCATGATGTTCTCCCTTGCGTCTATGTACTGTGAGTCTCTCAATGAACAGTTATGAGTTTATTATACATGTGTTCTTCCACTATTCTTCACCAATGCTAAATTTGTTGCTATCTCTCTCTCTTTCAGTCTTTGTGTATGCAGTGCTTCTATGGTGCCTTCGAGTGCGGAAGCAGTATTTGCTGAATGCAAATGCATCCAATGCGGTTCCAACGGGTCTTCTCTGTGCTTGAAGTAAATATTTGTACATTCGAGATCTCTAGATATTTGGCTTAATGCTCTACAAGAGGACATTTGAAATGGTCAGAATCATTTTTGTATCTTTTTGTTAAACGGTAGCATGATGAGATCATATCGCTGTTAAGGGATTTCTTTTAACCTAAAGCATTGGTTTAAGTGTTTTCCTTTTTCTTATAGTTTCTAACCGCACTACTTTTAGGCCTTTCTATAGGATCATCAAATTGGAAACTGAAAACAAGAGTGAAAAAGCTAAATCCTTCGATGTTACAATCTCTATTATTCAGTATAACCAATTCATATCTTAAATACATTTTAGATTTCCCTAAAAGTTTTTTCTTATAGAACCTATTACACGCAGGAGATTCCAGTATAGAACCGATCTAAATCCTGAGTCCTGATACCCATTTGCAAGCCAACTACAAGTTACAAGTTGTGTTTTTAGTGAGAAGTATATCAATGGAGATTTTCAGATTCCGGTTTCTTGTAGATAAGCTTGGTATGAAGAATAGTATCCAACATCGAAACAGCTTCAACGATATTCTTGCCTTTGTTCAACATCACACAGCTCGCCCTGCATATTTTCAAAATCCAAAATTAGACAAAGAAACTGTAAGTTTTACCAAAACCATGTTTGGTGCAAAATATTTGACCTTTTGGCATTTGAAGCATCTGTGATCTCAGCTCGAGTTGGAACACCGGATTTGACAAGTGATTCAAGAACCTGAGTTGCCATAATCACCGGTACACGAGCAGCTTTACAAATAGCTATAATCTCCTCCTGTATATTAGCTAATCTCTCCCATCCACATTCCACCGCAAGATCGCCTCGAGCTATCATAACTCCTAAAGGATTCGAACACTTCATTGCTTCTAATAGAATCAAGGACAAATTCTTGAATCCACTTTCCGTTTCAATCTTTAAAACAATACCAAGATCATCTAGTTTCCTTTTCTTCAACTCTTGTCGAAGAACGGTAATATCATGGACATCGCGTATGAAAGAAATGCCAACCATGTCAGCATGTGAAGCTACATATTCAAGATCTTTGATATCTTTTGATGTCAGGCCTTTGAAACGGATATCGCTCTGCGGAATGTTAATGGACTTCTCTGATCCTAGTTTTGTACCTTTTGGACCAGCATGAGTGATGGAGACAATTACCTCTGAAGGGCTTGTTCCTTTTACTACTCCCCATACTTTTCCATCATCAAAACCAATGGTTTCACCAGGCTTGACTGAATCAAACAAATAACCGGAAGGACAAGTTAACCTATGAGCTCCTGGAACAGTTACAGATGGTTCATCGAGCGATCCTTCTCGGGTTATGACAAGTAAATCTCCAACTTTAAGCCTTACAAAAGATTCCTTGGGAGGTACATCTACTACTCGTCCAACCAAACGTCTCCCTTTCTTTCCCTTAACACTTAACTCAGTTCCAGACTCTATATAAGAAGTGTCGAAACATTCAGCCACAAACCCAGTACTGGAGAAAACAGGAAACTCTTTTGAGATTTTAAGTCTCCTCTTTCTTCCTCTAGCGTCACATAGTCTTATAGAATCACCAATCTGGAGACCAGCAAGAAAATCTTGGTCTTGGACCGATATAGTAGCATCGGGGGAAATGTGAGAAGGAGGTTCTGTTCCTGTGAGGCAGAGCCATACCAAAGCAGGAGAAACTACATTTCCGTAAGCATCTTTCTTTGGTGAAACTTTCATCACACAGGGACCAGGTTTTAAGGTACCAGTTCTCAGTTTTGGTCCCGCTAAATCCATATGAACACGGCATGGCATCTCTAGCATCTGAGATGTTCTTCTTACTCTTTTGATGATCTCACCCCAAATACTTGGATCTCCATGTGCACAGTTTATACGGATAGTGGATGTTCCAGCTTTAAGAATATCGGTTATAAATGTTTCACTCAAAGTTGCTTCTTCACCAACAGTTACCATGATATGAGTACTTCTTCCTTCACGAAGTTTACCAAGTAATGACTCTTTGTATGATAATACCCTCCCTTTATCATTCTTCTTAGTACTTTTTCCCTTGGGATATGCATTAGTCCAAGACTCCGTCACAGCATTTTGATCGTTCATTAACAGATTAATAGATGCGTTAAGGCGCTTGAGTACATCGAGATTGTTGTTGTCTAAACTTGACAGACCAAGAGAAGCTAGATGGTTGTTGAGCTGCTCAATGTCCAGGGACCTCAAAGCCATATAATGAACTAAGTTTGTTGCACATTCCAGATATTTACTGCAACAGACGGTATTAAGAAATTAGGCGATAGCAAATCCGAAGACTTAGTAGTAATGCAAACTATATATAAAATGGTTAACAGACCTGTCACATAAGTGTAGCTGAGAAGAATTCCACTTCTCTGCTGCTAATAGATGTGACCGAAGAGCATTCAGTTTTTCGATAACACTAGCCACATTATTGTCCCCATTGCTTCCAGAGAAGTGTGCTTCTGACTGGAGATGAGAAACCTCAACTTTAGACTGTGGAAAATCAAAACTCCAGGTACATTCTGTGGAGGTATTATCACCAAAGGTAGCTTCCAATCTGCTGAAACTTTCAGCTTCTCCTTCACCGCGCGCTGAGGCAAAAGCTACGATTCTCGGAATAGGAAGTTTCATCTGATTAAGTGATAATGAAGAACAAGTCTTCCTATGTTGGTTATTCATGTGAAACCTGCTGGTGAAGCAAAGGATCTTGTCTCTCAGCAAGTGACTTGAATCAATTCCTACCATATCGACTAATTGGATCACCTGAGAAACAAAACGTATAAGAGAAACTGTTATAGAGTTAAGAATCCGGAACCAGAATAAAAACCCCAAAACTCTCTATGAGAAGAAACTAACAAGACTTCGTCATCTTTATCTCTATACAAACGTAAAAGCAAACATCCTAGGAAAAAAGGATATAGAAACCCAAAAGAATTTTTAAAACAAAAAGGAAATTTTCCACAATTGTATCAGCAGGAAAAATAATGACAACGATAATGGAAACTAGAGGAGACAAAGAAATGCTCAATAACATCTTGGACAATTTCAATAATGAGCTTGATCATAGTGTTACTCACATTGTTGTAATGTGTTGTGCAGAGATTTGTGAAGGAAGTAGCAGAACTCGTATACAAAGCCATCTGTTCTCATGAGTGATTAAAAAGCGTATAAGAGATTTGATCAATATTGAATAATTGGTGAAAATCAAAAGCTACAATGTTTAATAGGTTGACACAGAATCAGACATATACTAGAGATTAAAACCTAAGCATAACTACAAAGGCAAGAAACGAAACATATACTTTGGTATTGAGACAATTTCTCGAAGGAAATATATATTAACCAAAATCGACCGAAACTTGTTTCGAGAGGGCAAGAAACATGAGTGCATGAGAAATACCTTTGTTATGGAGAAGGAGAAGAGCTTGTTCAGATAATCTCTTCGCTCTCGTCTTGAGGAGAAGAAGAAGACAAGACAGATTTTTCAACGAAGAAGAAGAAAGAATGATGAAGAATTTTCTATAAGGGACAGAAAAAAAAAGTGTGGTTAAGGATAAAAAGGGAGTGTGGCGAGCGCGTGTCAGATTCATCATCTTGTGGAATCTAGTTACACGGTCACGGACGGAGGAGGCTGAAAGGTCCATTAAACAACGACGTCGTTTTTGGTTTTTAACCTATTCAGACAAAAGTCCCAAAGAAAAAAAAAAAAAGACCGGTCCATTCGGTTTAACCAAACCAATCCCGTGAAAACAGATTAATTTGGTTTAACTATTCAAACAGTAAAACTTGTTTGGTAAATGTTTAAATTATTTTCATGTTTGGGAAAGTAGTACCGAAAATTTTTCTACTTTAATCTTGAATTTCATGTTCAGACAAATTTTAAAGAAAGAAAAAAATGTTCAGATAATTCAAGACCGAAATTGCGCCTATGAGAAAATGGGATTAGGCCGTGCCAGGCCCGGCGCATGACACAATCAAGTGAAGTGATGGCTTAGGGCATCTAATTAAGTGGGGCATATATTTTAGAATTTAGGGTCTTATATGTTAAAAAAAGGTTATAAGTTTTTTTTGAGAAATAAATTTGTTGGACTTTCCTTTCACTATATTTTATGGACTTTATGCCTTTAAATTAATAAAATGTTAATTAATATGTTGTTAATGAATTTTTTTCGGAAATTTTTGGGTTAAAATAAAATAAAACCCTAAACGTTTACAAAGATTAAATGGGTTGGCATTACTATCCATTGAGACAGCTATGGTTGAAAAGCTCGACTACGTGAGTTTGATGAATGATTTTGCTGGTAAAAGTCTAAATAGAGCTATATTTAGAGAATATATTTTTTTTTCTTACAAACTTTTTATGAAATTAATTACTATTTCTTTTTAGTTTAGTATGAGTTTTCTTTTAATTTTATTTGTGATGCGAGGAAAAATTTTTTTTTACAAAGGGCATGATTTCTTTTAGTGGCGTAGGGCATTTAGATATACCGCACCGGCCCTGGGCCGTGCATGGCTTCAAAAGAAGCTTTTTGTTTCCGACGGTAAAAATTATACAATTCTATTCAGACAGGTCTAAAACTATATAAATTCTCCATGTTGGAATACACAAACTTACTATAAAGTAAAAAACTATACAATTCTTTTGTTTCCGACGGTAAAAATTATACAATTCTATTCATAAAATTAGCCTAAAATTAGATAAACTCGTTTATGAATATATGAACCAAGTTTAACTGACCATTTTAAATTTTCAATATATAACTTTAACCACGTCAGAACAAAAAAAACGGCTAAGTTTCCTTAATTCGATTTTGTAAAATTTGACACATTATTATTAAATTACATTTTATTGAAAAATTGATTCAAAATTATTTTGTTGGATGTTTATTACTATAAAGTTTGTGAAAATTATTAGCGGATTTTTAAACTGAAGAATGAACATAAATCATTCAATCTTTTAGTTATGCGATTAATGAAACCTATAAATCGGTACAAAGTTACAAACACATTTCTAAGCATAACATTTGTTCAACACAACACTCTCAATAGGAATCTTATCTGTCGGAAAATCACAATCCATCGTAGTTCCCTTATCCGGCAACAAACTACACGGCTCCGGTTTAACCCTACTAGTAACTCCGGAGACATCCGTACAGTTCCACTGCAGCTTCTTCGGGTCCGGTGACAAAGCTATAGTCACATTGGACATGCATAAACCTGTAAAAGGGTCGTTCTTGATCCCTTCAAGCTTCGCCGAAATCGTAACGTTTTCTGCCGTCATGTCACGGTAATTAATATTGCTAATCTCCGGTAACGCCTTGGGATCAAATCCGCCTACGGGATGTAGCTTATACGAACCAGTCATCCAGAAAACGTATTTCATAGTCTTCATTGTAAATCTCCTAGCGAAAATGTCTTTAACGTAACCGCCACGCCCCACAGCGGTTTTGATTCGGATAGCGGATTGCGTGTTGATTAGAGTCACGTCTTCGATTCTAACATCTTTGATTCCTCCGGACATTTCACTCCCGATGGCGATGCCTGCGCTGTCGGGAGAAATGCAAGTGAGACGTCTAATGGATAGCTGTTGTGTTGGCATTCCCGTGGCGATCCCGAATTGGTCGATTCCACTTTTGACGGCAATGCAATCGTCTCCGGAGACTACGGAGCAGTCTTCTATTAGTGTGTTCGTGCAAGAATCTATGGAAGCAACATGAGTATTAAACCAAGTGTAGACATGTCATATGGCTATCTTAGAGTACAACATTAGATGTTGTTATTAAGATACCAACAGGAATGTAGAAGAAACAAATACATTTTGATTAGTTCATTAATAAAAAATTGTTATATCATACCAAAATTAATATTCTAGTGTTATGCCTTTAGCCCTTTACCAACTAAAAACATATATCATAATGTATAGATAGAAAACAGAACATACCAGGGTTGATTCCATCGGTGTTAGGAGAATCGATAGGAGCAACGATTTTAATATCTTTAACGATGACGTTCTTGCAATAAACAGGATGAATATTCCACATCGGAGAGTCGATCAAATTGATATTGGAGATTTGGACGTTTTCGGAGAAGATGATTTCGATCAACAAAGGTCTTGATATCGACTTGAAACCACCACTTCGATACTTCAACCACCATGACTTCCCTTGTCCATTAATCGTTCCTTTGTTACCTAATCAACAAATTTGATCTTATAAATACATTTTGATTCAATGTCATATCCACCAAACGATTTTAATGATTTTTGTTGTGCTTACCGGTGATAACAACATCAGTTAGGTTACTTCCGTATATTAAACTAGTAAACCTTGCATCTCCGTATGACGGCAAAGGCGGAATCATAGGATATTCAGATTCATCCTGTTTGTTCAAACCAAAATAAAACCAAATATGATTTTCAAATTGAATTGTTAATCATTAATATGTACATATATATATAGTACTATAACTAAAATTTTGAACGTATATATTACCTGAGAAGCAAGAATAGTTGCACCTTGCTGGATAAACAAAGTAAAATGGCTTGTGAGGTTGAAACTTCCGGTGAGCCAATTCCCCGGCGGTACAATGAGTTGGACTCCACCGTCAACCGCCTTTGTAGTAAGCTTGGTTATTGCTTCTCTAAACGCTTTCGTGTTTGAGGTTTTTCCATCTCCAATAGCTCCAAAATCCGTCAAAACCGCACTGTGTTTTCGACAATTCAACGCCAGATATTCAATCCCCTTATTGCTTTCAATGCTTGTTGATCCCATATTGTTTTGAATGCGGGATTCCATAATCGAAAAAACCGGATATTGCTAATAACACAAATATCCAAAAACTTGTCTGAATCATCTGTAAGAAAATATATGATTCTTATTTATTTAAAAATGAGACAAGAACCGTATCACTATTTGGAAGAGGAAAAAAAAAAAAAACTGAATCACATTACCTTAAAATTCGAGAGTTCAAGAGAAAACTCCATTTACAAGACTAAGAATCAAGATGGTAAAATCTGATCTACATAAACGGTCAATCCCATGAATTTATAGATTTACCAAAATAAGCAAAAGTTAACGCGTTATATATATCCTTTTACTTAGGCTACAATGCTACATTTAAACTTTTGATAAGCATAGTCTTTTTCTTTTATCGAAACCATTCAATTTTAGAAAATCTTTTCTAATAGGAAAAAAAGTATCAACTCATAGCTTATCAAAAATCAATCCAAAGAATATATCAGAACTGAACTAGACCAAATTAGTCCATCACATCATCAATAATTTGGTTAAGTTATTTTTAAGTTAGTTATTGAATAGAAAGCCGAAAGCCTCAGTTGTGTATAAATCTCAAGTTACCAATAATCATTACAAGAACATCTTCCATCTTTAAAATGATGAAAACGATTCAAATCCCTCAACACAATCTCTCTACCAGAGACCGTCGATATATATTTCATCGCGTTATGGCAATCTCCGCATACCCGTAAGTTCTTGAACACCCTAACCGGTCTAGATTTCGCCGTGCTTATAAGCCCAAACGCAACTGCAATTTTCTCACTGTGCTGATACAGTAACATCTCCTTCTTTGCCTCATCATCCTCTTCCTCTAGCTTGTGAAGAACAAGATCCGTATCAGGAACATATCCGCAGCGTTTTATTTCTGTAATTAACCGGTCCAATTCATCATATATTTGGTGAGCATTCGGGTGAGATGTATCGCCTACGTAGAACTTATGAACTTCATCTCCCACTTCTATCCAACTGCAACCTCCTTCTTTAACCAAGTTTCTCTCTTTCATCTTCCTCCTCATCTCCGTGGATTCTTCCCATTTCCCTACATAGATATATTCAACAAAGTTTCGCTTTCACACAAGTTTAATCAGTAGAAGAAAGAGTTTTTATCGGTTTGTGTTTGAACTATATAGATACCTGCACTAGCATATATGTTTGAGAGCTGTATATAAGCTGCAGGCTCATTCGGATCAAGTTCTAAGATCTTCCTCGCAGCTAACTTTCCGAGTTCTGTGTTACTGTGAACTCTGCAAGCTCCAAGAAACGTACGCCATACTAAAACATCGGCTTGGAAGGGCATTGTGTTGATGAACTCAAATGCATCTGTGAGAAGCCCGGCTCGACATAGAAGATCAACCATACAAGCATAGTGCTCCATCTTAGGTTTGATCTTGTGGTCTTCATACATTGAATTGAAATGTCTCCATCCTTCAGAGACCAAACCAACATGGCTGCATGCTGATAAGATTGCAACATAAGTGACCTCGTTTGGCTTCACCCCTTCTTTCGTCATTTGGTTGAATGTTTCGAGGACCCTTTCAGCGAATCCGTGTTTAGCAAAACCTGTGATCATTGAAGTCCACGAGATGACATTACGATTATCCATTAAACTGAAGACTCGGGAAGCTGTGTCAATGCTTCCGCATTTGGAATACATAGAGATCAAAGCATTGCAGACAGGTTGATTGCACGAGAGCCCTAGTTTAAGCACCTGTGAATGGATTTGCTCGCCTTTTCTTATTGAACCGACATTTGCAACTCCACTCAACAAGCTAGCAAATGTGAAAGCGCTAACACCTAATTCTCTCTCAGTGATCTCACTTAAAAGCTGAAAAGCTTGCTCAAAATCCAAGTTCCTGCAGGTTCCGTCAAGGAATGTATTATATGAAACCAAGTTCTTCTCAGAAAGTGATTCAAAAGCTGTCCGAGCATCTTCCATCCTGTCACATTTAACAAACATGCTGATAACCGAGTTTGCAACACTGTTATTTGAAGCAACTCCTCTTTTGAAAGCATGACCAAGAATCTGTTTACCTACCCGTGGATCTGAAACATTTCCACACGCCTTGAGTGCACTCGAAAAAGTGAAATGATTTGGCTCAACATGACCTTGGGTTATCATTTCACTAAAGAGATTAATAGCCTCTGTGCCGAGATTATAGTTTTGCATGTAACCAGTGATCAATGCCGTCCACGACATAACACTATGATCATGCATTCTATCAAACACCTTCCTGCAATCATCTACTGAACCATCCGAAGAACATTTCGCATACATATCAACTAAACTACACTCAACATCATCCACAAGCCCTGATCTAATAGCCCAAGAATGCAACTGCTTTCCCAAAGACAAATTCTCCAACTCAGCACAAGCCGAAAACACAGAGCTTAGTGTGAACTTATCCGATTCAAATCCGCTTAAAACCATATCCAGGAAAAATCTAATCGCTTCTCTAGGAAACCCCATCTGCATACACCGAGTAATCATCAAAGTCCAAGTAACAACATTTAGTTCAGACATTTTATCAAACACCTTATACGCATTCTCAAAACTACTCTCTCCTTTCACAAACATGTCAATCAAAGAACACCCCACACACACATCAGACTCAAAATGCCCAGTCTTCATCAAAAACCCTAAAATCACTCTCCCAACTCCAACAAAATCCGAATTTGAACAAGCTCGAATCACCGCAGTGTAACAATAATCATTAGGCACCAAACCCAGTTCCAGAAACTCAACAAAAAGCTTAATCGCATCGAATTCTCTTCCGTTGTTACCGAAACAAGCCATCATCGCACTCCACGAAACAACATCTCGCTTACCAAATCTTCCCATAGTCTCAAACACATCTTTAGCTTTCGTCAAATCTCCAGATTTTGAATACAAGCTAATCAACGAATTGTAGAGAACCGAGTCAGGCTCGATATCAAACTCGATTAATCGAGCGTGGACAAGTTTCCCGAGACGAAAATCGCGTGCTCGGATACAAGATTTGAGGAGTGAAGAGAAAGTGACAGAATCCATGGGGCGAATCCCATCACGAGCCATGAGATCAAGAGCTGAAACTGCTCCACGGAGATCTCCGGCATTGAGATGACGGAGAATCAAACGGTCAGCGACGTTGATCCGATTTGAAACGGACGGTGGAGATTTAACAGGAAGTTTGGCGGGAGATGGAAACGAAAAGCTTATCATCGCCATTGTTACCAATCTAAAAACGATCCGTTACCGTACGTATCTAATAAAATGTTAATTACTCAAAATTTACATTATAACCCCTTAACTTTATGAAAATTATCAATTTTGCCCAAAACTATTAATTAATTCAATCAAATAAATCTTCTCATAAACCCTAATTTATAGATATCACAAAACCCAGACTTGGAATCAGTTTCTCTTTTTTTGTCCCTCTTTCTCTAAGCTATGGAGATTTCTGTTATCGCTTCATCGTCAATCGATGAAGGAATTGGAAGCTGGGATCTCAAAACCGGGAAAGAGCAGCTTCGATTCAAGCAGTGTGCTTCTCCGGCGCATGGTCTCACCGCCGTCGGCGAGAAATTCCTCGCCTCCTCTCAGCTCCGTAAAGAATCTACTTCTTCTGGCTCGATTTTTTACTGGTCTTGGAATAAGGTTTCTTCAATCACTCTCATTCTCAAACTTGAAACACTGTTTTTTGTTCTCTTTTGATTGAAAGTTTGAAACTTTGTTTGAATTGTAGCCTCAAGCTGAAGTGAGGAGCTTTCCAGTGGAACCAATAAAGGCTCTTGTAGCAAACAATGAAGGAACTTACTTAGTTGGTGGTGGAAACTCTGGAGATATTTACCTTTGGGAGGTTGCGACTGGGAAGTTGCTGAAGAAGTGGCATGGTCATTATCGTTCAGTGACATGTTTGGTGTTCTCTGGAGATGATTCTTTGTTGATTTCAGGATCTCAAGATGGATCTGTTAGAGTTTGGTCTCTTATAAGGTTAAAAGTTTGCTTATTCTCATTCTCGGTTTTTAGTACTTTTGCAAGGCATTGCCTTTTGTTCTGATTCCTTGCTCTTTGTGGTTAGTTAGGCTATTTGATGATTTCCAGAGGCAGCAAGGGAATACTCTTTATGAACACAATTTTAATGAGCATACAATGTCTGTAACTGACATTGTTATTGATTATGGAGGCTGCAATGCTATGATAATTTCTGCTTCGGAAGATCGGACTTGCAAGGTACTTATTTGGATCACTTATCTTACACATTTTGTCAAAGAAGTTAAATGCTTAAACATAAGAAAGTAGACAGACCTATTTTGTTGATGAGATTCATTTTTATATAGATGGAAAATCTCGATCTTTGGCGATTATAGAACCCTGATATAGCTTTTTTATTATTCATGACCTTGGCTGGATTTCTAAATCCATAGGTTTGGAGCTTGTCAAGAGGGAAATTGTTGAAAAATATCATTTTTCCTTCAGCCATCAATGCACTCGCATTGGACCCTGGCGGCTCTGTGTTCTATGCTGGTGGCAGAGATGGCAAAATTTATATCGGTGCCATCAATGCCACGAGTGAATATGGGACACAAGTTCTAGGTTCAGTATCCGAACAAAGGTACTTCCAGTTCCTTATATTACATTTCTAAATCCTAATATATATATTTGAACAGTAGCTTGTAGTAACTTTTGACTGATTTTATGAGACCTTTTATATATATTTGAACATTAGCTAGTAGTAATTCTCTTGTTTTTATCAGATCTCTTAGCATGTTGCATCTTATTTTTCGGTATAATGAATTTGCATAATGGACTTGAATTAATAGATCAACAACATTTAGCTGGTTTTTAATCTATTTGTCTACTATGGCTGTTGTATGGTCTAATTATCTCTATTGATCAATAATTTTTGTCTGAACAGCAAAGCTGTTACTTGCTTAGCATATTGCACAGAGGGAAACCTTTTAATTTCTGGTTCAGAAGAAGGTGTGGTTTGTGTTTGGGATCCCAAATCACGTCGCCCTGTTCATACTCTCAGCAGTGGAAAAGGAAAAGGAAAAGGTATGTGTGTTAGCATTTTCTTCTGTCTGAGTTTTACTACTATAAAAAGAAATATTCAATAAACCCGTTCTTGCTTTTCAAACTTTTTTCTTACAGGTCCTCCTGTGAACAATATTCAAATTGTTAGAAAAACGATAGTTGATAATTCCAACAAAACACAATCTTCCTGGAAAAGACGTGGGTCTTTGATGCCACCGCCTTTGGAAAAATATGAAAGATCAGGAGAAGATACTATGGACGGTATCGTTACCGTTGATCCGCCCCCGTTTTCTGATGTTCCTGTCTACTCTTCTTTCCTCAGCGCTGACCTTATTGACGAGCAAGTTAGAGAACTTCAGGTTTGTGTTTCCTCTGTTTCTAGAAAAACAGTCTATTTTGTGTTTTCTTGGTAAAATGACCCACGATTTTCTCGGTTTGCCTTGTATCAGCAACAAGGCTCTGCAGCAACAGAGATCGAAATGGAAAGACTGAAACTTGAATACAAAAGATCTTTACAGCTGAATGATCAATGGCAGAAGAATTATGAGAATTTGCTTCAGGTGGTTATGGAAGAAGAACAAATCGGTGGTTCCAATTGAAAGCTTTTACTGTTGTTTTTACACATTTTTTTGGAATTATACTGAGAGATATATTTTCGTCACTAAAGATTATTTTATTAAGATCCCAAATTTAGCATCAAAGCATTCTGTATAGTAGTCCAGCCATTTGGTAAAGTAACCAAGCCATTCTATTGCTGAGAAGCTTGAGATAATCCCACAAACGAAGAGACTCTCTTTTTGGGATAGCGGCTTTCATGCTTCGGAGAGATTCTTCCCAGTCGTCACAAAGCCGACGAGGATCACTTATCACCGTTGGATCTACGATTAGTGTAATTGTCATCTTATTCATATAACTTTGACAATGTATTGTCAAGGCCTAATCAAATTCAACAAAAAAAAAAACAGTTAAATTAGATTTCAATAGATATGATATGACATAACAAAAGGGGAATAATATTAGGAGAATGTAGTTTATGAACATAACCAAAGTAAAAACTTTTATGAACATAAAACTATTATGGTTAATAATTTGGTTTAACAATGATAAAATTAGTAACTTACATGGGGATGACCATAACCACTTGAGGCAAAGTAAGTGATGGGATGTCCATAGAAACTAACTTCTTCAACGGGACCAACCATGTTAGAAAACGTCATCGTTGTATTTGACACCATTCTGTTTATTATACTAGCCGCCACCTGTAAGTTCATCAAAAATTATTCAATGGTCATAACCAAAGTAATGTCAACATTATTAACTAAAACTTTTTTCGTGTTGCTTTTAATTTTAAAGTTTTAACCATTGCTTTCTTGTCTATACTAAACATATATATGATGGGTTAGTTCTTTTTTAAAATGACCTGAATTCCAAGCGATTTGACAATGATTCTACAGAAAATGTATGTTAGCATTGCCCCGAATGAGTTCTTCTTTCGAGTGATGATCTTCTGGGCTCTTTTGAGATGTTCCAATGGGTCATCGCGTAATGCGATAGAAAACGGAAATACTATATACCCGAACCAATTTCCCCACCTACATTTGGACCCCTTCTCCATCATATCTGCTAGATCCTGTTTTAAAACGAAAATAAATTTAACATTTACAGATTATTAAGTACATTAAATTGTAATCAAAATAGTAGCTTATATGAATTTGCCTGTATTCCAGTTGTGGGTCTTAAGTTTACAAGCAAAGCTGATCTTAGCCTTATTCTTTTAGGCATCCTTCTTGGCTTCCTCTTATTTTCTTCTTCTCCTATTAGTTTATCATGAGATTATTGAATTGTACACGTTAATAATGTGCAATATTTATTAACATATATATATACAAGAATATAGGAGAGTAAATTATAATTACCGTATCTTCTCTCAAGGTATTGCGAGAGACCAGCTTGGGTTACTCCAAGTACAACATCGTTGACTGTCTATCAAACCATACTATAAGATCCTCAATAATTTGTTTTTAATTCCGTATACATATCGTTTATAAAAATAAAAATAAAGAACAAAATTGTATGTAGATTCTTATAAGGAGAAATCTAACCATGTTCATGGCGTTCTTGATTAGCTTGATATCGTCAAGGCATACAGTACGATGAACCAAACGCAGCCGTTTACTCTTCGTTGACCGAAAATCACCTTTGATGGGTGTCTCGGTGTCCTTAACAAACAACGTCGTAACAATAAACTCCAAAGTATCACAAACCGTGTTTAAACCCAAGATAACCGCCGTCCAAATAACCTTAACCAGCCACAACAATTGGGTATCACTTCTTGAACCGGTTGTTAACAGGGATGGCCCTGATGACGACCGGTACTGGTACGGAAGACTAGGAAGCTCATCACGATTTGATGTTTTACGCATACAAGCAAGGACAGGAGACATGATTGACATACCATCACCAACCGAGTGATGGATCTTTAAAACAGCGACGTTTTCAGCGTCTGAGGTTTTCAAGTCGAGTAGGTGAAGCTCCCATAATGGCCTCGAGATGTCCAACGGGATCTTCATGAGGTCGGAAACGTAATCTTCAAGAAATGCGTCTGTGTTCTCTATGTTTTGCGGTTTGATTTCCGGTACGATAACGTGATCCTCGACGACCACGTTTGTCCGAACCCATCTTTGGTTTTGTCCATTCTCATCGGTCACCTTCAAGTAATTATTTTTAGTAAATGTTAATTGTTAGGAATCTTACAATCATTTTATCTAGTATATAAGATAAATCATTCATTGTCACATATATATGGATTCATCAATTTAGAGTAAGATTTATTTAAACACAACGTTAGTTTGGAATTTTGAAGGTAGTCGACTTACCAATTTACTTGAGAAACGAGGATGCCTGATAAAAGTTTCCTTAAAGCCTCTGATAATCACACATGGATCGAGCTTACTCTTTAAACCAATCACCGATATAATGTTGCAGTTAAACTCTGGCGAGTGAAACAGACGCGCCGCTGGGCTAAGTGGTTGCTCCTCTTCCTTCTCGTCCTCCGATATGTGTCGTCGCGTCTTAATCTCCATGCTTTTTTGTTCAATGTTTCATTCTTTCTCTACACTCTGGTTTCCATCTCCCAAACTCTAAATCCTAACTCTTTATAGCCTCCATGCTTGTGCAGTGCCATTTCTTATGTGTATAACACGGAAAATTTAATTTTTTGTTTTTTCTTTTGGTATTAAAAATGTACACTATTATTACTTCTCAGTTACGTTGAAAATGAATCAACAAATGCATTGATCATACAAAAAAATTAGAATCATTGGAACGTATGTAACTTAAATTTTGCATTCCACATAGAAAACAGTAATTAATCTTTTAACCAATCAGTGAACCAAAAAACGTTTCCATTAGTAGTTTAACCGTGACACGATGCGTTAACGCAAATTACGCAATTAGCTTTCCAATCACGCCATGCACATAAATTTGCATAAGTATTTGTACGTTGATCGAAAAGTCAAATATGAATACATGTGACATGTGTATTTGATCGAGAAGAAACATGTGGTGAATGTTTACACAAGAAACAACAGCTATTTTGTGGTTGTTCTCATCAATTCTTCATGTTTTCGTGTAGTTTTGTTCTGATAATATCTTCAAATTCAAGCATTGCAACTCTACGCTTTAACTTTTTCTCTAAATCAAGCAAAAAAAAAGAAAAAAAAAAAGCTCAATCTACTGAGTAGAACTTCTTTCTTGAACAGCAGCTTTGATGCTTCTTAGAGATTCCTCCCAATCGTCACATAGTTTATGAGGATCACTAATGACCGTTGGATCAACGGTTAAGGAAATCGTCAACTTGTTCATATAACTTTGAAAATGCATCGTCAACGCCTGATATAGATAGACCAATGAAATCGTCAAATCTTAGTGACTATAACGAAAAAAAAAAGAGAAAAATAAGATAAAATAAAATCTTACATGGGGATGACCATAAACACTTGGGGCCATGTAAATAACGGTATGTCCATAGAAGCTAATTTCTTCAATAGGACCAACCAAATTTGAAAACGACATCGTTGTGTTTGACAATGCTCTGTTTAGTACATTAGCTGCCCTCTGCATTCATTCAAATTTTGTTTAATATATGGTTTATCGAGATTTTGTAAGATTAATTGAAGCCCTAAGGGTATGACTATGCTTAATTTTTGAACTAAATATAAAGGAGTTATGTATAAGACTAACCTGAACTCCAAGCGATTTGAGAAGTATTTTCCCAACAGCGAACGTAAGAACAGCTTCTAACGAGTTCTTCTTCCTGTCGATGGTCGACTTTGCTTTTCGGAGATGTTCCAACGGATCATCGCATAATGCAATAGAGAACGGAAAGACAATGTAGCCGATCCAATTTCCCCATCTACATTTAGATCCTTTAGCCATCATATCAGCTAGATCCTGTTTTTATCAAACACAAAATAAATTTTTATAATCCATGTATCTATTATTCCTTGTGTAAGTAAATGATGTTAATGTGCCTGAATTCCAGTAGTCGGTCTTATGTTTACAAGCAGAGCTCCCCTTAGCCTTATTCCTTTAAGTATATTACTTGAATTCCTCTTAGATTCTTCTTGTTCTCCTGCTTTCTTCTTCTCTTCTAACATTTTTTCGTAATAGATTTAAAATTTCATATGTTATAGTAAAGTTTAATGCTCCTTAACAGAAAAATCATAAATATGTACCGTATCTTCTCTTCAAATACTGCGAGAGACCAGCCTGAGATACTCCAAGTACAACATCGTTGACAGTCTACTAATAGGAAAATCAATGAAAGTAAAGTAAGATTAATGAAATATCATATATGTTACATCTCTCAAATTTTGAAAATTATAAGGTCGACATGTCATATAAATGCCATTAATATAAAATTGATTACTAACTTAAAATGTATGGAGAATTTTACCATTTTCATGGCGTTCTTGATTAGCTTTATGTCATCAAGACTTACGGTACGATGAACCAAACACATCCGTTTACGCTTGCTTAACCGGAAGTCGCCTTTTATCGGTGTTTCAGTGTCCTTAAGGAACAATGTCGTAGCAATAAACTCCAAAGCATCACAAACCGTATTCAGAACCAACATAGTTGCCGACCATAAAACCATAACCAGCCAAAAGAACCGGGCATAACATCTTGAACTGGTTTTTAACGAGGATGATCCAGAAGACGGCCGGTTCTGGTACGGTAGACTCGGGAGCTCATTGGGGTTTGATGTTTTACGGGTACACGCGAGGACTAGAGACATCATAGACATACCGTCACCTAAAGAGTGATGGACCCTTAAAACCACGACGTTTTCAGCATCGGAGGTTTTCAAGTCGAGTAAATGAACTTCCCATAAAGGCTTGGAGGTGTCTAACGGGATCGTAGTGAGGTCGGAGACGTAACTCTCAAGAAAAGCGTCTGCGTTTGCGTTTGCGTTCTTTATGTTTTGCGTTTCTATTTTGGGAATGATGACGTGATCCTCGACCACCACGTTTGTCCGAACCCATTTTTGTTCCTGTCTATTGTTGTTCCAATTGTTCACCTTCAATAAAATTTATACGTTTTTATATCAAAACCATCGACAATAATCATCTGGGACTTGACATAATATACAAAAACATAGCTCAACCTATTAATTATCGTTTCTTTTGATATGAAAGCGTAAAAATATTGACATGATATCAAAAGAATATCAAGTGTGTGACTCACCAATTTACTGGAGAAACGAGGATGTCTAATCAAAGTTTGCTTAATTCCTTCGATAATCACATCTGGTTGGATCTTGTTCTTTAAACCAACCACCGAAATGATGTAGCAGTTAAACTCCGGCGCGTGAAACAGACGCGCCGCCGGGCTAAGCGGTTGCTCCTCCTCTTCTACCTCCTTTTCCACTGTTGTTTCCGCTTTGTACCCTCGTCTTCGTCGTATCTTAATCTCCATAGTTTGGTTTTTGATCTTTGTTTTCCTTCTCTATTTCTTTCGATCTCGACTCATAATATTGAGATCAAAATTAAAAAAAAAAACATTTATAATCATTTGGAATGTTTAATATTTATTACTCTTTTCTTTTCTTTTCTTTTTGAAAAAGATTTCTTACTCTTTTTGCTCGCAAATTTTCCATGTTTTTGTGTTACACGTCAAACTTTCCATTGTTATATTATTCTTTTCGTTACACTAAATTCATAAGTAGCTTTTCTTATGTTTGGGAAGTTTTAATAGGGGTAAGCGTTCTGGAATCTGGTTCGGTTAGGATTAAGCGCTTGACTGGTATAAAAGCAGTGGTTGCGATTCTGGGAGTTTGCGGAAGCGGGCGGTTGCGGTATCAAGCGTTATTTAGTATTTTTGATCGACTGTTTAATTAAGGTTGAAAACAAGAGCGTTTGCTGGAGATTTACGACTGGTTGATTAGCGAATACTATAACAGTTAAACTAAATTTAATTACCAAAATAAATATAATATATAATTGTGGAAAGGTATAAAAACACCAAAAATCATATTTATGAAAAAGTATAATTTGTTAATGATTCTTCATGATATAATTTGATAGGGTCTTGTTGTACGTATTCTTCCCCATATCAATTCAATTACAGTTGTACATATTGGTATGTGGTATAAAACCCTTTAATGTATTTGTATAGTTTCTTAATCTTTTTTCAATGAATAAGAGAAAAGAAAAAAGATTTAAAATCAATCTAATGAGCGGGAGCCTCTTTCTTGAACAGCAGCTTTAATGCTTTGTAAAGATTTCTCCCAATCGTCAAGTAGTCGATGAGGATCACTTATGACCGTTGGATCTACAGTCAAAGAAATCGTCATCTGGTTCATGTAACTCTGGAAATGCATCGTCAATGCCTAATCAAAGACCAACGAGATCGTCAAAACTTATGCACTTATTCAAGAAAAAGAGTTGATAATATATTTGCTAAAAAACTTACATGAGGATGGCCATACACACTTGGGGCCATGTAAGTGATGGGATGTCCATAGAAGCTAATTTCTTCTATAGGACCAATTAAATTTGAAAACGACATCGTTGTGTTTGACAATGCTCTATTTATTATCTTAGCTGCTACCTGTATTACATGTTATAATTTATAAGACTGGACAGTATAAAGACAAACAAAAAATAATGGTATGTTAGGTTTTAATTTGATGCCATCAAATAAATAATTCAAACTAACCTCAACTCCAAACGTTTTGAGAATGATTTTACCGGCTACGAACGTTAGGGCAGCTTCTAATGAATTCTTCTTGCGATCAATGATCCTTTTGGCTCTTCGGAGATGTTCTAAGGGATCATCGCGTAATCCAATAGAAAACGGAAAGACTATGTAGCCGATCCAATTTCCCCATCTACACTTAGATCCTTTAGCCATCATATCAGCTAGATCCTGTTTCAACCAATTTTTGAAATTTTATACAAACAAATAAATTAAATGATCGTCATCAAAACAAAAACGAAGTGAAAAAAAGTAAATGAAATTACTTGGATTCCAGTGTTTGGTCTTAAGTTAACAAGTAGAGCTGATCTTAGCCTTATTGCTTTAGGCATATTAGTGGATTTCCTTTTAGATTCTTGATCTTCTCCTACTTTCTTCTTCTTCTCTCCTATTAATCACAAGATTATTGAATTTCACTTGTTTAAAACATGAGAACATGTACTGTATACGTCAGAAAGCACGTAAATATTTACTTAGTTACCATATCTTCTCTCCAAGTATTGCGAGAGGCCAGCCTGACTTACTCCAAGTACTACATCGTTGACAGTCTACTAAACCAAAAACAATATCTTAACTTAAATCAACCGTTGATAATAAACACAAAATAGTGCTATGAATCCACATGATCAGACCGAAATATTATACAAGAGAGAGGATTCACTAAAACTAATGAAATAGAAAAAGAAAAAAAAAACTTACCATCTTCATGGCAGTCTTGATTAGCTTTATTTCGTCTAAGCTTACGGTTCGGTGGACCAAACACATCCGTTTACTCTTACTTAACCGGAAATCGCCTTTGATTGGTGTTTCAGTGTCCTTAAGGAACATTGTTGTAGCAATAAACTCCAAAGCATCACAAACCGTATTCAAAACCAACATAATCGCCGACCATATAACCATAACTAACCACAAGAACCTGGAATCACCTCTTGAACCGGTCATTAACCGGGAAGATCTAGACGACGACCGGTTCTGGTTTGGTAGACTTGGGAGCTCGTCCGGGTTTGACGTTTTACGCATACATGCGAGGACAAGGGCCATGAGAGACATACCGTCTCCTAAAGAGTGATGAAACTTCAAAACGGCAACGTTTTCGGCGTCCGAGGTTTTCAAATCGAGTAGGTGAAGCTGCCATAATGGCTTCGAGATGTCTAAAGGGACCGTCGTGAGGTTGGAGACGTAGCTCTCAAGAAACGCGTCTGCGTTTGCGTTTCCGTTCTCTATGTTTTGCGTTTGGATGTCGGGTACTATGACGTGATCGTTAACGACCACGTTTGTCCGAACCCAACTTTGAGTTTGTCTTTTCTTGTTCCCATTGCTCACCTTCAAGTAATTTTTAATTCAAATAAATGTTAAAATTAATAGTAAAATCTCAAAAGTAATATACAGATGCTGGTTAAAAGAGAAAAATAATCAGGCAAAAATGTGCCTATATGAGCTGTCAAAAAAAAAAGTACCTATATGAAAAATGTACCTAATAGTTTTAGGAAATATACTTAAAATTGTATCATTTGGGTGGAATATGTTTGTTCTAAGATTCTGTTAGATTTCTTATAACAAAAAGGGGAAAATTATTCTCCCATTTTGTAATGAAATCCAAAAGTATTATACATTTCCTTGACCAAAAATATCTGACTGATATTTGGATTTCTTTCTTATTACTCTTTCTAATTCTAATATGTTTTTTTTTTTTAACTTTTGCCAACGGTTACCATTCTAAGCCTGAGGAGACATAAGTAAGGGCCTGACTGGTTTAAACGCAGCGGCTGCGGTTGCGTCTGCGGGAGTTTGCGGAAGCGGGCGGTTGCGGTTTCAAGCGTTATGATGCATTTTGAACGACTGGTTAAGCGGTTAAAAATTGGTGCGTTTGCGGGAGTTGTATGACTGGTTAACCAGCTGATGCGACAACGGTTAAATCGAAAATTATCAAAAGAAATATAATTTATAATTATATAATAAAGTATAAAAACACCAAATATTTATATTATTATGATAAAATACAAAACAATTTATATATAATTAATAATAATAAAATATATAAAATTAGTACATAATTATTCAAAATAATATATTTCATAGTTAAGTGTTTATTACTTCATGCATTTGGTTCATAAAAAAACAGCATCAAGTAATATAACAAATTACAAAAAAAAAATATGACAAACTAAAAAAATAGATGTTTTGAATTCTTAGATCCTCTGGATTAATAATTTTATTACAATACTTAGTTTGTATTTTGTCATTCTTGAGTTTAGATTGACGCCATAATTTTGGTAAATAGAAAAAAATTAGGGTTTTGAGAATTAACGTTAATATATATAGGGTTTGATAATTTTTTTTTAAAATTTATTTGTTATTTATGTATTTTTTTAATATATATATATATATATATAGGATTTGAATTAAAAAAAAAAAAATTTGCCAACCGCTACCGCCCGCAACCGCAAACGCTTGCGGGAAGGAGCTTTTGAATTCGGCGGTTCGGAGCGGTCTAGAGCGGTTCGGAGCGGTATAAAACGTTTTTTATGATTGGTTTTAAACGCTAGCAACCGCAACCGCCCGCAAACGCAGCGTTTGCGGGTGGTAGCGGGCGAACCAATCAAGCCCAAGTATATGTTTCATATTTTATGTTTGAGTTTGTTAGTTAAAATATATTGTTTATATTTGATTAAACATGATTCTACACAATATAATTTAATAATTGTAGAAAACGAAGCTAAAAACGACATGTTAACTTCTGAAAATGAAAAAGTCGGCGAAAAAAAGCTTTTCAAAGTGAATATAAAAAAAAAAAAATACACAGTGGGTTTTGCTCAACTATTGTGATAATATTGTAGACAAAATTAGAAAAAGAACCGCCCTAAAGATTATTGGTCAAAGAAACACAATCCGGTTCTCGACGATCACGCAACAACAACCCAGAAAAGTCAATGAAACCATAAATCCATCAAAGAGTTGAAAACATTAATCTATGTTATATACATACGAGTTGATATATTTTATCATTCATATAACTATATAATATTTATCTATGTTTTATACATATGTACGAGTTAATTTGGACTCACCAATTTACTGGAGAAACGAGGATGTCTGATCAAAGATTGCTTTAATCCTTCGATGATCACATCTGGCTCGATCTTCTTCTTGACTCCAATCACCGAGATGACGTAGCAGTTAAACTCCGGCGAGTGAAATACACGCGCCGCCGGACTAAGCGGTTGCTCCTCCTCATCTTCGTCTTTCTTCACGGTTGTTTCTGATGTATCTAGTCGTGTCTTAATCTCCATGGTTTGCTGCTCAATCTTTCTCTCGCTCTTTCTCTCGCTCCCTCTTGACTTTTAATATTCGCTCTCTTAATATAGCCTCCATTTGTGCTATGCCACTTTTTCCTTTATATAACTTTTTGGGAGTTTAATTAATTTTTCATTGTTAATATTTTGTCCAAAAAAAACGAATTTAATTTTATTTGTTTTTTATTTGAATCCTAAATCTACTATCCAAAATCCGAAAAAAAAAAAAAATCGGACGGAATATACAACCGCGAGGTCTAAACTAAAACTAATTGTCTGTTATATATTTTCAAAAAATGGACTAGATGACAAAAGAGAGCTTGTTAACAACTATTAAATAAAGAAGGCGAAGAAGACACATTCATTTCAATATCTTATTTTAATATCTAATTTAAATAAAGAAAGACGACGACACATTCATTTCAATATATCTAATTGTGGTTTATTGGTCAATTTGTGGTTCTTGTTGGCTGACAGTTATACATTTAGTAAATTATGAATTACTCCCATGATGGAGTCTAGTTTAGTTTAAAATTCTTATTACTACTTGTTTACGATAATAATATGACCGTTACACAGAAAGAAAAAAAAAACCACAAAACTGACAGCGTCCATAATGTCCTGTTTTCGATTTTTAACAGATAAATATGAATTTATTCAAGTGACCAAAATATAGACACGCATATACAGATATGGGGGCAATTGTCTGAACATATATTAATAATAATAACAATAAGAAGATAAATTCATGGTCTAACACGGCACGATGCTAGTGACGTGACGACGACAAATCAATAATAGCATTCGCCAAAGAAACCAGTTCATCGTCCACCCACCATATACCGCATGTCACAACCATATAACTTTGGTTTATATTTACATATAAAGCTTTATTTATGTTATATAATACTAATTTCTCAAATTATGGTTTAAAAAGTTTTGGGTTTCTCGGTTTTATCTACTGATTAAGTTTTATTAGTATTACTATTTACTAGCAAGTAGCAAAGCTGATCTAGGTTTCACTGTTATGTTTTTGATGAGATATTGTCATCTCTGATTTTTAGAGAAAGCTTCATGGGTTTGTGCTCTGTCCCTATATATGATAGACTCTTTTTTCTAGCGTTTTAGTGGATTTCTTCTCGTTTTTATGCTTTGGCCCAATCCACTTTTAAACAGTCATGAATATTTTCATGGACAGTTTTTGTTTTCACTAAATTGTGGATTGAGTCCATTATCACATTGGCAGGATCCATGACTAGTCGCCTACATTTTCTTATCCAATAAAATCTTCATAAGTATCTAATCATCTAATAATAATTCGGATTTTAATATTGTGCACTTCATCTTAATTAGTATATCAAAAATAATATATGTATCATATCAAATTTATATCTTAGTAAGTATTAAAAATAACTAAAAAATTAACAAAACACATTTAGTAAAAAAATAAATGATTAGTCCAAAATTTAATTTGGAAAACCAAATTTATTTTAATATATACATAAATAAAATTTATAAAACAAAACATAAAAAATATATACTAACACTCTCACCAAGTAATCTAAAATTCATTCTTTATGCTCATTGCTTTTTTAATCTAAGTTTTTTTTGTGTGTTTTCACTTACAAATAAAATTACAATACATTCATAAATACAATTTTTATCCAATTAAAATCTAATTGACCAATAAAACACATAAATTAGCATATAATTTGTTTCTCGGTTTTTCTTATTTTTCTTTTTAGTTAAGAAAAAGAAAAGTTAAAAAAATTATATATACATATGTAAATAATTAGTATATGTAAAAATCTGATCGATAAATTTGACATGTGTCGCAATCATATGAGTTTCTAACTTACAAACCAAACTTTATATAATAACATAAAAAATATTTTGTTATACTTTTCTATAATTCTGATTGACAAAAAAAAATTCTGTTTTAATCTTAAAGGTAAAATGTGTCACAAATTTTTTTGGTGGCTACTATTTTAATATCGATTTGATACTGTTTTTGGTGAAAGAATCACTAAGTTACTGAGTCAAATCATTGTGCAAAGTACTATTTTTGTTTGTGTGTTACAAGTTGTTCTGTTTTTCATATAGTCCACAACCAAATCACATGGAATGTCTTTCCATCATCATTAATTATTATCATCAATATTTTCGCCATCACTATTATCATATTTTTTGTTAAATAATGTCTTTGCATTATACGTTTCCTTCCTCGTTAATATCATTTAACCAAGAAAAAATAGAAAAAAGGCCACATGAATTTGTATCATATAACAAGCCATAATTTAAGGATTAGAACGAACCCTATATATAATATTGCTGGATATTATTTATGCTGCATCCCGTTGATATGTGTATATAGTATATATGCATGCATAAAGCTATGGTAAAAGTTCATTGACCTCAATAAAAGTTTGATTTATTCGGCATTTCAATTATATTCGATTCTGTGAATGATTCACAACTCTATGTTTAAAGCATCTACTTTATGTTTTATTAAAAGATGACCAATACTACTTTTCGTTTGCTTAACCCCGAATCATAAGTTGTAAAAGTTCTCTAAGAATAAACAAAATATAAAAAAAACAACTACTACATTCAACGTTTTATCCAAAAAGAATGTAACATGCTAATGTCATATAATACTAGATCGCTTAATGGAAAAAATGTATTAAAAAGCAAGTTTAGATAAATATAAAGAATAATGGTGATATGGAAGGATTTTTAACTAATCACTAGTATAGTGTAGCATGTCCATGTCAACATATAATACTAGATCAAATACTTAAATGGAAAAATCGTAGTCGATAAAAAGCAAGTTTAGATCAAGATGAAGTCATGGATATGGGATGATATTAAACTAATCAATATAATATAATTAATCTTTAAAAAGAGTATGAAATTAGGTCGCGATAACGTGAGGAGCCAAAAAACACAAACACTTTGGTGATGGGTTTCGATTGATGACAAAGCATCAACTTCTTATGTACTAAAATTTCATGTACAGTATTTTTGAATAAGCACAGAAACTGTATCATATATGGATATATAATGTGATATTGATCAATTTTAGATAAAGATTTTAATTAAGAGAGTTTACTATATTTATCAATAAGTATAATCAATCGTGTTTATTACTTATTACGTGTAAAAGACTATATTTCACTGTGGAACAAATAAATTAGTCAGGCTAGCTAGACCGATTTGAAACCTTTAATACATATGATGATTTCTATAGAAAGAAGAATTTTTAAAAGTTTTGGCTTATTCTAGAAGACATTTATTTTGTTCAATGGTTGCTTCGAATGTAAATATATATAAGATCATTTTGGTAGGTCTTTACTCTATAGTAATCTACACTCATAATTTTTTTTATATGGGCTTATTAACAAACTGGCCCTTTTGGTACTCATGTATAATGCTTCCAAGTTCCAACACGAGTATTTAATTTTCACATTATTAGACACGGTCTTGCTTCTATAATTCTATTTTGACATTAGTTTTAAACTTCATTGTTGTCACTGTTTACAAACGAGATTAAACAAAAAAGTGAAAAACAATTGGACATTGTTGGATAATAATATTTCTTCTACATATTGATCTCGCTTTGATCCTTGCCAATAGGTCAACACATTTGTTACTCTCGATAATCACTCCGCTCAACTAGCTCTTGTGGTTTTAATGTAATGGTGAAGCTTAAGGTTTTTCTATATATAGCTTCAAATAGCACATACTAGAACCCCAAAGATTAGTGCACTATATTCAACCTGCATCAACTCCATTTGAAAGTCTGTATAATCCATCCGAAACAATCATATCTTGCGCTGTCCATATCCAAAATTATGTGAAGCGTCATAATTACACTTCATCCACCCTTCTGTCGGCATCCTCCATGGCACTGACCTGGAGCTTAATAAACACATTTTGGTTTGTATTAAATATTTATGAAAATCAATAGTCTCAGTGTCACACACGGATAGAGAGGTAGAAATTAGAGAATCTTATATATGAATCTTTTTATTTAAGCAACAGACTTTTATCTGTGTAACTTTTTATCATTTCTTTTGGAACAACCTTTTCCAATAGTATATAATTTATTCAGAGCGTTCCTAAGAATTTTGTTTGATAAATATGTTCACGAAGTTTCTGCTACGTTGAGAAAATTTATAGCAAAATGAATGTTATACGTACGTACATGTTTAACTCATAATGAGACTTTTTTTTTTCTGGATCTCGTAGTATATAACCAGAAAGCATTAATGTGGAAAGATCTATTACTGTAGCATATGATGAATTAAATCGTTGTATATAAATTTTCTTTTACAACTTACAAACAATTTTCACATGGATTTTTAAAGAAGCTGGTATAAATAAAAACGATTGTAGTTTAGTTTTGGAGTATTCGAATAAAATTCAGATTTTGAACTCATAAGAAACTTACACCTTAAGTTAGCAACTTTTTAAAATTAAAAGAGAAAAGAGATACAGAACTTTCCAAACATTATTGAACATGTTCTGATACTTCACTAACCATATTGAAACAGATGGCATAATCACTTTAATTATATAACACACATATCTTATCTATATATGTTAAATATTTTTAGTTTTTTTTTAACGTCTAAATATATATATATATATATATATATATACACACTGCACACACACATCACACATGGCATACACATTTTATATTCTCATTCCACGATAAAATTATAAAGAAAACGGAATTCAATCTGATTGAATACATAATTACATAATCGAATTTGTATGTCTTACACACGATATATAATAATCTCAAATTATGGTTTAAGTCCGGATTCCGTGCAAGTAATTGGTATATGTATAATATTATCACGAAATTATTTTAGAAATCAAACAATCATACTGATTTATCACCCATGGAAATGTGGGTAAATCTATTAGAATAATTTCACTAGATTTAATTTAAATCCTGCGATTTAAAATTATTCCACATTTTGAAGGAAAAAAAGAACAACGTGAGATGTCTATGTAATCAGAAACAATGGGGGTCTTTTCTAGTCGCATTCTGGCATTAGTTGAGTCGATTTTTTTTCTTTGTTAGGCTGATGTTGGAAAAACAGATAGATTTATTTAAAAAAAAAAAACAATGTATGATTTAATTAATTGCTATGAACTGTTTAAGTGTTTCTAACTATTACGGAATAGTCTTAAAAGAATAATAATGCGACTAGTTTATATAGTCTCACTATCATTCATCAAGTTTAATCTTTGGTTGGTAAGTGCCAGCTCATGTTCTTTAATAGCCACATTGCACACATATAAATTACAATAATTAAATCAGTTTCAAGATTACGCAAATGTTTTAAATATGACAAAATTTTACTATATGTTTTCGAATCGAAATAATCTAGCGTAGTATTCATAACTACCACCAACATTGTTTTGATACTGTAAATGTTTGCTTTTAATAAACTGTCGAAATAGAACGGCGCAATTAGTTGTATGTAGAGTAAAATACTCTAAAAAATGTGAATACACTCTTCTTCTTTTTTTTCATGTCGACGAATCACAAACAAATACGATAGATTTTTTTAAAATTAAACTTTTTGAAATCATTATACGTGTATTTTTAGGGAATTTTCTCTTCTTCTTTTTTTTTTTCTAATTCATGTCGACGAATAACAAAAGCTCACCATCAAACGAAGAATAACACAAACAATTAGAACTAGAACAAAAGAAAACGATAAAGCAATTTTATTCTCATGTTAAAATGACATAATTCAATGACGCGTGTCCCACCAATAATCACCACTCACTCTCCATATATACTTCACATACAATCTTTCACTCATATATATACCACCACAGTCACACACATTGTTTTATAAATGTAAATCAAAAGAGAACTAAACCAAGAAACAAAAATGGGATACGAAAGGCTCGGACCATCTGGAGCAACTAGTTCGGTCCCAACCTCCACTACTACAGCTCCGATCCTAAACCAAGTCTCCACGTCATCACAACCGGAGAACAACAACCGAGGAAGCAAAAAGAAGCTTGTAGTGTCATCAATCGTCTTAGCCATCTCACTTATCCTCGCCGCCGCGATCTTCGCCGGAGTCAGATCACGTCTCAAGTTAAACCAATCTGTTCCAGGCCTAGCTCGTAAACCAAGCCAAGCAATCTCTAAAGCTTGTGGGTTAACTCGTTTCCCCGAGTTATGCGTTGACTCACTCATGGACTTTCCCGGCTCACTCGCCGCTTCCTCCTCCAAAGATCTGATCCACGTGACGGTGAACATGACGCTCCACCACTTCAGCCGCGCTCTCTACTCCTCTGCTTCACTCTCCTTCGTCGACATGCCGCCACGTGCTCGCTCAGCTTACGACTCTTGCGTCGAGCTACTTGACGATTCCGTCGACGCGCTCTCACGCGCTCTCTCCTCCGTCGTATCGTCCTCGGCCAAGCCACAAGACGTTACCACGTGGCTTAGCGCGGCTTTAACGAACCATGACACGTGCACTGAAGGATTCGACGGCGTCGACGACGGTGGAGTGAAAGATCATATGACGGCGGCGATAAAGAATCTTTCTGAGCTTGTTAGTAACTGTTTAGCCATATTCTCGGCGAGTCACGACGGTGACGATTTCGCCGGAGTTCCGATACAGAACAGGAGGCTGTTGGGAGTGGAAGAACGAGAAGAGAAATTCCCGAGATGGATGAGGCCAAGAGAACGCGAGATATTGGAAATGCCGGTATCTCAGATACAAGCTGATATTATCGTCTCGAAAGACGGCAACGGCACGTGCAAAACTATATCGGAAGCTATCAAGAAAGCTCCTCAGAACAGTACTCGCCGGATAATTATCTACGTCAAGGCCGGAAGGTAAAATTACGGTTTTACCCTTCGTATTAATGGATGTTTTTAACTGTTATGTCCGTGAATGACGAAAGTGAAAAACTAAAAACCAGTACGGAGGTTTAATAATTGCGTATCTCTGACTGTGTCTGTGATCTCTGTGTTTTTTTTTTTATTTTTGGAAAGGTATGAAGAGAACAACCTCAAGGTCGGTAGGAAAAAAATAAATTTGATGTTCGTTGGAGATGGGAAGGGTAAAACTGTCATTTCAGGAGGGAAAAGTATATTTGACAACATCACTACTTTCCACACGGCGTCATTTGGTGAGTTTTTTTTTATCCCTCACTCTTCCTTTTTACTATATCCTTTTCACTTTTTGAACTCTTTTGAAATAATACAACAATAATGATAAATAGTTAAAAGCAAAACACGTAGAACCAATATTGTTTAATGCAATTAAACTAAACATGTACAAGAATTATAAATTGATACACTAATCTTTTCGGTGGTCGAAAATCAGAATATTTTTTTGGTTCCATAATAGAAAAGTTAAAAGATCTTTTTGTGTTAATTAAAATTTTAAAAAGGAGCTACGAGGGTCAACATTTATGATATAATAAATGTCGTTTTTTCTATGGATTTAATATTATACTTTTTGTTGTACATATTTTTTACTGGAAAAAGGTATTAATATAAAGAAGTTAAGAAGGAAAAATATATATACTTTGAGGAGAATTATTGGAATCAGATACGTGAAGGGGGGCCATGAGCTAGGCTGTCTATAGATTTCGGATTGATAGGGTTTTAAAAAAGTGTCCAATAGATTCTCTTAAATTTAGAAATTTTTACGAATATTAGTTGTCTTTCACCACCACTTGTTTTGTATGTGTTTTTTTTTTTTTTTTTTTTTTGTAAAAGATTTAACACAACTTGTGTTTATTCTTCATATGGATTATGGACCCACTAAAGAAAGCTATATTTAAGTAAACCTTCTAAATAGTAGTAGTATGTACTCGAACCAGTAAACAAAGTCAATATTATGGACCACTAAATTTGTAAATAGTGATATTTGAATTTTTTTTCTTTTGTGTTTTGGTATTTTCTCATAAGGCACTCAGTAGTCGTTTTTGAATTATTTGTTACTAGTCTGAATTATCATATGTGCAACAGAATCTTTGTTTAATTCCTTTTTTTCTTCAAACAAACAAGTTTTAATGCAAATGTCATTCACCCGTTTTTATCTGCCACTTCCGCTCAAGAACCTTCTTATGGCAGACTTAGCTTTAATTTACTTTTGACCAACTTTTTCTCGCGCATGCTGAGTTAAGACCTAAGTTGTAGTTCTTACGTAAGTTTACGTGTTTCTTGTGTTTTACAGATGACCATGATCTAACAACATTGATCTTTTCTTTTAACAACATTGAAATTTGTTTATTTTCAGTTTTCATAGAAAAGTATCATAAAAATCTAAACAAATTTACTGGTTTGCTAAGTTTTACCGATTTATAATCAACTTTTTCGTATATTTTTTTTTTCAGTTTTGATCTTCAACTCAGTTTTGTAGAAACTTAAATTTGATCTAATCTTAGAATTGCTTTTTCGATAACTATATAGTACATCAACTTTATTTATTGGAATATTGACTTTTCCATAGGATTACGATTGAATTCGGTTAGGTAACACACTTACACTGAATTGGACATCCTATGTGATGCTGCCGCTTATCCAACCAAACTCACATGCATGTTGTTGTGATTTTTAATGTTCATTAAATGCACACAACTCATATCAAATCAAAATTATAAAACATTCTTTTGATCAAACACGTTTATATACTTCTTTACCTTCATCTAATATTCATTCCTAAATACTCAGATCCACTTACGTACTACAACAGTAAATGCATGCTCCACATATGTATAAACAAATATACATAGAGACACGCACACATGAGAATGCATACACATATAGAAGAATATGAACGTATCGTAAAGTTCGAAGTAGGCCGCGCAATTACTGACCACACATATTTGTATATATATAAACATGCATGATGGGAGACAGAGAAGAGTAGCATTTATTTATATATATAGTTGGAGGTGGGTCATGGCTCATTATTTGTTTGAACGCGTTTAGAGACCACTCACTACTCACTAGTTGCATACAAAATTTGTAGGTAACGACATTTCTCAAATGCTAGTTTAATTTCTACTTTGATTATATATAAATTTAGTAGAGTTAGTTTTGTCTGGCTGCATTCTTGCGTCTTTATTTAGACCTTAAACTTGTATTGATAACAATTAACTTTATCTGTCTTTTAGTGTGAGGAAAAAAAAAACAGACGAATAAATATATTTTCTCTGCAAAAATCTTAAAAATAACATGTCAAAATAAATTAATACCGTAAACTATACCTGTTGTTGTCGATCATAATTTTAATATTTTGTTACTGACGCCAGCTCAAGATTAATGTATTGCTGCATTCATGATGAATTAATAATTTTTGCTTTATCTTGATTTTTTTATTTATTTAAATTAGCAAACACAAAACATAATTGTATTTTTCTTGCTTTAATTTTTCCAGCTGCGACCGGAGCTGGATTTATTGCAAGGGACATCACATTCGAAAATTGGGCTGGTCCAGCGAAGCACCAAGCGGTGGCTCTCCGTATTGGAGCTGACCACGCAGTGATCTACCGATGCAATATAATCGGTTACCAAGACACACTTTACGTCCATTCAAACCGTCAATTCTTTCGTGAATGCGATATATACGGTACAGTCGATTTTATCTTTGGTAATGCAGCCGTCGTACTACAAAACTGTAGCATCTACGCACGAAAGCCCATGGATTTTCAGAAAAATACAATCACGGCTCAAAACAGAAAAGATCCGAATCAAAACACGGGAATATCGATACATGCGTCTAGGGTTCTTGCAGCATCCGATCTCCAAGCGACAAACGGTAGTACCCAGACGTATCTAGGCCGACCTTGGAAGCTATTCTCTAGGACTGTGTATATGATGTCGTATATCGGTGGTCATGTACACACGAGAGGTTGGCTCGAGTGGAACACAACATTTGCTTTAGATACGTTATATTATGGAGAGTATTTGAACAGTGGACCCGGGTCGGGACTCGGGCAACGTGTGACCTGGCCGGGGTATCGGGTCATCAATTCGACGGCCGAGGCTAACCGGTTTACGGTGGCGGAATTTATATACGGTTCGTCGTGGTTGCCTTCGACCGGAGTTTCGTTCTTGGCCGGATTAAGCATATAGGTAGAGAGAAAAAATGAAATGCTTATGTTTCCGATGAATTGTTTCATTCTTACGGTCCTTATATTAATGGACATATCATTAATCCTATATATATGAGTATATTTTAACTTTTAATTGTACTATCTCCAGAGGTAATATTCAATAAGATTGACACTCGAAGATAGTTTTCCACGATACAGTATACATCATAAAAATTAAACTACTAATTTGGTTTTACATAAATTTTGAAAAATAATATATAGGCCGGCTTTGATTGGTAATTCTTTACCGTATATGTCATACTTTAATGCTTTTTTGTGTGTCAAAACAAGGGCTAAAAGTCCAGACTCAAGCGACATTATTGTGTTTAACCGACTAAATGTTTCGAAAAATATGATTTTTTTTTGCATTTTAATATTGCAACAAAATAAAATTCAAACATTGAAAAAAAAAATGAATTGGATGTGTCGGTGCCGAGTGGTGAGAGCCTGAGAGAGGAAGTCATGTGATTGAAGTCAATAGGTCACGGCCCACGACCGACACCGACTGTGGGATCCACGATTTTTGGGAACTTATGTTCCAGTCATGTTCGACGTCCAAACATCATTTTCGTCACTTTCCAATTAAAATGTTTTCTTACCCAATTCATATCTTATTCGATTAGTGATTTATTCTAGGATTTCAAATTCGTAGGTAAAACATGTTATTTCCAAATCAATAAGAATTTCCAAATTCCCTATGGATTTACAAATCCATAATTAAAATAAAACCCCCTTAGTATAAATAATCTTTTCCAAATATAGTCGAACTAATCAATTTGAGTTTTTACTCTCAAACCCGCTAGACCACTATCTACTTGGTTGATAATATAGTTTTGTACGTCAAATTTAGGTTTTGAATGGCTTTTTAGACCAAATGAAAACCAGGTGTTATTGGATTGGATTGGTCATTTGCTATATACTTGTTAAAGGGCCGAGTTAAAAAGCCCATTTAAAGGAAGACATCTTTTGCTTGTGAATGTGATGTTGGGATTAGATTCGATTTTTAACCATCGGTCTCATTCATTTCGACTTCACTTTTCGTCCTCTTTCTTCTCCAGATCAAATATTGTTACGTCAATCAATTTCAATGGAACAGAAATTGTAAGTATCTTTGGTTCGTTTATGGTTTTCTTAGCTGTTATAAAGATCCAACCCTAACTCTTTGAACACTAATTTTATCTTTTTTTAGCAAAACCGACGGTTTAGGATTGAGTAATCGAGTTGCTATGAATAAGGACAGAATCAGTGAGTTGCCTGATGCTTTGCTTCTGCAGATATTGTCTTCACTTCCGACAGAAAACGCCATAGCCACGAGTGTTTTGTCTAAACGTTGGAGATCTCTTTCGACCATGTTGCCAAAACTCAAGTTTGATTGCGATTTTAATCCTGTGCTTGATGATAATAACATAGATCCTCATATGTTTTCAGAGAATGTTTACAGGACCTTGACTTTACATAAAGCTCCGGTTCTAGAGAGTTTGCATTTGTCATTTGAAGGTAGAACTGATTGTTCGGATGTCGGAATATGGATCGCAACCGCATTTGCTCGCCGTGTGCGTAAATTGGTATTGGATAGTTTCTATCAAGAGGATCAGACTGTCACGCTTCCGAGTGTTTTGTTTAGCTATAATGATACACTTGAGATCTTGAAACTCAAGTGTGCTATCGATTTAGAATTTCCTTCTCGGGTTTGTTTGAAGTCTCTTAGAAAGCTTTACCTTTACCAAATACACTTCAAAGACGAAGAATCTGTTTCCAATCTTTTACGTGGCTGTCCTAGTCTTGAAGATTTGGTCGTGCATAGATATAGCAATGCCGATGTGGCGACTTTCACTATTGCGGCGCCATCATTACAGAGATTGACCATAGAAGATCTTTGCCAAGAAGGAGGTTATGGAAATGGAGGCTATGTGATAAATGCCCCTGCTTTGAAATACTTGAACATCAACGGGTTTATTGATATTGAGTCTTGTCTGATTGACAAGGCACTAGAGCTAGTGGAGGCGAAAATCAGTAACGTTTCTGATATAGCTAATGAGAACATTCTGGAGTCTCTAACTTCAGCCAAACGTCTCATCTTACACTTATCACCCCTTGAGGTAAGCTTAAGATTGAACATTTTCCCCTGGTTGGTTATTTTCTCTGCAGTTGGGCTAACACTGTTTTTGTGTATTAAATGTATGTAACAATGTTACACTGTTTTGTGTAAATGTACTCAGATTAAAGTTCCTACTGGTAAAATCTTCGATCAGCTAGTCTGTCTAGAGCTACTTACACACGAAAGGGACTGGTGGAATATGCTCTCGATCATGCTCGATAGTTCTCCTAAACTACAAATCCTCAAGCTCACGGATGTAAGCAATTTTGCTACTCAACTACCTTTTTTGTTTGTTTCCACAACTCCACTTTCAGGTAATTTGTTGATCTAGATGACATGAACTGCATTGTTCCCAGATTTATCTGCATGACAACAAAAAAAATCCGGACGAACGAAAATGGAATCCACCAAAATGTGCACCGGAATGTTTGTTGTTCCATCTTGAGACATTCGTGTGGATAGGATATGAATGGCAACGAGGAGATGAGAAAGAAGTGGCCAAATACATCCTAGAAAACGCAAGACGGTTGAAGAAAGTAACTTTCTCCACAAAACGCATCGAGGGGGAAAAGCTCGAAAAGTTGGAAAAGAGACGTGAGATGCTCAACGAGTTGGCTAGTGTGCTCTGGGATTCATGTTCATGTCACCTTGTGTTCGAATCTACTTAAGATCTTAAGACTTTTATTCTGTTGTTTTGGCCATTGGTAAATGTATAATTGACTACTCTACCTATATGTCGGATGCTAATGTTTGGTGACCTTTTGAGGAAGAGATTCAGAAGATTATTACTTTATATAGTTTAAAGAGTAGATTCGTTGCCATTGGAAGGTCTACTTTTTGAATATCTTGCACCAACTAGAAGAGTTTCTCTCAAAGCTAAAACTGCTTCAAGAGATTTCTTGGCTCAATCTTATGAGGCTATAGTTTATCTCCTTTGGTTGCAAAGAAGGTTAATACAAAAATATTAAACTAATGTTGTTTTAGTTAAGACAATAATATAATATTTAATAAAAACTGAGATTTTAAAAATTCAAAATTAAATTTCGTTATTTCTTGTCAACATTTTGGTATTTTCATAAAATCAATTACAATAATAATTTTCTTCCCTTATATAGAAACTTCATATCTTCAATATGGACGAACAGAAATGGAATCCACCAAAATGTGTTCCGAAATGCTTGTTGTTCCATCTTGAGACATTTGTGTGGAGAGGATACGAATGTCAACGAGGAGGGGAAAGAGATGGCCACATACATCCTAGAAAATGCAAGACGGTTGAAGAAAGCAACCTTCTGCACAAAACCCATCATATCGAGACAGAAAAACTTGAAAAGTTGGAAGTAGGACGACACTCTCTACACGTGCTTGGATGAATACTAGTCTAAAATGCTAATATCGGTTATGGACAGTGGTTCGCAATAGCAGCTTAGGACTCACATATGCAGCAACGATTACATTGTCTTATATTCAAATTACTTTTCTGTTATCAACAAAAGTTTTCGTTGAAGAATATATCTTGTCTATGCTTTTTTTTTGTCGTCTCTTGTCTATGCTTTATTTTACATACTATTTCATTTCAGTTATGCAAGGATCAGAACAGTATATACATATGTGGTCATGGATAATGTTGGTTACCCTAACTCTTGTACTCTATCATGAAAGGTATGGGAGGACAACTCATCATTTTTGCTTTCATCGCAATGGAAAACTGGTTGAAAGGGTATCAACAGGTTCTACGCTATAACTTTTTGCACGAGTATTTATTTATATCTTGTGATAGCTATGGTTCTTTTCAGAATCAACGAGGATTGTGATCTTACTGGAACTTTTTTAGCCGTTGTGTATATGTTGTTTTACGAAAAGTCAAAAGGCTTTGAGATCCTATCTCTTATTATCATCAGCATAGTCTTAGATGCCCTCGAGAGTTTTTTTGTTGGTGGTGAAAGTTTTAGATACCCTAGTGATAGGCTCCCACGTCTAAGGTTGGGGGATCGACCATCATACAGCCGATAAGAGTTAGTATTAGCTTATGTTAGAATTAGGATTAGGGTAACAGTTAGAGGTAAGCGTTAGAGTTCTCTCAAAAAACAAAAAACAAAAAATGGTTGTAACTTATTAACTCATCAGAACAACAAAACAAAAATGGTCAACTCTACATAGCTACAAAAGTTTTAGATATCATGCAGTAAGATATTTCTACCTAGAGATATATATTGGCTAACTTGATATGGAATCAATAATTCATAGCTTGCTTTTCAAATATATGTCGGGTCATCTTGTCTCCGATTCAGTAAATCCTCTGTTCACACAAATCAATACCGTGTAATTTTGTACTAATTTTGTAAAGGTTGAATACCCAAACAAAAAATACATGAAATACGGATATTTCATCTAAATCCTAGACCTATTTCTTTACCCGTTGGACTATATACAATAAAAAAACTGGTAAATTATTTCAAAAGAAACAGTTATGAGATGAAAAATTGCTGGCAGATGTGGGACAAGACGGGCTTTCCGTCCCACAATCGATATGCTTACTTTATCTTATTTTCAAGTATGAGTATAAGTACATAAACGAGATTGAAATTATGGGTAATAGATAGATATCAGAAAGGTTGAGCTAAATTCAATTCTTAAACTCTCATTTTTCTTTTACATATTGAGAAAAATAATGTAAAACGAATTTATGTTTCGTAATTTTTACAATTTTAAAATTAGAAACCAACCAAACACAAATAAAATTATGGTTATTTTCGGTTCAGCTGGACTTCCCCAAACTAAGCCGGTAAATAGTAGTACCCAGCCAATATATCCTAAACCGTACCGTAATGATCAAACCGGAGCCAAAGTGGTCTTTAACACAGGTTTTTATTGTACATAGGTTTTATTTTTGTTACACCAATGGTCCTAATATATATTTTACATAGGTTTAACATATATATACTTTCAGCTAGTCATTATACATAGATTATATTTTCAATACAACAAAGGTCCAAATATATTACATACATATACTGTAATAGGGGCCGAATCGATCTAACAAATGCATTTACAACCTGTAGCATGTCCAGTGACACCCATGCGGACATGGCTGTTTTTTGCGGTTACACGGTCACTTGGTTCATCACATGCGTTCGAGATGGACTCGTGCTGCAATAGACTTCGACTCTCTACCATTCCATTATTAGGTAATTTTATTTCTACAACGTTCAACGTTAAGAATAAATTGATTGTTATTCACATGAGATCACAATATTGAAAACTGAAAAGATTAAACTCTCGTGAACTTTCTCGATCAGTTGTAATATTTTCTAAAAATCTATGATTGTCTTTTCAAATTCCTTATAAAGAACAACACAATTTCTAAAAGATAAATGAACATATATGTAGACATTGCATCATCACTATTAGTGATTTCATAACCAAATTGATGAAAGTGATCTGTAGATCCAAATTTGTTGAGTCACAAGTTTATTTTAACCAAGTTTATTATAGCATTTTATTGCTTAATTTTATTAGTTTGACAGTTACACATATCATATAGCCATCATATTCTCAGATCTTTGCTTCATCATCGTAGTTCTTAGTTCATATCCGGTGGCGGTGGCCGCGTAGGACGACCTCAACCGTTTACATCCGATGGCGGTGGCTGTACAGAACGACCCCAACCGTTTACATCCGATGGCGGTGGCTGTACAGAACGACCCCAACCGTTTACATCCGATGGCGGTGGCTGTACAGAACGACCCCAACCGTTTACATCCGATGGCGGTGGCTGTACAGAACGACCCCAACCGTTTACATCCGATGGCGGTGGCTGTACAGAACGACCCCAACCGTTTACATCCGATGGCGGTGGCTGTACAGAACGACCCCAACCGTTTACATCCGATGGCGGTGGCTGTACAGAACGACCCCAACCGTTTACATCCGGTGACGGTGGCCGTGTAGGACGACCCCAACCGTTTACTCTCTGATCGTGGCTTGGGTTTGGGCCTGTTTCCGGACTATCCATCATTTTCGGAATACTCTCTTCAACCTACATTACATTTTTGGTTTGGTAAAAAATTTCACAATAATTATCATATGCACATCTATTTGTAAGTGACTGAAAATATTGATTACTAATCAGAGAGAAAATAAATAATCTATGAATATTATGCATTTTGGTTAATGATATTGCTTACCATATTTACTGAATATTGGTCGGTGTGAGGAGCTCCATCTCCATGGCTCTCTCCAAACCCTAAAAGAGAAAAGGTGAATTCAATAAACAACCATATTATTAGATTATAAGTGTGAAATCGTTAATAATCAGACTAGATCTTTGATACTACAAATGTAAAACTATCTAATTAGTTGATTTAAAACATTCTCAAATTACTTGAAGAACACAAGGGAAGAAGGAGCAAGAACGACATGAGAACCACCAGCTTCATCTTTGAAAGCATTTTCTTAACACAAGATATATGTTTTGGTTTTGTTGTTTGGAAGAGTAAGACATGCTTCTCTATATATATAGCATACACAGGTTCGTAGTTACCCACTGGTGGAAAAATGTTTTGACAAATAGATTGGTAGGTCTGAATAACTATGCAATACACATTTATTACAATACAAAGTAAATCTTTTGGTCATATAATTTCTTTTCAGACAATTGACATATTTACAATTAGTCGTCAAATTGTTAATTAGGTTTTCAAAGACACAAAAAAAAAAAAAGGAAAAAACTGAGGAACTACCAGTCAAGAAATTCCACCGGAAAAGCTTATTTTGGGTTGGATTTTGGATGAAGGTTGCTAAAACTTTCCGTTTTGGGTATTAAAAAAGTTGGTGAGATCTACTTTTCAAACCAAATTTACTTCTTTTTACGTTATACATTATCATTCATTTTACTTATATTGCGAAAACATTTACATAAGCAATTGATGACATAATAATTAGAATAGCTATCACTATACCATAGGTCCACAACTAATTAATTATACAGAGAGATAGTTGTACTTTTCACGAAAAAAAAGAATACCCTATCTATCAATCAAACATACTTATTTTGTGAAATAAAGAATCCAAGAAACAAGAACACAATGATTGAATAATTCATCTTAGAGTAATTGGAATCAAAATGTAAGTTTCTTCAATGCTGATTTCAGATATTTTTGAGTTCGAGATATTCCATCTCTGTTACTAAAAGATACTATAACCTAAGTATATTCTTTCAATTGGTAAAAGTAAATTTAAGCTAGCTTTCTTGGATCTAAATTCGAATCTAACCGGTTTTTTTTTTACCTTCCAAGAGAAATCTTTCTTTTCAAAAGATCCATGCAGAATATGAATCAAAACATTCTACAAACACTAATAATCGTCAAACCATAGTTACACGTTGAGATTCCGACGCGGATCTTACGTGTTTTTAGCTCAACTGTGTTATTTTCTCCACTTTCTAATCAAACGATGATGCACTTCAAATAAAAATTAATAATACTTCTTCCGTTTTATAATATAAAATGTTTTGGAGAAACCTTTTTATTACAAATATAAGATTTTTTCAAATTTTAATGCAAATTATAGATAAATTTAATATTTTATGATTGTTTATATTTTGCAGTCTCTTTTATAATTGGTTGAATATTTTTAAAATAGATATTTTTTAATTTATGTGTTTTTGGCTAAAATAACTTATATTTTAAAATGGAGGAAATAGTAAACTACGCCGCACACTCAAGGAAAAAAGTTGCAATCGGCAAGCTCTTGCTTCTTCTATGCAGCAAATATGCTGCGTTTTCCATTTTGCTCCGAAAGTTAAAAAATTTTGGAAAAATATTATGAGATCATTTCGTTTCGTTTTCTACCAAATTACATGATTTAAACAACAATGGATCACTCTTGTTTCACAAAAAAAAAAAAAAAAAAAAAAAAGCAACAACAATGGATCACTCCAAAAAAATCGAGCTAAAGGCCCAAAAGGGCCCATATATGAATAGCCACACCAAAACATACTTATCCTCGTTCCCAAACAACCCCTAAACCTCATCATCATCATCTCCAAACCCCAAAACTCCTAAAACCCTAACAAGAACCCTTACCTCTCTCATTTCCTCTCCAAGGAATCATTTTTCCACTGAGAAAATCTCAAGCATTTCCACCATGTCGATCTCTAAAGCCGCCTTTTTCAACCACCTTCAAACACTAGCGAGATCCTACCGCCACCGTGTTCCGCCGCAGCCATTTCTCGCCGTCCGATACATGTCCTTCGCTACTCAGGAAGAAGCCGCTGCTGAACGTCGTCGTCGTAAGCGTCGTATTCGTATGGAGCCACCGGTTAATTCATTCAACAGATCTCACCAACAACAGAATCAGCAATCTCAAATCCATAGACCAATTCAGAACCCTAATATCCCCAAGTTACCTGAATCTGTGGCTTCTCTCGTTGGGAAACGTCTCGATCTTCATAATCATATCTTGAAATTGATCCGAGAGAATGATTTGGAAGAAGCTGCTTTGTACACTCGTCACTCTGTGTATTCGAATTGCCGGCCGACGATTTTCACTGTGAATGCTGTTTTAGCGGCGCAGCTTCGACAGGCGAAGTATGGAGCGCTTTTGCAATTGCATGGATTCATTAACCAAGCTGGTATTGCACCTAATATCATCACCTACAATTTGATTTTCCAGGCTTATCTTGATGTTAGGAAACCCGAAATTGCGTTGGAGCATTACAAGTTGTTTATAGATAATGCGCCATTGAATCCTTCTCTTGCTACTTATAGGATTTTAGTTAAGGGTTTAGTTAGTAATGATAATCTTGAGAAAGCAATGGAGATTAAGGAGGATATGAGTGTTAGAGGTTTGGTGGTGGATCCTGTTGTTTATAGCTATCTAATGATGGGGTGTGTGAAGAATTCTGATGCTGATGGTGTGTTAAAGCTTTATGAGGAGTTGAAGGAGAAGCTTGGTGGGTTTGTTGATGATGGTGTGGTTTATGGGCAATTGATGAAGGGGTATTTCATGAAGGAAATGGAGAAAGAGGCTATGGAGTGTTATGAGGAAGCTATTGGAGAGAATTCAAAGGTTAGGATGAGCGCTATGGCTTATAATTATGTGCTGGAGGCTTTGAGTGAGAATGGGAAGTTTGATGAGGCTTTGAAGTTGTTTGATGCGGTGAAAAAGGAACATAATCCACCGAGGCGTTTGGCTGTAAATTTGGGAACTTTTAATGTGATGGTTGATGGGTATTGTGCAGAAGGAAGGTTTGAGGAAGCTATGGAGGTTTTTAGGCAAATGGGTGATTTCAGGTGTAGTCCTGATACTTTATCTTTCAACAATCTGATGAATCAGATGTGCGACAATGGATTGTTGGCTGAGGCTGAGAAGCTTTACGGTGAAATGGAAGAGAAAAAGGTGAAGCCTGATGAGTACACATATGGGTTGTTAATGGATACTTGTTTCAAGGAAGGTAAGATAGATGAAGGAGCTGCGTATTACAAAAAAATGGTTGAGTCTAATCTAAGACCAAACTTGGCTCTGTATAACCGATTGCAAGATCAGTTGGTCAAAGTCGGGAAACTCGACGATGCAAAATCCTTCTTCGATATGATGGTGAGCAAACTCAAGATGGACGATGAGGCTTACAAATTCATCATGAGGGCGTTAAGTGAAGCTGATAGACTCGACGAGATGCTCAAGATTGTGGATGAGATGCTAGATGATGACACAATTAGAGTGAGTGAGGAACTGCAAGAGTTTGTTAAAGAAGAACTGAGGAAAGGAGGAAGAGAGGGAGATCTGGAGAAGCTAATGGAAGAGAAAGAGAGATTGAAAGCAGAGGCAAAGGCGAAAGAGTTAGCAGAAGCAGAAGAGAAGAAGAAGAGTCAAAGTATTAACATAACTGCATTAATTACTCCAAAAGCAGTGGAAGAAAAGAAAGAAACCGCAAAACTGCTTTGGGAAAACGAAGCTGGTGGTGTTGAAGAAGCCGATGTGGTGGAGATGGCTCAAGGAGTAGAAGCTGGTGGATCCAACGGTCAGGATCCTCCCCCGTCCGGCTGATCGTATTTTTTACTTGAATTTATTAGACTCTCTAGTTATCTTCCTATTATTCAACTTTTATGTAATTAGGGATTTGGTTGGGACAATAAGCTATGATTAATCTTTTGATATAATGCAGGTTTTGGCAAAATCTGTTTTCCATGTTTGCTTTTGGTTTCAATCTAACATGCTCTACTCGATGGTCTGTGTAAACTTTTCTTTATCACACAATGTGGTGCATATATATGTAACAAGGAATTGTAATCTTGTAACCATTTGGAACAAAGAGTTGAAGTGAATGCGAGATATTTAGGAAAGATTGAATTCCAATTACAGGAAGCAATAGAAACTTATCATCTGATTAAGAAAGCCTAGAAGATTATGTACACGGTACACTGGTGAAGTCAAAACCAAAACAGATAAGAGACTGGAAACACAGAACCAAAACTAACCGATCTAAACCAAGCCGGTCTACTACCCTTCAAGGAAATTTATTTAAATCTAGTATCATCAGATTAGATGCATTCCATGGAAGCAATCTATCAAAAATTAAGCTGGAAACAAGTTCTTATAGTCAAAATAGGATTCCTTTAGAAGCAAGGGTCACTGTAACTCCGAGCTCCGTGCTTCTTTGCTTGCTCTCTTTTCATCTGGGTGTGTTCATTGGCTGGGGCACCACCAACACAAATAAACAGATCAATGTTAGCCATATAAACCTTTAAGATAGAGATATTTGAAGCTTCGAATTAAAACTGAAACAAAGATATGATCATATAGACGATTTCACGATTTGCTTCAGTGGACATATCAAACTTTGGGATCGGTTGAAGCATCTATACTATGATAGAAGAGAAAAGTCAGAAGAGACATGAGAACTAGTTTTACTACCTGATTAGTGCATGAACTCTGAGCCAAGCATCGAACAAACTCTTCTTTCTTCTTGCCAAAGTTGAAGACAGCATGCTCACGAAGCACTTGCTCTCGCTTTATGTCCTCCAGCGTTTTCTCCTTCTTCCATTTCAGCTCTTTCATTTTCCTCTCTGCTTCACTATAGTTGTCCATCGTTCGTGAAGCAGTTGGCTTTGCAAATCTCACATTCACCTCATCACTGAAAATCACATTGGTTTCAGTTCAGGACAGCAGAAAAACAGCAAGAAGGAAAGAGAATCCAAAGAGGGAAATAAGTTCACGGGTTACAAGATTGTGAGAATCTTACCGGTTTCCAAGATTGAAGATCCCCGGTGTCCTGATGATTCCTCCATCCAAAGATACTGCACCATCACTTATGCATGGGAGGGCACTAATCATATCGGCCCTTGTTTTGTAAACTTGAAGGCGAGAGAATAGACTGTAGAACAAGGTCTCACGAAGACCATGTCCATATGATGTGACACAGAGCAAGTAAGCTGGATCGATTTGTATCATATTCACTGCAAATCCAAGAAACCCGGGAGGACACTCACCATTAGGCAATTTTGGTTTCAGAAGATCAAGCCTTCTTTGCAGATCATCAGCTATGTGCTGACCAACATACGGCCTAAAGTCATCAATTGAAGTAATTAGAAAAGGATTGCAGATGGAAGTGTATCTAACCAAATTTGTAATACATCTAGAAAGATTCAAACAAAAAGTAGTACCTCAGGTTTTCAAGGCAGATGGCATCAAAATTGCCTCCAATGGTTCTGCCAATCGAAGCGCCAAGCCCATGAAGGCCAGCATTTCTATCAATGTTGCCTTGGTTATCATAAGCCTCTAAAGCCGTAACACTTTCATAATTCCTGCATACAACTGCCAACATGGAGCGAGTCCCCAAATAATTCGCCAAAATCCTGCATGTTTAAAGTACCACGAGAGAAACTAGTCAGTTTCAGATTACAAAAACCATTGCAAGAAAGTTTTTGTAATATAATCTCTTGACACTGAGAATTTGAAGGTAATCTGAAAAAGGAACAGTGAGAAATGGAACTAACTGGCTGAGATTTTCATCATTGACCTTCCCAAGCTTCGCTACAACACCAACAACACCTTTTGTCAACATCAACTGAGAAGCCTGCGCGCCATGAAAAGTCTCAACCAGACCTAAAACTCCAGCAGCTGAGTTTTCGTGGCGAAGGATCTGTTCATTAACATCTTCACCCTGAAGATTGTTATCACAATTTTGACTTCTAGGAGTAGGAGACGAATGAAGCTTGCTCATATGAACTACAAAAGAAAACGAAACAAAGACATTGTAATTCACAACAAAACCTCAATCCAAACAAACATAAATTACCAAAATGTAACTATATGATCCCAAACCTTGCAAGTCGACGATTGCTTCATCCAATTTGTTTTTCTGTGACTTAAGAAACTTGAGATTATCCTCATGCTGTTTGAGTTTGTTACCCATAGCTTCAAGATCAGATTGAAGCCTCTTGGAATTGAACATAGCAAACTCAGCTTGATCAATGCCTCCTCCTACTCCTCCATTCTGTGTTTCATTTCTTGAAACTGGTGAAGACTGACCCAAATTCATCATCCTTGTTGGATCTTGAACATTCAAAGGAGTGGTCTGAAACGAAATCTACATAATCGGATACAAGGGTGACTCAAAGTCCATTCCTTTATAAACCCAAACATAATAAACCCTCAAATTTCATCCAATGTGGTCGCATGCAATCAAAAAGAAACAAAATTTCGAGAGTAGATACATGAATAAACAAGAAAGTACAAGTCTTTGCTTCAGATTCACAGAAAATTTCAGAGAGATTTGATCTCGCGTAAGAGAGATTATAGAGTTAAAGTCCAATTTTTTCCGACTAATTTGCTTTCATTTGCAAGTTTCTGGGTAATTGAGCTGAGATTCTTCAACTAACCTGTTGACCAGTCGGATACATTGCTCCTCAGCTTCAATGTTATCACCGGAGAATCTCTCTCTTTGCTTCTTCTCCGGTCTCTCTGAGTCTTGAGGGTTTAATTTTGTCTTCAGTGTTCTTCTGGAGAAAAACAGCCAATTGTTGTGACGTAATTAAATTAAAATACACAATAAAAATATAATTGAATAATAAAAGGAATATATTTTTGCCAAATATGAATTTTGTTATCTTTTTGGTAAGAATATTTTTCCTGTTATTATTATTTTTCTGGTGTATTTTAATTTAAGGCCCAATAAGCTTTGGAGGTGATGGGAATCTCAAATTCTCAATATCCAATCAAGTGCCACGAGTGGGCTTTGTGCTTCATACCTCCTTGCGACTTTGTGAGCCTGACTTTTCTCACTTTGTATCGTAAGTTTGATGATGAAAAACCCAAACCAGACGTAATTTTCTCACTTTGTATTTGAGTTTGATACTCGTGTGGATGTATGAGACTGTCAATGAGTAGTGAAATCGAAAGGTGGTCCAATTTGGAGGTGGTGTGTAGGTCTTGGGTCCTCATTAAGAAGTTAGGTCGCCGTTATTAAAACAACTGCACATTCTCATTTTTGTTTTTGTTTTTTTTTGTTTTTGTTTTTTCTCTCTTTTAATTTACATCTTAAAATACTATATAAGACAAATAAATCGGCGTAATTTGATATTTTAATATCAAAATTTTGCAGCTCTTGAGTAATTTCTGTAGGTATAGCCATAACGAATCAAACATCTAAATTTTCCGTTCATTCTTTAAAACTCATGTCACCAATGTTAATCATATAAATATTAACTTTATGTATAAATGCATATTATGATGTATGAGACCAATATATTTCCCTTTTAAGCTCGATATAAAAACTGATAAATTTCATGAATATATATTTTATAAAAATATTTCAGCATATTTAAGTTAATATCATATCTAGATGCAAAAAAATTTCTCACCAACATTCAAATTCGAAATATTATTCAAAACTGAATTTGAACAAACTAATTCGTAAATAATTAAACTTATCATATAGAATATAGTTTTTTTTAATATATAAATTCCGGAAGAATGTACTGGGCTTCAACTTGAATTTCCTCCGAATCCGATTACTACATATTCGAAATATACACATCTTCTTATCAGAATTATGTAAACATAATAGGTCCACAAGTCCACAAAATTTAAGAAAAAGTCAAATAATATTTTATATAGTATACAACAAATATGTAAATACAGAATTCGATCATTACAAATGTCAGAAGACTTTATAACAAATGGAAATAAAGGCGATTGGCGTTAAAATAAGAAAAGACAAAAGTAGAAACCTCGTGAACTTCGTAAAAACACTTAACGGCGTTTAACCGAACCCCACGTGACTCCGTTAATGATTTCATTTTATCGGTGGTGAAATGAGTGAGACATCCTCTCCTTCTCTAACTTAAGTCTCTCTGTGACTTCTCTCTCTCACACCTCTTCTTCTTATCTCTCTCATTCTCTAGACTTCAAAAATCGTTTCTAATGGCTTGATCACATTGCACGAACATGTAAGTTCCTCAATTCACATATATGTCTAACTTTTATGCATGTTGTGTGGTATAGGACAATGATATACATTTTGGTTTTGGCTACGTACTTCTTGGAATTGGTTTTGCTATTGCAGTATTTACAGCTTTTTTTGGAAATCTTTAAACATAATAGAGCTTATGATCAAAAAGTTTTGCCGGAAATATGGGAAAGAAGGGGAGTGGTGGTGGATGGTTCTCGACGGTGAAGAAGAAAGTCTTCAAATCCTCTCCTAAAGACTCAAAGGTTCTCTAATCACACCTTTAATTATTAATTTTTATTATTTTTTGTCAACCACCATTATATATACATAATTAAAGAAAATTAGGACATTAAGTGGGCTATTTAGAAGTATATATGATGATCTTCATCAAAACCCCATTCTAGCTTAAAGAAAGAAAGAGATTGATAGTAATCAAAGTACAAACTAATATACATAACGTTTTAAGTAAGTTTAGCACTGCTAACAAAACATAACTTTAATAATAAGATATAAACTAATACGACCGCATAACTACTTTTTCATAACTAAGAAATTTGGTTTTAATGTCCTTTTCTTGTTGATTGAAAGCAATTTCTATATTAATTACATAAATAACTTTTTGTTGCAATGGAAACTATTTTCTTATTTTTGTACCTATTTAATGAGGATTCGTAAGATATATTTATGCATATTATAGCTTAAAAGGGGGAAACAATAATACGATCTTTCATCTTATAAATGAATGACAAGTTGAGTTACAAAAAGTAAATGTTTAGACCGTATATTTATTAATTTAAGGCCGAAAAAGATTGGTCCCCTTGTGAAAGAGATAGACCAAGAAGGCTCCTTATAAGAGCATTTAAATATGATTTTTGTGACACCTACAAAAATCTTTTTTTCCTTCTCCCAATTTTCATGTGCATTGCTTTGTTCCCTCGCCATCACTCCACCCCATTTATTTCCCCACCTATAGATATAGTATACTTTTATGTCATGAACTTGTTTTGTATCTATAATATATGGTCTCATATCTTCACATTACTATAGTAGTATAGGTTCTCTTTTACCACTATCCAAAGTTTAGCCCCACAATCTTTATCATTTTTACTTTATATATTGGATCCCAACTCCAACTCCTCCTCACACTTACTATCGTCTCATCTATTAATACTCTGATCGCGATAACTAATTATGCGCGTTTAATAAGTTGACAATGAAAACATATGCATATCAAAACAACAAAAAATGTATTTAACAAAATTTGATTTTGAGTTTTGAGTTTCGACTAACATGCATGTCAATATATTAGTAGACTAGCTTTATACTACAATTTAGTTGAATTTTTATCAATTTTGTTTATCAAATTACTATCATGGTAATATTATAACATAAAAAATCACCAATGTCCAAAACCAAATAGTAGTAGCCTAGTAATTATAGTAGAAAGATGAATACTTTTGGGCGTCGAATATAAAAGTATGAAACTAAAAGTAGTAGACTAGTAATCATAAGCCAACAAGCTTATAAAGATGGAAATAGTTCAAATGATTATTATTATTATGTCACACTAAATTTACTTACATGCAGAGAGAGAACAACATTGGTAGTAATAACGCCGACATATGGCAGCAGCAACACGATACGCAAGAAGTCGTGTCGTTTGAAAATTTTCCGGCGGAAAGTTCACCGGAGATCTCTCATGACGTCGAGAGCACAGCTTCTACTCCAGCAACCAATGTTGGAGACAGAAAACACGCCATGGCTGTGGCTATAGCTACTGCAGCTGCTGCCGAAGCCGCGGTTGCAGCTGCACAAGCGGCCGCTAAAGTCGTTCGGCTTGCCGGCTACAACCGCCAGACGGAGGAAGATACCGCCGCCGTGCTCATCCAATCGCATTATAGGGGTTATTTGGTAATTTTCGATCCTAATTTTATTATCAAATAAATTCCAACTCTCATAAACACACTTGAATAATTTACCATTTTACCATAAACTTTTAGCAATTCTCTTATTCCACAAAAATTGAAATGCATTTGGTTTAGAATCCGGTATAACTAAATTCATTTCAGTATTATTACTAAACTGGTTTTAATGGAATTTTGTGTTTAGTACAACACAATTTATTGGCTACATTTTCTTTCATTGTAAACTTTTTGTAGTTGTAATTTGTAAACTAATGCCAAACCAGAAATCTTAAGAAACATTCTTCCTTACCAAAATTATGACCGATTTGTGGTCTTTTTCCTAGGCGAGGCGAGCACTTCGTGCCTTAAAGGGACTAGTTAGGCTACAAGCATTGGTCCGTGGCAACCACGTTCGTAAACAGGCACAAATGACTATGAAATGTATGCAAGCTTTGGTTCGTGTCCAAGGCCGAGTCAGAGCGAGAAGACTCCAAGTGGCTCATGACCGGTTTAAGAAACAGTTTGAGGAAGAAGCGAAGCGGTCCGGGATGGAAAAACCGAACAAGGGTACGTATTGAAATGATTTCAGCAAACTAAATCACCCAATATGTATATACATTTATAATTAGTGGTGAACGTAATATTTGTATGGTTAAGTAGTGTTTGCGAATCTCAAAACCGAACGAGAGAAACCGAAGAAATTGCATGAAGTGAATCGAACCAGCCAGTACCAAACTCCGGGAAAGGTAATGAGGAAAAATCTTACGTACTATTTTGCTAATGTTTCAATATATTTCTTTAAGTAATTACACTATTGGAATCTTCTTAGCTAATGTTTTTTGAATATACAGGAAAAAGAGAGGAGTGAAGGAATGATGAAAAGAGAGAGGGCTCTTGCTTATGCATACACTTACCAGGTTTGTCGCCACTCTGTTTCTGTTAAAAAAAATTTCTCTCTTAATTGTCTTAAAATATACTTATAGGTCCTTAAACACCTTTCACAATGATTTCGGTTTTCATATTGAAGCGCCAAATGCAACACACAAATGGTGAAGAGGGAATTGGGCTTTCTTCTAATGGGCCTGATAGAAACCAATGGGCTTGGAATTGGCTTGACCATTGGATGTCTTCTCAGCCATACACAGGCCGTCAAACCGGCCCGGCTCCAGGTCCCGGACAGTACAATCCTCCTCCGTATCCGCCTTTCCCGACAGCCGCGGCAACCACCACATCTGATGATGTATCGGAGAAGACGGTGGAAATGGACGTGAACACTCCAACTAGCCACAAGGACAATATAATCGGGCTTATTGATCGAGAGTATATAGACTTAGGATCATATAGACAAGGCCATAAGCAACGGAAAAGCCCAACCCATATACCAAGCTATATGGCTCCAACCGCATCTGCTAAGGCTAAAGTTCGAGACCAAGGCACAACCGTCAAGCTACAAGGAACTTCATTTATGCCGTATTGGAACTCCTCAACCAAAAACGGGTCGGTTAATGGATCAGGTTGTGATTCATCAAGTTCAGGTGGAGCAATAACAACCGGTTATCCCGGTCCTAGGAGTCCTAACCCGAAATCGGATATCCGACGTAAACCGGTTAGTCCTAGTCAAAGTCCTACCGGGTTTGGAAAGAGACGCTGGAGGCATGATCATTAGAAGAAATCATCTTAAATCTTGAATAAAAACTTACATGTGTGGTTGGTTAATTATCGTGTTTGAAATATATTTTCGTTGCTACATAATTGTATATGACATTAATAATGGAACATGTCATCTCAAGTTTTTAATGTCACGGTAATGTATGGGAACTAGGAATCCCATCTTGACCTGAATCTTTGGCCAAGGAGACCATGAGATAGTGATGACCAGACTTGAGAGGAGTATGACCAGGAAAAAAAAAAGATGGTCCCTTGTCTCTACTTGTTCACTACAAAATACACAATTACTACTCGCTCCTACATTCCACTTTACCAATCTATCTCACGTAGCTAGGCGATTATGAATAGTAATTCTGAAAGAGAACTTAGATGTGAAGTTAGGGAACCATACATCCTTGTACCAATCAAAAAATAGATTTACTTGCCGGATCAAATGCCAAGGGTCTCGCGAAGAAAACTTACAAGTGAATGAGGCATTTTTCCTTCTCCAAAGAAGTCGATCCTTGCCGGTTGGTAACTTGTTTCTTCTACATGGAAAAAGGAAAAATGTATGTAAATTACTACTATTGGAACTAGGCACATCTCAATCTATGAGAGGATTGTAGGTAAAACCAAAAAAAAGTTAGAGTTTTTTACTAATTTTTTTCAATCTAAAAATTAGACTTTTTTTTAAACCCATAGCAAATGCGTTATGTTGCCTACTCTTAGAGACGTCTTCGTAGTGTGTCTTTGGACTCTCCACAAGGCCAAGAGTTCGAATGACACTATGTTCTTATAATAAATTTTAATCAAAACGACGTAGTTTTATAATATATACACGATATTATATAGTTTGTTAAAGTCAAGCCTTGTATTGGAGAATAGATTTACAAAAAATGAAAAATTGAAAATTTATTGGCAGTTTTTCCTTTCTTTAAATCTTCTTAAAAGTTAGTATTATTAAATGGTAGTATTTTTGAAAAATAATATTTTTTAAAAAAATGTTTCCAACATGCAAGAATTTGAAGAAAATCCGATTGCTAACCAAAAAAAGCGAATTAAATATGGGACTCACAACTTTTGTATTAAATGACAAAACTAAAAATGATGCAATTGAAAGAAAATGAATCGCATGTTCAATTGGTTGCACCAAAAAGTTTTTTTGGTGATAAGAAATAACTGATGATATAAATTTGCACAAAATGATAACCGCTCCACCATAGTAAGAGCATGCACATAGTTGATACTCTATGAGTATCATAAATATTATTTTACTAAGAACATGCACATAGTTGATACTCTAGAGAGCACTCGTTTTGGCGTAGAAGTTCTCGGAAAACGGCGACCATATCGAATTTCAAGAGCCGGCGGAATTTGGAATTGATTACCATGATCAAGCAGAGCTGAGGAAGACGAAGACGTGGGAGAAGAAGAAGGAGAAGGAAGATGGGAAATCGAAAATGTTTTTTTTTTTTTTTTCTCTGCTTTCAAGGAAAACGCATTTCCAAGACCAATAAGGAGATCCCACGTCACATGATACTGGATATCAAAAGTATCAGTGGACTGATACGGATCAGACCCATTCTAATTGTTTGGTCCATTAAAAAAATAGTTTCTGGGCTCCTTATACTCATAAAAATATCACCTATGTGCATGGTCTAACCACTCAAACTGAGTGATAATGACAAACATGATTTATAATCATGAAATTATAGTTTTTATTTTTAAAAGTAATAAAGAATTACATGGCTGTCTAAAGACGTGCGTCCCTTAATGATTGCATGTTTTTCACTTTTTATCTCAAAAGTTATTTTGTTAAAAATGTTTTGACATGTTTTTTTGGTCAAAATCAAATGCATATAGCGAAAAAAAGAAAAGAAAAAAAAAGAGTTAGAGAGAACAAAAAAGAGAGAGCGTTTCGTTTCTCTCCGCAAATGATGGGACAAAAGTGGGTTTAAGTCTGAGGTTTCTTCGACTTGTCTCTCTATACCAACAACACTCAACGAGTACGAGACCATCGTCACTCACTTCCTTCCTTCAAATCTCAACTAAATCAATAGAAATTTCTCTCTTTGACTCTCTCTATCCAAATTTGAACTGTTGTTACTCTCTTCAAATCTTCATTTTTCTCAGACGAATTGAATCTCTCCTTCGAGTCGAAACACCCAGTAAAGGAACAACAGAGAGGTCTTGATTGAATAATCACAGTTCCACAGGTTTGCTTCCACTCTCATTATCTGAAATTTCACTTGAAATCACTTGAAAGGTCGAAACTTTTTGTCTACTGGGTTCTCATTATCTTCTATAAAACTCATCAATTTGTTTAGGATTTAGCTTTGTCATTTTGAATTGGGTTTTGCTACTTTTCATCTCTCGATATTGCAAGTTAAAAGCTTTGTTTTTTTAGTGTTCTTGAGGGTTTTAGGGTACAATTTGTTTTCCTCAGGACTGGATTTTGCTTGCTTGTTTTATATGTGTTTTAATGAGCTTGTGATTTTCAAGTGTTCTTGGAAAATCTAGAATGAAACAGCTTTGAAGACTTGAGGTTATAGCAAGTTAAAAGCTTTATTTTTTATAGTGTTCTTGAGGGTTTAGGGTACAATTTTCCTCAAGACTGGGTTTTACTTGCTTGTTTTATGGATCTTCCTATGTCTTTCTGATTATAGCATTTCAAATAAGATTTTCATTGTCTTTGTTCATATGTAAGTAAAAAAATTGTGACTTTCAAGTGTTATTGGAAAATCTAGAATGAAACAGCTTTGAAGAAGACTTGAGGTTTATCTTCATTCTTATTTGGCTATTTCTTTTTTTTCCACAGTGATAAGGATAACCGGGCTTCAGTGTCCGCTTCCTCTCTGTCGAAAAAAATAGAAGAGTACAGCGGCTACAATGCCTGCATCACATGATGCATCGAATTACGATGAGGTTTCTATGCAACAAAGCATGCTCTTCTCTGATGGTCTTCAGGTATATTCTGAATTTGTAAAATATTGTGTAGTTTTTGATAATTGGTCTCCATCAGAATTAGAAGGAGGATGCTATCAAGCACAAACATATTCTTTCTATGTGTGAAACTGATACATTAGTGAAATGATAATTAATGGTCTTTGTGATTGAAGTTCTAAGTATTGTTACAATGTTGAATCATATCTCGTTTTTCATAATCTTTGTAGGTTAATTTGGCAATTAAATGAAAGGCTTTCTGCTCTTTTTTTCTTCTCAGGACTTGAAGAATTTGCGAGCGCAGTTGTATTCGGCAGCTGAGTATTTCGAACTATCTTACACTACCGATGATAAAAAGCAGATGTGAGTTAGTATTCAGCAGCACTTCAGATTCTTTGAAATTGTTCTTTTTTTTTCTTGGTTTTTCTCAATAGTTGTTTCTCATGCTGAATGCAGAGTTGTAGAGACACTGAAAGACTATGCTGTGAAGGCTTTGGTGAATACAGTTGACCATTTAGGCTCTGTTACATATAAAGTGAATGACTTTATCGATGAAAAAGTCGACGAAGTATCAGAGACCGAGCTACGAGTATCTTGCATTGAACAGGTATATGCAAGTACCTCAAAAACTTGTCTTTATCTGTAAAGGTTCCTACTTTAGGTTCTTAGTCAGATTGGTTTTTCTTTTTCGGGTTACTAAGTTCTTAATGTTGTGTTTATGCTGGAAAAAATAACAATGGGATGGTGGTTAGAGGCTAAGGATGTGCCAAGAGTATATGGATCATGAAGGGCGTTCACAGCAATCACTTGTCATCGACACTCCAAAGTTCCATAAACGATACATCTTACCCGGTAAATTCTAAATTTCTCTCCCTCCCTCTCTCTTTCTCGCACTCGGGTTAGAAATTTTCGGAACTCACAAGCAAAAGATGCATTCTTTATCAGCTGGTGAAATTATGACTGCTACCAATCTTGAAAAGCTTAAGTACTTTGGAAGCAGTTTAGAGGATGCAGATGATTGGAACCAGTTCCGAAATGGTAATTTGGTATCTTCTATGTTTCTGTCGTACATGATTCAAGATTTCTTACTAATTGGTTGGTTTCTCTTTCGCTCTTTTAAAGCTGTTCGTGCTACAATCCGGGAAACACCTCCACCACCTGTTAGGTAAAATATCCACACACTTGCTCGAGAAATGATAAAAAACCGACATCTCAAACACAAAAAAGCAATGAGACTGGGTGATCTTTTTAACCGTGTTCCAATCAAATTGTCTTTGCAGAAAATCAACATCTCAGACTCCATCTCCACGGCAACCACCTCAACGATCAGCAACCTTTTCGTTTACCTCCACCATTCCGAAGAAAGAACAAGGTAAAAACCACTATGGCTTGGTACTTTTTCGCTGAATTACAATCTAAAACACCCGATCTTTTATTCATGTTTTCGTGTGATAAAATCAGATAAGAGATCAGTTTCACCGCATCGGTTTCCACTACTAAGATCAGGATCAGTCGCTACCCGGAAGTCAGCATCAATCAGCCGACCAACGACACCAAGCAAGAGCAGATCTATAACTCCTATACGGGTATAAAAAAGCTTCCATTCGAACAAAACTCTACCAAAAAATGTCTGTCTCATCAATTGACCTCTTCTTGATTCTTCTTCTTTTGCATTTTCCAGTATCCATCAGAACCAAGAAGATCGGCTTCGGTCCGAGTCGCATTCGAGAAAGAAAACCAGAAAGAAATAGAGCAACAACAACCGAGCAAGAGCAAACGATTGCTCAAGGCTTTGCTTAGTCGACGCAAAACCAAGAAAGACGACACTCTCTACACTTTCTTGGACGAATACTGAAATGCCAATACCGGTTTATCTGTGGAAGCGCTTTACTAAACCGGAAATTGTGGATTTCCTATTTTTTTCTTTTCTTTTTCTATATTAATAGTATATTTTATAATATAAAGAAAAATATATATATTTATACTTTGTTGTTAAGAGTATGTAGACCGAAATACTATATTTTTTTTTTTTTTGTTAAAAAATACTATATTAATAGTGAATGGAAGTTTTACAATTTTTAAAAATTCAAAACCAAAGGGAGTACAGAAATCAAATTTTGGTTATTTCCGGGTCAGTTGGTAGGTTGTGATCGATGTTATGAATAAAGAGATCGAATGAAAAAGACAATGTTGAGTTATATAACTTATAATCTTATGGTTGAATCTAATATATGGTACTCTAATGGTAAAAACAAAGTTGAGTTTCATAAATACATGTGTCAAGTAGAGTTTGGTTGATTAAATATAAAGTAGCTATAATATTCAGAAAAACTTACATTAAAGATCCTTTAAAAAAAATGATATGGAAGAAATTAATCTATAGTATAATTAATTAAAGAATTAGTAAATTTTTGTAAAAACTATTGAAGTTTGAACATAGGTAGGTAATTTACATACTAAACAATAGTTGAATGTCATTACTAATATTAATATAAATCTAAGTACTAATTTTATTATTAACTATATACCATAATATTGTATACATTATTTTTTTTTATTTTTTTTTGATATAACCTATCAGCTATCCGGTCGGCTCCGGTAGGAACGCACCGAGGTGCTACATAGTGGACTTGTCCGGAAAGTCGGCTTTTTCATACCTGCACAAATGAAGTGTGTTGAATTCATACATTTGATTTCTACGTGTGCTAAATCATACATGCACTTTTAAGAAATTTGAATTTCAAACCCGAAGTTAACTTTTTGTGTCAAATCCTACAAAAACGTGCAAAATATTTAACACTGTTAACCCACCGTGAAATCGCACTGACGTGGATTACACGTGTACAACGTCAACATAAAACGACGTCGTTTTACTTAAAATCAAAATTTCAAAAAATTAGACACTTTAGGTCTCGAACCCATGACCTCTAATATGCATAGACAACTCATAACCAATATGCTAACCGAATTCTCATTGTATCTCTAACCAAAACTATATTTATAACCTTGTTTTTGTTTTTCTTCTTCTTCTCCCATACGACGGCTGCTCCACCGCTCCAGAGTCACCTCCAAAGCGGACATCGTTTTGCTCATCAATTCACATTCGTCGGGTTCGAGATTCACCGAATTGATCGAAGAAGAGAACGACTCGTTCTTAAAACTCATCGATGTTCATAAAAATTTAAATCAAATTGACTAGGTTTGGGGATTTAATCTGACCAAACTCATAAAGAAGCAATCGAGCAAGAGGGAGACGTCATCATCTGAGCCAATTTGGAGGAAGAAGAGCCATCGAACTAGTAACTACAACGAATTGTCGTTTCATATTCTATAGAGATTGTGGAGTTTAACGACGATGTGATAACTGGAGAAGAAAGAGGAGAAGAGGAAGAAAAAGAAAAAGAACCGTATAAATATAAGTTTGGTTAGAGATACAACGAGAGTTCTGTCAGCATATTGGTTAAGAGTTGTCTTTGCGTATTAGAGGTCATGGGTTCGAGACCTAAAGTGTCTAATTTTTTGAAATTTTGATTTTAAGTAAAACGACGTCGTTTTGTGTTGACGTTGTACACGTGTAATCCACGTCACTGCGATTTCACGGTGAGTTAACAGTGTTAAATATGTTGCACGTTTTTGTAGGATTTGGCACAAAAAGTTAACTTCGGGTTTGAAATTCAAATTTCTTAAAAGTGCATGTATGATTTAGCACACGTAGAAGTCAAATGTATGAATTCAACACACTTCATCTGTGCAGGTATGAAAAAGCCGACTTTCCGGACTTGTCCACCGTGTTAACGGCTAGGCCCTTCGGGCTACCACTCTGCCTATCCCGAATTTGGTGTGCCTTCCGACTAAGTGCTAGGGGGTAGTCAGACCGCTGCATTTTTGACTACCAGGTAAACCAATTGGGCCAAAACCCAACTGACAGACTTCCCACATAATATTGATAACAGCAGGAGGAAGAATCGAAACCGGAGGGGAGGGACTTTCACCCAAACACCCCTGGCCCACCACCACATGGTATAACTTGTATACGTTATTACATAGATAAAATATACAATTTAAAGTAGTGGATGCCTTTTCTCTTTTGGTTCCATATGGTAGATCATTTATGTACAACATAAAAATACTCACTAAATATTAAAGGATACTTTGGATGAAAACACATTATGAAGTTCTTTTAAACACTTTGGATCTTATATCTAATTATTATGCATAGGTTTCAACGGTGGATCAAACGTTTAAACTTTTCATTAATGGTGCATCAGTTTTTGTTGTGTAGATGTAGGAAAATCAGAGTAATGTTTATACGTTTCAGTAGTGTGTCATAAAAATCAATTAGAATCTGGTATTTTTAATTAGATACTAATTGTGTAGAAAAATTTAGTAGAAGAGTCAACCAAACGTTTCAAGAGTGATTATAATATGAATTAGTAAAAAATTTCTTTCTTTCAGTTTCATACAAATTAGACTTCCCGGTTTCGGTTATCTCATGGACGAATTCATATGAGATCATATTGAAAACTGGAAAGAATAATGAACTCGGCAACTTTCTCGATGAGCTATAATCTTGTCATGTAAACATTTTTAAATCTATCATTGCCATTAGAACAACAATCACTAAAAGATTATTGAACATATCGGTAGGCATTGCAATATCGCATCATCAATACTTTCTCTTATTAGTGTTTTCAAAATCTAATTGAAAGTAATCTGCGTAATTTTCCCGATCAAGTGATCTTTATTGATCACAAGTTTATTATTGATAAACAGGAAAAAAATCAAGGATTCAAACAATTGACCAATTCTTTTACCAAAATTTTTTGTAGCATTTTATTTATTTAATTGATTACTTTGATAGTACATATCATAGAATCAACATATTTCAGTTTTTTTTTTTTTTTTTGCTTCACATGAATACTAGTTCTTCTCGCAAGCATGATTTAACATTATTACATATTTTTGCTTCATCATGATTCTTAGTTCATCTTCAGTGGCGGTGGTGATGGCGGTGTCTGTGGCGGTGGTGGTGGCGGAGGAAAACCATAACCGGGTTTTGTCGGATCGTGTTTTGGGTCTGGGCCTGGTTCCGGATAATCCATGATCGTCGGAATACTCTCATCAACCTATATTACATATTAACAATTATATTTTGGTTTGGTAAAAATTACACAATAGTTATCATATGCTGATTTTTTTCCTTTCAAATGACTGAAAATATTATTGACTAAATTTATTATTAGTCAATAAATATGAAAGAAACTAAAAATCTATGAAAATAAGCATTTTATTAATGAGATTGCTTACCTTGTTTAAGGAATATTGGTCGGTGTGAGTAACTCCATGGCCCTCTCCAAACTCTACCAAAAAAAAAAGTGAATTCAGAAAAACAACAATAAGACTAGAGAGATCTTGGATGTTGAAAATGTAAAACTATTTACAGAACCTGTTTGAATATAAAATAAATAGTTTTTTCACACCTTTAATCATGCAACTGTAACCATGCATTCCTTTACTTAATTAGATGTTTTAAAATACAATATATATACAAATATACAAATTGATTTACCCGAAGAACACAATGAAAGCAGAAGCAAGAACGACATGAGAACCACTAGCTTCATCTTTGAAAGCATTTTTCTCTTGTTTTAGTTTTGTTGTTTGGAACTAACTCACGCTTCTATATATATGCGTAGCATACATGTAGATGTAGTTTACCTGTTGGTGGAAAAATGTGTTGGCCAATTGATGATATTTACCATTATGTATTTGCCCATAGCTAGGTTTATAATATAACTACGCATTTACTACAATCCAGACTAAATCTTTTGGTCACAGATTTTATTTTCAGACAAGTAACATATTTATAATTCATCAAATTATTAATTATTTTCCCAAAAATATCAGATCATATTTAGAAAAGCATAATCAGAAAATTAATTACATAATGAGGAAATTAGGAAACTATATTAAGATTAAAAGAAAAATACTCATGATTAATGATTTTCAAAACATTTGATTAATGATTTAATACATTGAAAAATAGATTTTTGGGTAAGTACATGAAACATTAAACCTTTACTTCGACGTTTGATTACAATTTTTGTTTTTTATTTTTTTTAATCTTTAAGAGTTATATAAAATGATGTGTATGATATTCATCATCCGGTTGATCCAACTTAAACCAAGTTTTTGGTCTACTTTAAAGGATCGGTCTTGTGGTAAAGCCCAACGAACTTGGAAATAGAAGAATTAGAGCCGCCCTATCGAGAAATGGAAGGACTAAACCAAATCTACCTCGAATATTGACATTAAGAAGCAAAAGGAAGATTCCTTTCTCGAGAAATAAGGAAAATATCATGAATTCGGTTATAAATCCATCCACCTAGAAGAGAGAAGTATAAATTCCGATCGATGAGCAAGCCATCCATACTTTGCACCTCAAGAGCCCTAGCCTAGACACGCAATTTCCAAGAAAAACCCTAACTTGTTGTCAAAACTAGTTAGAACTCTTTGTAATTTTGCTGACTTGTTCTTGAGATCAATCAAGAAAACAATTTTCTTGAATTCTGCCTTTTCATATTAATTTCCAGTTTATATGTGCGGAATCCACTCGCACATTTATATTCATATTGCTTCGTTTTTATGACCAAAAAATAAGAACACCGAATCAGACAATCCTAATTGGGATATTTACAAGGATATTTATCTGTTTTCTAAAGAATTGTTCGTAATACAAGGATTTCGATATTTACATTAGAAAAATTACTACTTGTCGAAATCCTATCTTTCAAACATTATAATGTTCTTATTACGATCAATTCCTTAGGAAAGTGAAAGAACAATAACAACATATTACTAGACGTTGCATATCTATATATTTTTTAGCGTTTTCAAAATCGTATTTAAAAAAGTAAAATTCTGTTATTTATCGAATCATGAGACTAGTAGTTAGAATTTATTGATGATTTTAAGGATGGATTGAATCAATATTACATATATTTCTTCTCCAGTATATTATAAAACGTTGCATCATCAATATATACTACATTATTTGTTCTCCATTATGGGTTCTTCTTCTTCTTCCTAAGATGCGGAGGATGTGGTCCATGTGGACGTCCAGGATAACGTCGTCCAGGTTCGTTGGGACCAGGTTCTGGATAGTCCATCAGATTCTCAATACTCTCTTTAACCTGTATTACATATTTGTTTTCCCAACCAACAATTACTATAATTTAATTTAAATCATGAAATTGTATTATTAGTCAAGAGAATACGAAAACTAAACGTGTTTTATTTTATTGCTTACCTTGCCTGAGGAATATTGATCAATATGAGTAACACCAAGGTCCTCCTTCAACCCTAAGAAAACAATTAGAGAATAACAAAAAATTATGCAATATATAATTTAACAATACAAAATATATTATTAAACTTTATGTGTGAATTTCTTAAGAATCAAACTATGTCTTGGGTACCACTACTTATATAGATCCTTTTTGACAATCAAATATATATGTGCTAATTAAAATATCGATTTTATTTATTTAACTTGAGATTACCTGAAGAACACAATGAAAACATGAGCAAGAACGCGAAGAAAACTACCAACTTCATCTTTGTGGATAGGAGAATTGGGTTTGAATAAAATGGAATTCGTGTTAAACTTTTTTTTGAACACTTAAGTATATTGGACATACGATGAAAGAAACAAGTGAAATAGATTGTTTGTTTGTTTATAATTTTGGAGGAATGAATATAATATCAAAATGATGAATAAAAGTTTTCTAAGGGTCTTTGACAAAGAAAAGATGTCCTCTCATGGTGACATTGATCTCCAATTTATAGCCTGATCCTCCCTTAATGGACCAATAATATACATGTGTGATGTGTCAACGTGTGATACCAATTTTACTAAAATGTTAAACACACGTACGTAACGTTTGATTGATTAAAAGAAAAGTAAAAAGTAATTAAAAGGTTAAGACATAAAAAAAAAATCTCCTAATCTTTTTGATATAGAAATAATGGATTCTGTAGTTTTAAGTAGTAAAGGAACATATAATTTACATAAATATATGATACATATTGAATTTCATTATTTTATTTATTAGTCTAAAATGTGTCACTAATATGCAGTATTCTACATTATTTGATAAGCTCATACGTCTCACAAGCTTAAAAAAAAATATTGTAACACTTAATCTGATAAAATATTAAGGCAATTGCATTACTTTAAATCAAATTCCACATAGAATTTAAAATAAGAAATTATTTTCAGTCGATTGGAAAAAATGAAAAACCAAAACGTTGACTAGAATCCTATATATTTAAAACAAAATATTCTTTTCAATCTATTAAACAAAAAACTTATAAACCAAAACATTAAAAATCGAATCCCCAATATCCTTTTGAAGAACAAAAGTTTCTTTTAAATCAGTAAACCTCGAAAGATATCCATCGAAGTCTATTTCCTAAAACTTTCTTGTCCTCAATCAAAGATTCAAACAAGATTCATTAGTAAATTCCAACGTTTGAGAAATCCCCTCCCATAATTGTTAAGTAATCTTCATATGATCCTTTTCTTTAACAAAAATAAATCCACGTGTGCAGAAGAGTTTACATATATATTAATTTAATTTGTAAAGCATGATTTATGATATGGCTGAATGAAAATGGATGTTTTATGTAGTGAGAAAAAGTTCATTTTTTTCCTTAAACCATAAAATAAAAAGTAAAGTAAAGTAAAGTAAAGTTTGATTGATAATTAAAATGTTCAAAATTATCAAAATGAATATATTTTAAAAATTTTGATATAGAAGAAATACATTGATTGTATTAAAGTGGTTAATAAATTAGTAAATATTATTATTAATCTAAATTGCATCACTAATTTTATTATTAACTATAACATAATATCCACTGTATATTATTTGATAAGTATGTTAGTAAATTGTGCTAACATTTCTCTTCTTTGCATGTAGTGTGTATATTCCATTATTTTAACCTGAAATAAATCAAAAGACACACAAAACAAATCAAAATACACACAAAGACACTATATAACTTCTAAAACGGAAGAAGACTCACTTTGACACTAAATGCAACAAAACAAAATGAAAATACCAATAAAACATGATAAAGTGGATGTTAACAACCTTGACAAAGCAGTAAATATGGAGTATATCAACTCTCGGGCCTTGCCATTTGCTTGTCCTCAAGCAAACAATCAAAAGAAAAGCCAAGAAAAAAAAGTTTGAAGGTGTGAAATCATATCCAAAATAAAGCACATAAACATTTCAATCTAGTCTCCTTAGATAAAAGTGGGATAATGCATGAATCACCCATACTCTAACGAACTTCTCCATACTCATCGCTACTCGAATCACTTTAGAGTCTAATTCTTAGCATCTTCAAGCATTCTTATCATCCAATTCTTTTACATTCACTAATCTTTAGAAATATCGCGCTCACATTGCTTCTCAGAAGTTAATTGATAAATAGAACATTGAATTTGGTAAAATATTAAGGAAATGTTATTACTATAAATTTAATCCCCTAAATAATAAAAAATCTGTTCAACCTGTGAAAAAATCAAAAATCAAAACATTAGATCGAACCCCTTCAACAAACATTTTTTTTTTTTTTTTTGGTGTGCAAATTCACATATTTGTTGTTATTTTCGCATAATTCATAGAGAAGAGTTATTAGTCAAGAAGATCAAATGTGGTTCTAAGAGTTCTTTTATCATTCTCATTATAGTTTCTCTCTTCGGTTTCTACCAATGTCAAAACGATTGCGATCATCCGAAGGGAATAAAAAGATGCTTCAGAAATTTATGGGAAAACCATGGATGCTCGAGTATTTCTGCTCGAAGATCCTTCCAATTGCTTTCCTCGCATTTATCGCTAAGATTGCCTTAAAACATGTCCGCCTGTACGCAAAGGTGAAGCACCATCTCCTCCGCTTGGTACAACATTGCCTCGCCCTATAAATGCTCACTGATTGATGATGTTATTTTGATATCATTAGATTAAGTTTCTTGTATCAAATGCTTAATTTTCCATGGTATAACATCAAATTTATGAAACAAAACATGTAGTTTAGTGATTTGTGTTAATGTCGATGTCATCACCCCGAATTCACACCGTTATATATTGCAATTCTTAACTAATTAAAAGTATATTAAAAAACCATCCCAATTCGGTTCTTCGTCTGGTTAAAAGGAATAAAACTGTATGTACATATATATATATATATTATTTTTTTTGAACATATAAAAACTGTATGTATATAAACTTTAATAAATACTGTCAAATTTCAAATATGTATATTTATCTGAGAAAGAAATTCACAAACTTTAGACAAAAATTCTGTAAAATAATAAGACTTGATGTGTGTAAAAAGGTAAATATAGAGTTACATACCCTATCGAACAATCAGCATCACTAAACTTTTTTTTTTTGAACAAAGATCAGCATCACTAACCATACATGTAAAAAGCTAAGAGCAAACCATTACCTTTCTTCCTTCTGATTGTTTCTTTTTCTATTTCTCAAAAAAAAAAAAAAAGAGAGAGTGAAAGTCACCAAAAATGAAATTAGGAATTACGAGCATAGGAGTGGAACACAATCAGAGGGTAAGAGGATCAACTTCCGAGTTTCGCTCCTTCATCGGACTCCATTCTTCTGCCTCTGCAATAAACAGAGAGAGCTAAATAAGACATTACCATTTGCCACAAACAAACAATGGTTTCTGTTTTGCTACACTCTTTAAATATAAATCGCCGTAATTTCTTCAGAGTTTTGGATTATATATGTATGAAAGACCGTACGAGAAAAGAAAAGGAACGTACTTGGCTTTTCGGAGATGACCATAAGCCGTCGTTGTAATATGGAGGCTACGAAGAGGAAGATTGAGCACATACCAAACATGATTGTGATGGGAAATGCGTCCACCTGCAGAAAAAAAAAACAAAAAAATTAATTCCAGATTATTAGCTTTTTTTCTTTTTCGGTTATGTAAAGAGGATGAAGACATGACTTTTTTCTTACGTTGTACAAGACGATGCAGACAAAGATGTTGAGCGGCACACGGAAGAAATTCATTATGGTGCTTCGTGCTTCTTCAGGGATATACTGTGATCTCATCTTCATTATCGAAGGCCAAAATATTCCGACACAAGCCTCAAAAACACAGAAACCAAGTAGCTGAATGGAGCTAGTTAACGACAAGCCTTCGTCTTTCACCTTTGATGGGGTCACCAAGACCTGTGCCACATGTTATTATAGGGTCAATGTGCATATAGAAGATTGTACAAACTTAAGAGTAACAATGAAGTTTCAGACTCTTGAGACATACGCTTGTTGTAATGGGGAGAAGAAGTGAAGCAGCAGAAACTAGAAAGACAATTTGCATGTAGTTTTCGACTCTGAGAGATGAACGAGACATGAGACGAGCTGCAAGGGAGCTTCCCAACATCGAGGCTAACATGAAGGTTGCAAAAACGAAGCCATGTGGAATTTCTTCATCGTTTGGGCTAAGAGCTGGTGTCCAGAGGAAAACAAAGGTGTACATTGAGGCTTCAAATAGAGACTGAATAGCACCCAGCAATGCAATCTTTTCATCTGAGAAATCATCATAGATTGTGTTAGAGAAATGAGGAAACATAGCTTGCAAATAAATGCAGGTCCAGGATGGGATGAATGGAGACAGAGTATATTGAGAAGTCTTTGAATCAACAGTTTTAACGCTAACTTTGAACCTGCCTGAAGCAATTGCTATGGCAGCAACTTTGAACTGAGTCAGCAAGTCTTTGCTGTCAGATGGATCTCCAAAATTCTCAGACCATGTTGCCAATATGATGGCCATTCCAATTGCAAGAAAGCACGCAGCGGCGTCAAAGGGAGCAACAGGACCAAATGAAAAAGTGTCAACAAGAAGATTGCCGAACAATCCCGAGAGAATAGCCACCAGTCCGTTCCCAAGGAAAACAGCCTTAGAGAATGTAAGTGACAGCCACTGTTGCTCAAAGTTCCTCTGCATAGTTGTTCAGAACAGAGAAAAAATCACATCAGGCTATAGCTAAAAGAAATAACTAAAAGGTTATAAGTCTTTACTTTCTTCATTATCCAACTTTGTGTACAGATTGCACTTTGAAGTCCATAAATGAGAGTTTATAGATACTACAGAACTTTATAGTCATCGAGAACTAATCATCTTTAACAGTGTAATTCATCACGCTAGTTGAGAAACAGACATAGTTTGGAGGGATACTGTCTTTCTATCAAATAACAATCAATTCTTTAGGGATTTCCGTACGAATAACTAAAAAAGGGTTTGAATACCTAGACTGAGTAATAAGCACATGATTCATATGTATAAGAAAATAAGAGTAATAAAGCTAAGGCTGACCTTGTTGTGCTCTGCAATTAGCCAAGATTCGAATGCCGAAAACAAGAGAGATGTAGCAATACCACCTAAGATACGGCCAACCATCAAAACTTTGTACTGTGGAGAGTGCTTTGTGATGCAACTTAGTATGTAAACTATGCAGTATGTAACACATGCCCTCTTTCGACCCCTGAATCCAACACACACAAAGATATTAGTAGCCTAAACATAGTTCTCCTGCAATAACACCGACTTAATAAAACAATAAAAATAACACAGACTTAAACATAAGAGAGAAAGCATTCTCACTGTTTGTCAGCCAGAGATCCAACAATGGTTCCAAACAACATTGATGAACCAAAACCAGCAATGAATAGCTGACCAATATCTCCTTTCCCAAAACCATAAGTGCTGTAAAGGTAATACACATAAGGACCCTGAAGCCAGTCCCCAGCTGCAACAACATAATCATCGATAAACACCCTGAAGTGTATCAGCATGATATGATATGATTCATCAATGCATTCAAGAACAACATACTACCATCACACTCAAAATCATCTTGTGCAATTGATAAAAATTTCAAAGAAAGAAACACACAAGGAATCAGGTCATAGTCACTCGTCCTAAACATTCCATCAACATCATCGAAATCTTTGATCAACGACACATTTGATCAAACCTAGTTATAACACATGAAAACAAATCTGCCAGAATTAACATAAGGATTATCGTCAATCACTGATACCAAATTTGGAAAGAGCAAAGCAAATCATCGTATTCAAATTCCAGATTTGATATGAGCTACAACAACAAATCCAATCAGTGGATGAAGAAAATTGTAAGCATAAATTGTATCTACTTCTGGATTTGATCTAGCACACAACTGGATGGCGCTTAAACAGAAAGAAGAACTCGAGAACTGAACTCTCTTCCAAAATTCCGAATCACTTAGATCAGATCGATGACAGGTAACATCAATCAAATTGCAGGTGCCGATCAATCACAGAGCTGATTCCGCTATAAGAGTGCGAAATTGAGACGCATACAGAAGCAATTCTGATATTGAAAGCGATAATGGCAGAGAGGCGTACCCATCATAATAGAGAAAACGAGGAGGTAATTGTTCTTGAAAGAATTGAAGGAAGACGAAGTGTTGATCCGATCTTTGTTTGTCTTACTCAGCTCCAACGCCGCCACTACGGCAGCCATGACTCCAAACACCAAGTAGTAGAAAACCTCCATTGTTGCTTCTCTCACTCTCTCAGAGCCACCGAGAAGAAGAAGAAGAAGAAGGAAATGTCACGGAGTGGTTTGCGCGATTGTACCAAACCAATTACTGTGGAAATTATCCTCTACAACGCGGTTATCGTCCACGTAAGCATGAGTCGGTGAGTTTCACTATTAATATTTACTTTTTTTTTTTAAATAATTACATCAATAAAAAATGGTAGCTAAAATAAGATCACATTGTTTATGAATGACATTCACATGGATTTTGATTCACAAATCTATACTATTAATTGGGAAGCATTTTGTGAACTACAACATTGTGAGGGTAGTTTAAGATTAACTAAATGAATTTTTACATGGGCAATTTAGTAAATAAACAATTACTACAACTAAATAAATATATTTGATTCAGATCCTTCATTAATTTTTTGTAAAAACAAATAACGGGATTAAATGATTCAATATATTCCGAGATTTGCTTCGTCAATATTTTTGGTATGATTTGTCTACAAAAATAAAAAAGGAAACAACATTAAATATTAAATAATAAATGAATATTCAGCATCAATATATATTTATTTCGAATATAAATCGAATTTGTATTTTTTAATTTGTTAGAGATAAAACCAAAAAATTCAACATAAATCGAATTTCATTAATTAAAAAATACAAAATATTTTAACAGTAAAATCTAAGTAATAATATTTATGTTATAAATATATTCCGATATTTTCTCATTTACCAAATATAACAAATTAAGTACATAGCCAAAAAAATATGCGACATACATTCCATCTAATATTTTGTTTTTGTCAAATCGTAATATGTAAACAATTAATAGTATAGATGTAAACGTTAAATTATTAGCAACTAAACTAAATTAATAATAGAAATAATATGTTTTTAAATAAAATTAAATATTTGCGGGTTGGTAAATACTAAAATTATAAATATTTATCAACGATATTACAATTTTGCAACGAGAAATATTTATCAACGATGTTACCAATCTATAAAAGTTTATGATATTAATAGTGTAGATTTATACTATTAATTAGGAAGCATTGGATAAAATATCTATTATATTAAAGTGGCAGCACAAAAACGATTTTAGTCTATAGTTTTTCAAAAAACATTCCATTTTTGCCCTTACTATAGAGGGTGTATCCAAACACACCTAATCAGCTTCTAATTTTTTTTTTAACGTGAGATTAATAAGGTTTTGTTTGGATAGTGTTCTAATCCGTTCCATTAGCGGTTTACATATTCGGAATCAGGATTGTCTACGTGTATTTATATATTTCGAGAAAATAGTTTTATACATCGGGTATCTTGCAAGATTTAAATTCAAATGCCATGTGTTACGCAAATTTAACAACCAACAAGTTAACAAAATATACTACTATCCGAAAATGTAGTGTCATTAACTACCATATTTTAAAATAATTTAAGGATAATCCCATAGTTTTTGCAATCTTAACAAAAAAAATTCGGAGTAAAAATCTATTCAAATAATATTCTTTCCTTATATTCCTACCAAAAATATAGATTATTTCCTTAAATTACATTTTTTCGTTTCCGTAAATATTCTATATGTTTTAAAATTGAAAAATGATCATATTTACCTAAATTACTAACAAAATCTTTCTTAGCAATTGTAGGAACCATAAATATTGAGAAAATCTTTTATATTTAAATATATGTTTTAATGATGAAATATTTTGTAAAAAAACCTAAATCGTTACAGATTTTTGTGTATAAATAGTGCTTCTATCGACAAGCCTCTTTCTCTAATTCATTTGTTTAGTTTCATTCTTTAGCCATGTTCATATATATTCCGCATTGCTTAATTCACATGTTATCTCTTTTCTGTTTATTGTCTTATAAATTTTTTGATTGATAATGCCTATTTACTTTGTGTGATTGTAGGTATCTAAAATTTAGCTTGGACTGAAACAAGAATATGTGAAGAATATTGGGAGCTTTATGACTAAAGGAGAATGGTCAGATTTTTCTAATCTATTTATTTAGTTCCACTAAAATACTTTTTTTTTTTGTTTCTCCTAACATGTGTCAACTTAATGATTTTTTTTTTCAGATTTCATTCAGAGAAAATCATCCAATGGGTCGATGTAAAAGTTTTGAGAATCTAGAAGAAAAAAGACATTCAGCGTGAAACATTTGAATTATTATTAACAGATGAAAAGGTACTTCATTAACCAAATGAAAAGCATGTATATAGTCTTTTGTTTATTCGATTTTTTTTGTTCTAATTAAATGACAAATCATTGTGGTGTAAAAATGGTTTTGTTCTTAGATATTGGCGATGCTACCACATGGTAGCACTTTGGTGTGTTCTCCCAAGGCGATCAGGTATATGAAAAAAAGAAAAAAAAATTGTTTTGTTTGTTTCAAATGTTTATGTCTCTGATTTACATGAAAACATTACTTATATGTATTACTTATATCTATATCAATATAGGATTGAAGCCAAGGTAACATGTAAACTACAACGCACAAGCTATAAAAGCTCTTCAGGTTTGTATTTTTAATAGAAGTTATATTTGGACATGACAAAATATGACGTTAAAAATCTTTTACCAAAAAAAAAAAAAAAATATGACGTTAATGGTTTTTAATACACCTTAGTTTATAAAGTTGTTTTTCCTTTGCAGTTAAAAGATTACAAAACACAAGGAATAAAGCCAAAACTATGATTCTCCACGGCATATGGAAGAACTAATAGCTAGACATCGTAGGCCTTTTAGTTTTTTATTTGTTCGTGTTAAAGTTTGGGTTGTGTTGCTCTGGTTTTTTATTCGGATTATAAATGGATTCTTATGCTTCAATAATAAAATTCTTTTAGGTTTGAAACTCCTTTATTCATTTCCTCTAAGTTTAATTAATAAAAATGTGCAATGTAATATTACATTTAAACAAAGATAAAAATGAAAATTAAACAAATGAAATTAAAATAAAATCGTTGACGTTCCGTGACGTCTTCTCATCAATACTCCTTTTCGTTTATATATGTATATATTTTTCAAAAAGAGATTTTTATTAGAGTTTTGGTATTTATCTCTTCGAACATTTTTTTTTCTCTCTTTGAACATTCTTCTAATTAATAACAATGCAAAGGTCAGAAACTAAATTATCCTAAGTTTCAGCATCATCAGAAAATAGAAGAAATTGGTACTTTGTGCTATATGATCAAACTGGTTACCATACGCTCCAAATCAGCAAATGTAAGATATATTACCAACCAAAATAATAGGGGAAGAAATCACTGAACATAAAAACTGATATGAATGAGTCTAATATTAATCATGATCGATGTATCCCTCTGGATTCAAAAAAATTTTCATTGTTTTTGGCATCCATGGATATAGATTCCATGTTTTTGCACGTGAAAGACTTGCTAGCAAAAAATTATTTTTAATTAATATTTGCATTTTATCTTATATTTTGAGGTTGTTAATTTGTAGATTAATTCCAAGATCAAGGAAGAAGAGATCAAATTCTGCAAATTCTATTAATGAAAAATAAGTATTTTACCAAAGAGATTGTCGATCTTTTTTATATAGGAATTCTAATGATATGTTTGACTAAAAAAAAAAAAAGATAAACATCAAAACCCTAATCTAAATCAATAAGTAAAACAAAAAATGAGTAGTTGAGCGGGAAGACGACGTTAACAAATATTATCACAGATTTTATTTCCTTACTTTTGTTTTAATTATTTAATTTGAATTTATTATTTCTATTTAAAATATAATATTAGGCCTGAAAAATATGTTACTTAAAGTGAGTTTACTAATCACATAACAAAGTGAGTTTTTTAAAGTTAATGAAAATTTTTATGTAGCATTTTACTTCATTTGATCATCAAAACTAAAAATTATTTATTATCTCAGATGCGAATTTGCTGGTCGTTATTATCTCAACAATGTGATGACAAAAGATAAATAAAATGAAGCATCCACGACTGAGTCTGGAAGAAAAAATGTTTGAGAATCCATTGTACTTACCCGTTTGTTACTTTGGATTTTTATCCAAATTAATGTCTTGCCTATTTCTGTTATTTTTTTAACTCTTGAACTTGTGGTATATCTGGAATTATGCAAGGCAGTTATTTTGCATCTGTGTAATATTCAATTTCTATTCTATATTATTCATTTATTAACTATATCATGCATTATATTTGACAACTGTTTAGGAATATTATTTATTAAAAAAAAAAGACTACATTGTGTTAATATTTCAAACTTCAATTTAGGAAAGAATTAATACGTACAAACAACACATACTACTTTATAAAATCCGCAAGTTACATGGGCTAACATAACATTTGGCCCAACAATTTTGTTTTCAAAAACATATAATATAAATAACTCGGCCTAACTAAAATTAATTATTTATAGTTTTTTGGGCCTCTATAATTTTTAAATTTGTAATAAGAACGGTACTAAATTATAAATACTTAAGTTATACATAGGAAATTACATTTTTAAGATTATCACATTTTTTTAAATTATCTATTATTATCTATTGAATATAATACATCTTTTATTTATTATTACCAAATGTAACCCCTCCAAACCCAATTATTTTTTTTATACATACTCTACGTACATACATCTTTTAAATACCACTTAGATTGATTTACCATACCATATTATTCAATAATGTCATCTCTCAAATATAATCACATTTACATAGTCATACCAAATTTTGTTTTCCAAACAAACACACACAACCTAATGACATAAATTACTTATTCAGAAAATACTATGTTATCATAACCCCGGACGTACGTCCGGGTCCGATCCTAGTTATTTTTAAAGGAAACTTTTCAATATATAAAGTATTAATTAAAATCTGAATACAATGTAACTATAGTGACCATTTGATTCTATGTATAGGATTAGGAACCGGTTCAAACTTCAAACCAAATAACCGATCTTTGGTTATGATGTCATCAAAGAGACTCTTGCCATTGCTAAGGCACCTTCATAGGTTTGGTTTGCACCAATGAAACCACTCATATGCACAAAAACACAGCCTGGGATTGAACTTTCCTCTGAGAGCTTCTCCTTTTCTAGACCTCTCCATGATAATGGCAAAGGTTTACGGCTCTCAAACCTCTCTGGTGTAACTGATACTGCTTGGATTCTCCAGTTTTCACTTCTATCATCCTGCACAAATCCACACACACACACACTCATTGGCTTAAAGGTTACGACAACATAGTAAGATCGTTGTATAAACGCCGGTAGTACCTGGTAAAGAACATATTTTATGGGAGTATCAATCTTCATTTCTTCCTCGAGCTCGAATATATGGAGTTTCCACTGTCAATTGCACAAAACTCTTACAACTTTGAAGACTATGCCACCATTTCATCAATTCTAATCCCTCTAGCAAATTATAACCCCAAACAACGAAGTAGATGATATATGTAAAGGAGCTCATTTTAACTTACTGGGCATTGTTTACTGAGCTTCATAATTTCTCCACTGGAGTCTATATCATACCGTTTTGCAAGACATTCCATAACAATTGACCGAGCTGGTAACCACGATTTCGCGTGAAAATGAACACACTGTCAAAAGGTAGAAACACAGGTAGCTTTAGAAATCTATCTGGCTGAATTTCTCGTATCATACTCAAATAGGCAGGCAAACATATTTTTATACCAGTCATTTCTTATGAAACAATGGAAATGAAACAGTGCCATTTCTTTATCAGACGTAGACAACATTTATTATAAGAACTAATAGCATCTCACTAGGTTGATTCATTCAAAGTTACCAAACTAGTTTTGGTTTGGGTACTACCATTCTAAGAAGAATAAGAACCAACTGATTTTAGGTAATTGAACGAGATATAAAACTATAGAAGAGGAAAAAAACCTCCAAGAACTCAGAGCCAGCAAGTTCCATTGCCCGATGAAAGGCTTCGTCTTCTTTTTCACTAGACTGATCAGGTTCAATCCAGTCTAAGTTTAACCTTCCAATCCTATGCCCTAGGCTAGTATTGTTTACATATCTTGGAGGCTGGTCAGTATCATACTGATGGATGCCATTGTCTATAGCCTGTAATTGTACACAACAAGAAGTTACCTTAGAACCATGTAAGAACATCACAGTGACAGTATATATGAAGGTTCAAGAACTGGTCTACTATCTCTAACATCAATATTACAATCTCTTTATTCGTTAGCATCCTCAATTTGAAAAAGAAAAATGTCAGACAGAGCCACGACTATAAACGATATTTGCCAATTAGACAACAGATTCAGTAACTTGTTCCCATCAAACACTAAACTTTCAAAGCCATAGCCAACAACTTCAGGTCGTTTCGTGCTGGATAGTTCACTCAATAGATTCCAACGGATATATCAGCTTAAAGAAAGAAACTTTCTAGAGCAAGAAGCACTACCTCGATGAAGTTTTTGTACACAGCTAGAAACAATCGAAACACATCGGGATGTCTCTGATCAAGTTGAATCTCCTTAGCAATTATCTCCAATCCATAATGCTAGAAGACAAAAAGTATCAGCACAATTCACAAAATTCTCAAATTAACCACCAATACAGAAGAAAGTATCATCTTTTACCTTATAAACAAGCCCAGCACTACTGAGTTTAGTATTAAACCCAAGGCCAAACACTTCACTAAAGCCTTTCTGGTGATGGTCATAACGTTCACTCTGAGGATCATACACACCTCCAACATCAAGTGCCGCATCTAGCTTCTCCAAAACCTTATAAACCACATCACAAGAACAAGGTACAAAGTACAAACTAAGACAGAGCTGATGCAAAATCGCACACTCATAATCAATTAATGCACAAATACATAGCTACATACACAAAATTTCAAGAATTTTACATAAAACTCAAACTAAATTAACCATTTCTTCAAAATTTCGAAAAAACCAAAAATTGAACCCAAAGGAGGAAACTTTGCACATAGATAAACTCAAATACATGGTAAATTGAACAAAGGGTACCTGATGATCTCTGGTTCGTATGATTTGAGCATCGGAGAATCTACTTGAAAGACGAAGGATGAAGCAAGCTAAGGCTTCGTCGCAGTGGAAAGTTCCATTATGCGTCCCAATACGTTTCGTCGAGAAACTAGCTCGGAAGTTTGAAGAACGTTTGAGAAACAGAGAACGATTCCAGATTCTGCTGCAACACAGACCTCTTGACACAAACATGGCTGAGAGAGAGAAGAAGAAGCTCTTCTAGACTTCTACAACTAAACCCTTGACATCGCGGGTTTAAGCTTGACCAAGAAAACGCCGTCGTTTTGTGAGCTTTGGGATTTGATGAAAACGACGCCGTTTTAATTTTATAAATTTTTACACTTTTGGAGAATTGATTTTGTTTTTTCTTGGGATTTTTAAATAGAGTTGATGATCTTTGGTAGACCTACCAATATTGGTTGATCACCACACTCACATTTTTGGTAATCAAATCTGTTTGTTTTTTAATTTAATTGAATTTATGTACCAAATGTACCTAAATACAAACACTAAATTTCATAGAAAACTCAGGATCATATCCAAATGAAAATACAACAATAAATCAATGGATTATCATAATTGCGCAAGAATTTGGATTATAACACTTCTGGATAAGTTTGTTCATAACGAATTATTAAACAAACATGACATAACGCAACACACACATTACTTTGGAAAGACTTCAAACCAAAGGAATTGAGAAATGTGGTCTATAAGCAATAAACATTATTGCCTTCAACCAAAATCACCAAACATATTTTCATGATCATTCTTCTTCTAACTCTAATTAATCACAAAACCACAATGATTATTGACCCGATCAACACAGAATTAAATAAATACTAAATTTTGAGATGTCAACATCATAATATTGAAGGTTAACAACTACGTTTTGGAACATATTCGATACATTCTATATGTCTATAAAAAGTATAAATATGATATTACCAATTAGCTTCTCTTGACTCTTGTTCATATCATCAAAACAAACACCTTATGAGCAAATGGCTTATGTTCACCTACTCATCTCTCTTCTCATTTTCATTACCTTCAAATCTTCAATCTCCGTCGTCCCTGATCCACCAACACAAAACCTAATCAACAGAATATGCAAACAAACCATCGATTTCAAGTTCTGCAATCAAACAATCACATCACAGCTGATCAGACGACAAACCTCAATCAAAACAATCGCGAAACTAACCGCAGCTAAAGCTTGGATCAACGCGATACAAACTCTTGATAACATCGAAGATTCTCTTCTTCCGAAAGCGAAAGATAAACGAGACAAAGCAGAGTTTGATGCTTGTAGGAAAGCTTATAAGTTGGTGGATGCTCATTTAGACAATGCGTTGAAGTATTTGTATTTACGAGATTATAGATTCATGAGAGCGTATCAAGCTCTTGCACTTGTGAATATTTCCATGTGTAGGACGAGTTTTTTTCATCCGACTCCGATGGTTTATGCAAATTGGAACATGAAGATGTTGACGGATATCGCGATTTATGCTGGCAAGATTCTTTCTCCTCCTCCTCCTCTTGTGAAGAAGAGCAAGTCGCCATGAAAGACGTCAATTTTGAAAGTTGGAGCTTTGGTTTAATTTCTCTTTTATTCTTTTTTAGTTTCTCTTTTACTTTTATTATTGAATCGAATAGTATTTTTCTGATTTATTTCAAAAAATTATAGATACAAGTTTTCTTTGTTATTTAGAGATTAGTAGGTTTGAGTCATTTTTTCTATATATATACTTCTTTCTTCTATTTGTATCAATTTTTTATATATATAACAGATTGTTATTAGTGGCACCGTGAAAGACATAATTTCAAAGTCGGAGCTTTGATTCTTATCAGTCAATCCAACAGTATTTTTTTTTTATTCAAACACATTTCCAAAAATTCTATATACAACAGTTTGTTTTTTGGTCACGGTTCATTAATTTTAAGGAAAAAAATAGGTAGAGCTAGTCACACTTTTATATGTCTTTTCTTTTAATTTATGATAACTTTTCATAAATAACCTTGAATTGAAAAAAATTACGTCACTAACAATTGTTTTTCATCTTCTAAATTAAACCCCTACCATGAATCCACAAGATGAATAAATGATTGTAAACTTATTCGAAATACATAATACTTGTATATATATTATTAGTTGTACTAAATGCCATTATACTCTTTGGCTAAGCTCTAATTACCAAATACGCACTTAATTAATACATTTTATTATAACAACGTAATACATGCTTCAAACAACAAAACTTCCAAAATACTTAAAACACATTTGACTGCCATAGGTCAATTATTCATATGGGTGTTGTCAAATACTCTGAACAAAACCCATTTTACATATATATTCGAAACAATTATAAAAGGATCCATCAAGCCACTGGATAGTAAGCAAGGCTGGCCAAACCACACATTCCTTGAGGTGCATCTACGTCTCTCATGATTCTCATATAACCATCTTCTCCCCAAGATTTTCCCCACGAGTTCTTCAACAACCAATACTTAATCCCTTCTTCGCTCACCCCATAACCAACAATCGTAACCGCATGATTCAAATCCGTCCCACACTCTCCGTTAAATATCCCGCCTGAGTAGTGTATAAACTCATATCCTGACCCTTCTATCGCCACGGAAACAGGCTGTTGAGACACCGCTTTTAGCAATGCTTCCTCGTTATTTTCGGGAACCGTTTCGTAACCACTGATGGTAGCAGCAGCTAGATGATTTGACTCACAGGTTTGTTGTGCTCCTTGGTAGGGATAGTTATCCTCTGCGGTGATTCCTTGGTTTTCTACAATGTAGTCGAAAGCTTTCCACATTATCCCTCCGTCACATCCATTGTTTTCCGTACTACAATCCAACAGTTGCTGCTCAGACAGCGATATGAGCTCTCCTTTCGCAATCTTCGTCATGCCTTCCACTGCCGCCACCGCCGAAAAAGCCCAGCAACATCCTGTTCCATTTTTAATAATCTTTTTTTTTAGTTTCTACGAGATGTGAATATATTTTTTTTTTGATAATCCAGGTATCCGGGCCGAAGCCCGACTAGCACCAAGGCTTGAGGCCGGTTCCTTGTCAGGCCGTCCGAACCCAACGCTCAGTGAGTTTCCTGGAAGCCCGAGGGGGCCAGGTGAAAACCTCGGTGGCCAACGGGAATCGAACTGCGGGCACCATATTGGGATTACCCCCTCAAGTACCACTAGCCCAACCCACGTTGGTTAGATGTGAATATATTACTAATAGAATTTAAATGAACATATAGTCTAATGATTTTTATTAGTGTCATTAATGTGTTACACCATCTAGATTCAAATATTATAGTCTACTAGATCATCACCCGTACTAAAGTACGGGTTGAATTTTATTTATTACAAAATTTATATAATATATATATTAGAACTAAGTTTAAATATATTATAATAGTAAGTGAAAAATATTAATTTTTTTGTCAGTCCCTATATACAATATTAGAATAAATATTGAATTTTTTCTATAATACTCAATTATAGATAATTTTTTTTTTTAAGATATGAAAACGGAAAATAATTTTATTTTTAAAAAGTAATATTATTTAACAATGAGTTAATTTATGTTAACAACCACAAAAAAGGATTGCATATATTTCAGTTAGATCAAAAATTAAAATATCATAAATGAATCGCATATTAAACATAGATTATTTTGAATTATTTAAGAAAATTAGCTATTATTAATTTAGAAAATTCTTTTTCAATTTATAATTCTTTGGTTGTTGAAATAGAGATTTGTTTGAGCTAATCTAATTACAGAATTTATTTGAGATTTATAATTACGGAATTTACCAATTATTCGCATAATCGAATATGTTATAGACATATATTTAGTATATAATAATACCAAAATCAACCCGTGCATGGAGTCTATATTTTTATTTTAGAATCTCGATATTTCATTTTAAAATATTACGTGCACAATCTATTATTCGTTAATTCTAAAATTGCTTGCGGAATCAAATTTTCAAATACTATTTTTAAATATTCCAAATTAAAATCTTTAAATTTTTTTGTAGTTTATAAAATTATGAATTTCAAAAAACAAATTATATGAAATTAAATATAACTATTCAAATAGTTATAAGGATCAAAACCCATTTCATCATATAATATATTATATTTAACCCGTTACCTATTATAAATATTTTTTAAAATAATCAAATTAGAGTATTTATAATTTTCAACTTTTTGAACTATTAAGTATTGATGATATTCTCTAAAAATATCAAGTAAAACTTATTTTAAATGTTGCAAATTAAAATATTTAAATTTTTATTGTAGTTTATAAAATTATATATTTCAAACAAATAAATGTATGTAATCGAATATAAATATTCAAATTCTGACCCGTTGCTCAGTCGGAATTTTGGTTGACTTTATTTTTGTGTAAAAGAAATATATTACTCAAGTCTAAATTTTTGACCCGTTTATTTGTTTCCTTTATAGATTGAACAATCTATATGCGTTTTAAAAAATTCAAATCTTGGCACATGCAGAAAAAAATTACTTTTTTTTTATTATGTAGATGATATGATGATTTATTTGTTTCATATTAATATAATCATATTAAGATGAGAGGTGAAGTTTAACGATTAATAACAAATTAATATGGTAAGTTAGATATCAAATCTTATATGTTCATTTCGATTGGTCATTTAAAAAAAATAAAATAACAGATTTTCGTTTTTTAATTTAATTAAATTAATTAAATGACATAAATTAGTATTTTACTTATTTATCCTTAATAAATTGAATGAAATTTGTTCTAAAAGAAGATTTTTGTAATGGCATTCTTAAGTAAATTTTTACAAAAGAAAAGGTTAGTTAAGGGCATCTTATAAAGTGTACTCCCCAAATAATAGTATAGGATGCATGTTACTAAAAAAGACTAGAGTTATGATAATTAATCAATTACCACATCGTTGTTGGTGCTTAACGGATGTAACAGCCCCTTCCTTTCTCCAATCCATACTCTCACCGGTTTCACCAACATTTTCATATCTAAACGATACCGTTTCATGAGAATCCGTTGTTGAGATTCTGGTCATACCTTCGGGCACCACCAGCCCCGTGTACCTCGCCTTAAATTCCTCCTCGGTGAGATCAGAGAACTCGTTAACATCCAAAGTGTACGTTTTGTTCGTATTCATATTAAAGCTCTCGACGAACTTTAAGTTCTTCTTAAAGATCTCGAACCTACTCGTTTTCTCAGAATCGTCTGAGTAAACGCGATTGAATCGAGACATCCATTGCTCATGTTTCTCTACAGAAGAAGCTTCAAAGAGTCCCCCACGAGATGTGGCTCCTGAAGTTCTGGAACTCAAAAAAATGGCTAGAAGAAAGAAAACGATCGAAGTCATTTTATACTAGAGAGAATGTATATGAAATGTTTTGATATAAGTGTTTAGGTTTTATGACTTTGGTGCCAAGAAACGAGTATGAGAAGGTGGTGTTATATAGAGATTGTGAAGTGCGTGTAATGGCATGTTTTCTGTTTGAATAGTCTAACGATGTTTTGATAATCGTCTCATTGCTAATTTTTCTACACGCTACGAAGTCATAAATGGCCCATTAGTGAAATTTTGAGGGTCCCATTAGCGCAATCTGCAAACGTTTTTTTGGGTCTAACGGTAAATCTGAGACCCTAATTTTTGAACTTAAGATTTGTGAAATTTATTCGGATTGTTGGGTCTAGGTATTTATCGGAGGGTGAGCTTACATAATTTTTTTTTTGTTTATTGAAACTCATGATTACCTAAAACTAATATTCTAAACATTGTTGTAGAGGTTTTAAGAAGTGATAATTGAATTACATGTCACATGTCATATGTTGATATGTTTTTGTTTTTTTTGCATAACTATAAGTTGTCCATAATTTTGGAGAATTGATTAGCAAGGAATACTAATCAAGATAACTATCTTGCCTTGTCGAGAAAACAACCGTGTTTTTTTTTGTTGTCTTTCAAGGGACGTGACAGAAATGGCCACAAACACATACAATCTAAACACGAAAAACTATGTTGAAACAGAGTTTTAAAACAGAGATGGGTTGTGTTTAGAACTGTTTGTGTGGCTGTCGGAGAAACGACAAGATTTTTTCCCGAATATATATCGTTGCATGTGTGAAGAGCAACGAAGATTTTTTTAAGAGAAATTAATCGACTTGACTAAAGGAGATTTATTGTTGTACAAGTTTATCTCTAATACGTATTTAATAATCTTATAAAAAGAATATAATCATTTTGTTTATAACTGAATGTATGGTTCGTTTTAAATAGTAATTGATTCATCGTACGTTTAATCATGTATTGTCCTATGTGACTATGTGTTTCACGTTTTACTCGCTTTCCACTTTAAAAACAAAAATATTTTGGTCTCTTTAGAAATTTCAAACATGACAGTTTCCACTACAAATCTAAAATATTCTAATCTCCTTAGCAATTTCACATTGTGACTCATAAATCCTAGATTACTCCAAGCAAAGCCTAAGTTATACAGTCGGTGCCGTGACAAGCGGAAAACGTAAAGAATCTACCTAAATTTTCTAAGTATGAGTTTTTCCAAGAATTTAACCCTATTTCAATAGAACCAAATTAGCCTATAATATTTGAATTGTTGCTGTCTTTCTCAAACCAAAATTTAAAGAATTAATGGAAGTCAACTTTTACATGGAACATACTTTTTATTAGATTCAGTTGAGACTCTTTTTTTTTTTTGGATGATTCTTTACGTCTGAGTCTGACTGGAGTTGATATAATAATTTTATCAAAGTTTCAAAACAAAACAAAAATCGTCGAATTTAAAACCCTAGATTATGGCTATACATACATAAATCTACATAGTAAATTAGTAATCAGACCGGTTGGGTTTTAAACAATCCTTGGACTTGGCTTGATACGTAAATGATTTTAGAAGTTGTAACATTTTTTGTTGTTGACAACAAGTACTAGACAACATGTCTTTTTCTATAACCATAATTTACATAACATTTCTATAACCTGATTTAGATTGTCCTCTCTAGTTTACTATTCCAAGTAGGCAAAAAAAAACAAACTTTGCACAGCTTAGTTTCCAAATGCATATTTTTTCCAGTGTCGCCTGATTTCTCAAGTAAAGAATCTTCCCTGTGTAATTTAGAAAACCCTCCTCAACCTTTTCACATTCTTCACAACACACACATACACTTTATTTTAATTAAATTACACACCCCTCTCTGTTCACCACTCTTTCCATTCTCTACCCTCATTTCGTATCGGCAACGATTCAGATAGAGCTCACGGCCCAATTCGGACCTCCACGGAACCGGGGAATCCACCTTTTTAGACTAGTCGCAGGATCTTCAAAACCCGCGGAAGAAAAGATAAAATTTTATGAGAATGAATGTTCAATCTTGGTGTGTAGAGTAACGACGAGGTCATGTGCATCATCTAGGAGCTTCCACACATCTAATTGCCCTGCCATACTTTGACACTCCCTTAAAATCTCATCCATGCTGTTATATTTCTCTATTATAAGTTTCCTTCTTTGCAACACTGAGGCCGCTATTGCATAGAGCACCAAATCATCTGTGGGAGGTGCACGTTGCCTTATCCTACTCCATGCGGATTTTCCCATCCCGGCTCTGATTGCAGCTTGATCTGCCCACATCACTTCCCATAGACATAACGTCTGATCGAGTGTCAGCTCCCGTCTAAACATCACAACCACCATTCTATATACAAAGAAACAGTCTTCTGCTTGGAGTTTCTCCAGGTGCCTATAAAGCTGAGAGTCTTTAGATTTGATTATCTTTGAGACTATGTTGAGTTGTCTTCTGATTCCAACCTCGTCCAGTCTGAAATTGTGACGAGCTTTCTTCATGAACCCGACGAAGCACCAAAAGACTTCATGGTCATCAGGGATTACGGAGAGTATAGGAGAGAGAAGATCGCTCATTCCTTGGCAATACCCGATGTCAGGGTCATATAAAGCATAAGCTTCAAGCACAGCAACTAGCCGTGCAGCTTGAAATATTTGGTATGGTTCCAAGTGATTGTAATCTTTTAACCCAACCGCTTCAGCGGCACGACATGCTCTGTCCTCAGATATAACTGCCTGGGATGGAGAATAGGGGGTCCACTCTGAATTAGCACGCATAGCATCTAGACGAATAATACGCTGCCATGTCACAAAATCCTCTTCTGTCCGGGGGATAGATGAGCTGGCTGGATATGTACTATTCACATCTGGAGTAGCAGAAGATTGAAAGACCTGTACGACTTCACTCCCATTTGAAGAATCTGAATCTGATGACTCGGAATTGAGTGTAGAGATAGTAGCATTGGTGATTCGTCTTGAACTACTACCGTCATCCCTCTCAACTGTACATGAAACTTCACTCATGTACCCAATATCTTCAGTGATGTCTTCATCACTCGAGAGAGACTCACGGGCACTGACAACTTCATCAGAACATGAACTGTCAGTGTCTTGAACTTGAGGCCAATCATACTCATCTTCCATAGTTTCACTGCCCCTGTTTAACTTACGAGTCCCGTTATTGTGTTTTTGAAGCCGTTTGCACTGCCTACGTAGTCTCTCATACTCCTTTCTGCATTTGTAGAATTAAAACAGATGAGCTAGAGAATAGAAAAAGAGTTAAATGTAAAAACTTCCCCCAATATAGTAATTTAATCAGTCTCTCACCTTCTCCGGTTTCTTATAGTGACTCTCTCTTCTTTGGAACTATTAAAACCATACCTGTTAGTAGAAAAGTAAGTTAGCAAACATAACAAAAAGAGGCAAGAGAACTAGCTTCCCTTTGCTTCTCAGCTTCTTCTAATAAAAACAACTAGTCTTCCATAGATGCAATTGTTACAATAGGATTCAACTAATAGAATTTGACTGTATACTTACACTCCAAGAAGGAATGGCCACACCTCCAGCCGAATGCTCGGCTCAATACCCTACAAGGAAACAAGAGAAAAATAAACATTCTTTAGAAATCAACAACCCACAAATATGGTTGTGAATGAAGTGGTTCCATTAAGCTGTGAGACTCACTCTACTCCGAACTTTCTTCAACAAATCCACTCCTCCATTCCGAAGTCTACCGTCAGGAGTAAAAAATCTCTTCCATTGCTGAGGTCTGAGAGGCCTTTTCCTTCTCCTCCGAGACCATGGTGATTTAAGACGAGGCCTAAAACAATGAAACAGAGGTTAAAATGTGCCTACTTGGACCAAAATAGAAAACAAAACATCCACAAATAGCCATGAAGCTTTAAATGTGCAGATTCAGCTGAATATTTCATTCGAATCGATCCAAATAACCAAACAAATGTCAATAATATAACCACTAATGCTACAAATATTCACAACCCAAAAAAAAAAATTGAAGCTTTGGATTTTTAAACTCTATTAGTTATCTAATCTTCGATGATTATGAATCACATTTATCTAAAGGAGACGAAAGTCTAACAAATTCAATAAAAAAAAGATCTTAGGATCTAATTTCAACAATGGAGAGAGATCTAAAAGACTAACCGATCAGAAGAAGAAGAACAAGAAGCAGGAGATGAAGAAGCAACAACGAAGAGAGCAGAACGTATTTGGATCCACGAAGATGATGAAGAAGAAGGAGGAGATGATAATGGCGATGAAGGATTAGAAGACGAAGACGTCGTTTGAATCCTTCTCAAAGCTTTCATCTAGATTTAAACCTAATCAAACGATTTCACCAACCGCGACTACTCAAGCAACCAATTACTTGAAGTAGACGATAACTACAAATCTCCGGCGAGGTATAAACACAAACAATCGCCGCCGTCAATAATAACTCTCCGACTACGTCTTCGTCGGAGACCGATTACGTAAAAATTGAAAAAAAATCTATTGCCGCGTCTCTGGTCTTCTTCTTCTTCTACCAGTTGCTTGCTTGCTTCGTCTTCTTCGTTTCGTTTACTTTTGATGGTTTGGCTCTGTGGAAACGTGAGGGCTTACTTGTAATTTCTCTGTCTCTTTAGAATCTAATGAATGAGCCCAAAAAAGAAAAAAATCTTCAGAAAAATTGCGACTGGAGAGGCTTCTTAATGGTGAGACTTTTACTTTCTCTCTCTCTCTTATGGATCCACGAACTAATCAGAAACCTTGAATTTACACTTTAGTCCTGTTTCTTTCGCTATTATTTTATTTTGCCCAGATTCTTTTTTTAAAACAATTTGACCCATGTATTTGTCCATTAAATATCAGAATTATTTTCTTGCGAAAACAAATATGGTAATTTTTAAAAAATGTATTTATCATTTCATTCAGTAAGAACAACATTTAAACATAAAAAAAATAAACATTGCAAAATTGGAAATAGTATTTTCAAAATAAAGAGATTTTAAATGTTTGCGTTATTATTTCGTATGTTATTTGTGTATTAGCTATTGGTTGTTACTTTTTTTTTTTTCTTAATCAAGTTTATATAGTTTACGCTCTTTACACGTTCGCATACTGATTTGGAATCCGTATTAACATGCAGATCAATTAAATTTAAGGAAATGGAAATAAAAATATATGAATAACTATAATTCATAGAAAACAAGGTCAGTGAAATTAAGATATGTGATTTTTTTTGTTATTGAATTTTTCCATGTTTCTAGGTTAATTTTTGAGTTCACAGTTTACAAAAGAAAAGAGCTAAATTTGTAAGTTAATAATAGTAGGTCGTAACTAAACAGAACTCAAACATTATTTAGTGTGCTATAAGTTAAATATGAATTTTGGTAGAATGGAAACAACTATTTAGAGATAATGGCTTCCAACGAGTGCGATGAAATAATTCCCATGTTTTCAACCGACCAAATCAAGCAAAAGAAACATAATTTTATATCTTCGTATAAATTATACTGTATTATTGCTGTTTAGGAATCGACGTACATAGCAGTTTTGTTAATGTGTATGTTATAGATTTGTATAATACAGCTAAACAAATAAAGAAATCCGTAATCATGAAGAAAAAAAATCTGTAGACAAGAATGATTAAATTTGTTATACGCTATGATTATTAATTAGCTATAACAATTTCCTTCAAAATTTTGCTTTACGTGTCTCCCGTTCCTGGTAATAATTTGTCTTATTCAATTGAAACAGTTAATGCTATGCCCTATTACATTAATTTATAACTAAAATAAACGGTTCGATTACGGTATTATTTATCGAATGCAAAGGAATGATTTATTTTAATTAACCTAAATGATTTGACTCGTTAACCACTTGGATTAGGTTTGGGAATATCCCAGATGCAAAGTATCACAAATTATTATTCTGTTTTTATTTTTTTAAAACTACAAATTAGACATGTTGGATCCGGTTTTAGTTTTCATACAATTTTTTGTGGATTCTTGAAGTATTTAACCAAAATGACTTTGGAAAATGAAACTAGAATAGATTTTATTTTTATTTATTTATTTTGACATGGTTTGGATTTGAATTAAATATATTGAATCACTAATAAAAAAAAAAAGCTTAACAATCGTTTTATGAGTCTCTTCTTCCGATATAGTGTGGTCAACAAAAACAGACGCGTATAAATTTTTGTCAAACAAAATATTTCAAAGAAGGTGCGCAAAAATGTGATTGTTTTGAAGTTACTATCAATCACATAACTATCAATGTGTAGATTCTTGTAGTGTAATTTATTATATTAGCTATTTTTGAAGATAAAGACATTTTGGTTAAACCAAATTGAAATGACTAAAACCGAAATTAGAAAAAGCTAATATTTGATTTAATATGAATGACCTCTTCGACCATCTTTTATTATTTGTATAATACTTTATTATACATCTCATTCGTCATCCAACCGGCAAATGGATGTTGATATGTTTTTAAATTATACCTTAGAATTATATTAAGCCTTTATTATCATTATCTTCTAGGGGGAGTCATCAAAATCTACACAAATTGTCTCAATTGTAACAATGATTCCATTCAACAAAAGTGCAGGCTGCACTAATATTTGGTTTTAACAGAAATATCCAACAGCTACACGAATATTTTTCATGTTTTTGTTTTTAAATATAAATTTTGTCAGATGATTCGTTTCCTACAGTATTTGCTAAGTTACTTGTGGGAAAATAATTCATGCCTCAATATTACAACGAACATAATGTCGAATTAGTATAAGTTGGTTAATCATTGTTTCCGACAACAGCCACACAGTTTTCTACTATGATAAGTCAAAAAATTAATTTTAGTAGAACATCTTAAAATACTTTTTTTTTTACATCAAAACACCATTATTATTAAGTTAGTTTGAAAAAAATTAGTTTCGTGAGCCAACCACTTCGGAACTTGGGAGCTTACATCGGAAAAGACTAGACCTCGTACTCGAGGTTACATCGTAAAATACTTTAAAAAAAAAATAGGAATGTGTACTATATAAATTGCTATTGTAGGTCTGTTTACTGTGTTATTTTATTGTTTATTATAACTATCTACCATCTAGTCACCATGACTATATTTCTTCTAACAAAATTCATGTTTGTTTGTAGAATCCTTGTTCTGATGACATCTGATATTGAAGAAGTTAAAAACATTGATGGATAATAATTAGATATAAGCAAATGTTTAATTAAATTCGAAATATTGGTGATTTGTGAATCCAATGGTGTGGATATGTTAGTTTTAATAAGAAAGATAAAAAAAATACCAAAGCTAGATCCGTTGCTTTATAAAAAGGGAAAGAAAAGTATCGTTTTCCATATACGATACTTATTCATTGCTTCGTTTGAATAATTAAACTACTATAAATTTGAAAAAGAAAAAAAAAAACTGGAAAAGAAAGAATATGCTTAAACCAGCTAACGAATTTCTTTGATGAAACAAAATAATATTGAGAAGCTACTATTTTTTTTATGAAGCCAGCCATAACATCATCATTCTTGAGAGTTACTCTATAAACTTCCATTGGTGAAAGATATAAAGATATTTTAAGTGATAAAATAAATGATTTTAAATCCTGAAAACACACATATTATTTGGGTTTCACAGAGAAAGGCATGTTAATCAATATACCATTTTGTTGGAAGAAAAGATTAAAACAAAAAAAAAGGCATGTTACTTATTTTTGTTGTGTCATGTATTTGTCAATTATTCGTCGATAAAACTAATACATAGATATGTATAGTGTGATGGATCCATCATGTGAATTAGATTCGTGTTCTTGCTTTTGTCTGCTCGAGTCTTTCATGATGTGGACACAATCATGGTGTCTGACATAAGATGTCCATAGGACCATAATCCATCTTTAGCTATATCACAGTTATCTCCGATCTTAGAATCTGTAGCCGCAACTATATGTTATGTACATTAATATTTGCACGCACTTGATTTATTTTTGAGTTTTGCGTCATTTGTTGATAAGCTATAGGCCCACAAACTTGTAAACCAAAGTCACCAAGATCAATATGGTGTTGGTACACAACTTAACAAGTAATTAAGCAATACACGGTTTACAAACAAACCAAACCAAACGACTTAGTGAGACAAAAACATAAACGTTTAAATCAAAGGATGGAGCACCAACCATGAGGGAGTTTAGACGCAGCAGCTTGGTCAAGGAACCAAACAACTTCAACATCCGCGGTTAGTCTACCGGCTGGTAAGTCTTTGGTATGAGTAAGAGCAGCCGCAACCGAATCAGCCTGCTCTTTATCACATACGGCCATAACATTGTAGGAAGCACAATTGATAACCGGTAAAGTAAAAGTTATTCTTTTTGGTGGTGGCTTAGGTGAATCGGTTATAGATGTGACCCATTTCACTTTCTCGTTGATCTGATCATGCCCCGGGAATAGAGATGCCATGTGACCGTCCGGTCCCATTCCTAGAAGCTGAAGATCGAATTGTGGAAAACCAGAAGATTTGTACGTTCGGATTATGTTCTGGTTCACCTTTTGTTTGAGGCACTCCTCGTACCTTTCAGCTGCTAGCTCGGCGTTGCCTTCGGCCCCGAGTCCGTTGTCGATAGCGTAGATGTTTTCAGCTGGAATTGGAACCTGAATGGTGGGATTATATATCGTCATGAAGACAACTTTGATACTATATGGTCCGTAGCTCATAATTTAACAATATAATTTACTTGTTAAGCATCACCAGTCATTTTTAAAGATAGACTTTGGTATTCTAAAATAGAAATTTCCTTTGCTAATTTTTTTTTGACATCTTTGGATCGACAAAACTCAATCCATAGCCAATCCCTACTACGCGAAATAACGCGATTTAGTGGTGTCGAACTTCGGTAGAGAAGATGAAGTCAATTGGATTTAACGACTTGATTAAAGACACATCCCAAAAATTTAATTTGCTAATTAAATAGTTCCTTTTTAGCCTATATTTATACATGTTTACCTTGGAGAGAAAACCGTCGTAAGCGAGTTTATAGTTGCTATCCACATTATCCCAAGCACAAACCCTTTCGTCGACCCAGAAGATGTGCCACTTAGACCACTCAATTGAATCAATATAAGGAGCTTCTAACAATTTCCTATAAAATAAAAATGTAAATTAGATTTTTTTGGAAGAATCAAACAAATTAAGATTGGTATTAAGTATTGATAAGAGAATTTTGTATATAAATCTTGAAACAGACCAGAGCCAGGCGATGAGGTCGCCGCCGGAGAGAACGACGGTGAAAATTCCTCTTTCTTTGCAGAATTTGGAGGAAAGATCAGCCGTGAATTTGGCCAGCTCCACTGCCATTTCATTCTTTGTCTTGAACACCCTCCTCTTCACCGGCGCCATCTAATTAGATGATGATGATGATAATTATTGTGATGATGATGGTGGCATACATACAAGTGGAGGAGACTTACTTCTTATAGGGAAAGTGAGTGAAGGATTCTTGCCAAATGAATGAGACAAAAATTGTTTTCTTCTAAAAAAATGTATATCTATATAAATTTACATCTATGTTGATATTTTTTTTTCGAAGAGTATAGTATCTAAATGTATCTTATACCTTTCTTTTGTTTGTATTTTATTCAGTAACAACTAACAACCTTTTATTATTCCTTTCGTCGTTATGAATTTATTCTACATAACACTATATATTCACATATTATCTCTCAAACTAAATTATTCTATTGACTTCAAAAGAAAAAAAGAAAAAAAATTCCTAGTTCAAACTTTTATTATGACATGAGTGTAACTGAAAAAATTAACATAGATTTTGAACGATTTTGATGGCATTAGCACAAAGTTTTATTGTATCTAGACCTCGATTTATTACACCTCCAATACCATTGCTTAGAGGAAACATTACCAGAACCGAACCAAAACAACTCATCTAAATTCTTTCTATACAAACCGGAATTTAAATACAAAAAAAAAAAATCTTCCTTTTTGTGTGTTTGGTTTAGAATGGTTCCTCTAAAAACAAAATGCTTAATACAAATAGAGGTACCTTTTTTTCCGGTTGATGTTTTTGTCTTGAATCGACAGTATAATAATGAGATTCATGTTTTAATGATTAGGGTTTGATTTGCAAAGTTAGAAGTCATCTCGTTGGTCTCGAGCTCGAGCTTCGTACAGTCACACCGTGCAAGAACTTGGCGTAGCCTAAGAAATTCAGCTTCCCATCTAAACTCCGGATCCAATCCTTGAGCAGAGGATATGCATTTGGTCCCAAACTCATCTCCTACATATGCCATAATAACCCATACTTCATGCAAAAGATATTGGTTTCACATATCTCAGATATATGTATTGCAGTCCCTACATACCTCGGCGAGTTCTTGGACGGAAATGGCTCGGCTTCCTTCACGTTCAAAGTGTTCAAAGGCTGTCGTTGCGATCTGTTCCCATTCTTCAAGAGCCTCAAGTTGATAAACACTGACCGCAGCCGCACAAAACTCTTCAAAATCTAGTTTTTTATGTGCCAATGGTTGCATCTTCAATCAACAAAAAGGAAACACACAGAGAAAGAGTATTACAGATGTATTTTAGAACAGACTAGAAATGCTGGGACTTAAAAAATATGTGTTAGTACGTACCATGTTTAAAATGTCAGGAAGCCTAGATTCGATCATAGCATCTGTAGCATATCTTGTCAAAGCCTGCATTTACCACAAGACTTTGAATCACTAATCGCGGATCAAAAGAATGTTTGATTATCAATTGAAGAACAGTGGCATTAGAAGTTATTCTTAAACAGAAGTGTAGTAATCATCCACTGACCGTGGTGAAATTGTGAAGATGCAGGCCTCCATCTTCAGGCTCCAAAAGCATAAACTGTGCTTTAAGGAACACGAGTTCCTCTTCAGGTATAGCTTTCGATAGAGACTGTTGTACAAGTGACAACAAAATAAAGATCACGACATAGATAATAAACTCTATCAAGAACAAAAGCAAGGATCGAACAAAGTGAGGAAATATTTTGTCCTGTGAGTCTACTCTTTTACTTTTTGCAGGAAAATTGTGATTAGAATCCTAAGAAAATGTATTTGCAAGGATAAACAATAAGATATCGGTGAAAGTTATTATCAGAAAATTACCTTAAGTGCTGCTCGTCGGAAAGGCGATGCACGGATATAAGACTTCACCAATTTGTAGATTGAGAAATCCAGAAGCAGACCAGGATTTTCATCTCGAAGCCATGGATGAGCTGCAAATTTTATCATACTTATGTTTTCATTTCACCAATCAATGTCTCTAGTTTTAACATTACTGGTAAAGAATTTACCTAAAGCTTGAGCAGCTGTCATTCTTTTCCTATGGTCTTTGTTCAAAAGCCTTTTCACAAAGTCTTTGGCCATAGGAGATATGGAAGGCCACGGTAAATCTTCGAAATTAGGATTCGCTCTAAGAACACAACGGAAAATTGCAGACTCGGTTCGTCCGTAAAAAGGTCTACTTCCACAGAGTAATATGTAAGATATGACACCAATGCTCCATATGTCTGCTTCAGTGCTATAAGATCTGTGAAGTACTTCAGGTGCAACATAGTATGCACTTCCTACCACATCGTTGAGACGCTGATCTGATTAAAGACCATCACAAAAAAAGCATTTAGTCCTTAAGTTGCTAAGTAAAATTCTACAAGCAGCGTCAAGCATAAGCAAAAAGGAACAAAAAGTTACCGAATCTAGCGTAATCAGACAAGCCAAAATCTATGACCTTGAGTATTGCATCCTCATTTTTGCTGGTAAAGAGAAAATTCTGGATACAACAATATAGCATTTGTTCAAAAAACAAGCCACATCAACTTAGGATATTCAAAATGGTATAAGCAGAATGTGTACCTCCGGCTTCAGATCACGGTGCACAACACCTTGAAGATGGAAAAAAGCAGTTGCAGATAAAATCTGTACAAGAATACGCTTAGCATCTGGTTCCGGGTATCGACCACCTCTACAATAAGATATATACAGTACAAGATTATTATACTCCATATGCAACACAAAGCTAGCTAATTAACCTGAGTAGGTCACAATTCAAGGTGAAATACACAAAGAAACAGAGAAAGGACTAGTTTTGATTTTACCTCGCCAAAATACTGTCCAATAGCTCTCCACCTTCACATAACCTGGAACCATATTGGCGTCAATATCTTAAGTCAAATCATTTTGATATCTAAGAAGCATGAAAGAGACATACTTACTCCATAACAACAAAGACATTATCCGAATCCTCAAACACATCATAGAACTTAACCATATGACTATGCCCAGACAAAGCTTTCAACAATTTCACCTCTCGACGAACATCTTCAATTGACAAAGCCGATGTCATCTGAAACACATTGTATCAACACAAAGAACCAATCTTTTGATGAAAACAGTAACCATTTCTATGTTCCAATAATCTTGGAATCAATCACATTGTCACAAACCTTAGTTTTAGAGATGATTTTGACTGCAACAGTTTGGCCTTTGATCTTCCCTTTCTTAGCTTTAGCCCAACAAGTATGACCAAAATGCCCTCGACCTACCTCTCTCCCAAGCTCATACTTACCTTCAAAATTCTTCGCAAATCCGAAATTCTTATCTAATCTCTCTCCGATTCCGCCTCCGCTTCCGCTGGCTCTTCCGTGATCAATGTCTTCACTATCCTCAGGGATCGGACCATCTCGAGGATGTGGTGCTGTACCTCGTCGCCGTCTTAGAGCCGCCATAATCGGTTTCGCAGGTGAAGGAGGCGGGAACGGCCATTTGAATTTTCTTCCCGGAGTTCTCGCCGGAGATGGAGCTACTCCAGCCGGTAACGGGCTTTGAAATGGGCTGATTGTGTAAGGGTTGACTTCTGAAGTAGCCGGAGACTGAGGAATTGATGATGAACTCTGGTGGTGGTTTTGATCAGACCGATGTGGTAACTGAGCGATTCCGGCGGGGATTTCGTCGTCATCGTCGACGGTGGAAATGTTCCGGCTGTAACAATGACCCATTGTCGCCGGTCAAAGATTAATTGATCGGGGAAAAAAGTCAAAGCATCGGACGGTGATGAGACGGAGTTGAATAGTAGCTTTAGAGAGAAACGACCGATGAGGAAATTAGAGAAAAAAAGGAAGCGAAGATTTTAAAATTAATTAAATTGACCAACAAAGATTTTTTTTTTTTAAAAATAACGGAAGAAGAGAGGGCGTTGAATAATGCCGGTGGTTTGCTAAAACGACAACGGAGGAAACGTGACTTATACGACAGCCACATGAGCTTAGTGACGTGTGATATTAATGATTTCATTTTTTGTGTTGTTTGTAATTTTTTTGCTGAAATTAAAAACTAAAGCGCAATTATAATCATTATAATTTTTGGAAAATTAAAATTTTGTAATAGTATAGAAATGAAAATCAAAATTATTTAATTGTTTTTCAAATTTTAGAAAATGGATAGGTTATCACTTTCACAGCCATTATAAGAAACGCGAAAACAAATAAATTCGATAAGTACAACCTATTAATGTAACAACTGAATTTAAACCGGTTTAGTGGATTAATAACGTTTGCTACAAATCGCATTCAACCACCGGTTTGTCTATCATTGCGGATGTTTGAATATGTTTGACATCGAAATAGTCATTATTCACGTTGTTTTAGCATTGAAAAAGTCTTAAATTGATAACTGTTTGGTGCATATTAGAAAAATAATAAATATTTGGTTACATATATAAAATAAAATATCATTTATCGTCAATGGTTCAATCGGCTACACTTAACCGATTCGGTTAATTTTAATACTGAAAATCTTCGTGAGCATTGGTTCTCTTGTCGATGTCGTACCAAAAGTAACCATCACCGGCAATATAATCGTGCGATTGCGGATTATCATTGTGAAATGACAATCGCTTTCTAACCAATGTTAATCTTGGTTCGTTATTATCTAAACCGGTTCGGTTTGATCTCTGCTTTGGTACGCTGTGTGGCCGGCGAAATCTAGCCATGGTTGAGGCAGTGGTAGACATGTAATTTGGTATTGAATGGACTTGCCTTGTGACGCAAGAGTGTCCACGTGGCGTCTGGTCGTTGAGTTGTTGGTGGTGTGCGTACGTTTTATACGTATCGATCTCGACTATCTTGACCGGTTCAACGACAGCCTGATCGGTTGACATTCTCCTTCCGGTTTCTTGATAACCGTATCGGTTTAATCTACTCTGTCTTTTGTCCTCTAATTCACTTTCACTATGAGCTTCTCTCGCTGTAGTTTTCCACATCTTTATTTGTAAAACCAAAAAGAAGATATCGGTTTGTCTATTAACATATATATGAATGAAAAGTAAAACAAGAGTGGAAAATGGTAAGTTTGATTGTTGAACCTGTTTAGAGAAAGCATGAGACAAGGCAGTTTCGTCGCCGAGATTGGTGGTGAGTGTTTTTCGGTGTTCTAGAGCTCGAGCCTGGATCTGAACCAAAGCCTGAACCCGAAGCAAAGTAATGCTAGCTCGTCTACGCACGATGTGGCCTCTCACTAGGGCTTGTAGTTTCACAACTCCTTGTAAAGCCCTAAACGCTGTTCGTGCCTTGAGTTACAAGTCATCAAAATCAAACTCAGTTTGGTCTATAAAGGCAATGTTATCACAAAGCTAACAAAACAATTAAAAAATATACAGTATATGTTTAAACATTCAACTTTGTGTGGTGACTATATTAGTAAATATTGATTGTACCAGACATCCTCGGAAAGCTGTCTGAATGAGAATAGCAGCCAAGTGTCTTTTGAGGTAGACAGATATCCGGCCGAAAAAAACGGTTTCCTTGGCCGCCGGAGATGCAGTTTTCTCTGTTTCCTCAGCCGCAATCGCGTCAACATCCGTTGAGTTAATGTTGCCGGAGTTTCTTATGTGTATTCCTACGTCTATTGCAGAAGAATCAGAAGAAGCTTTCTTGAATAGCCATCTTCTTTTTCTTCTCTTCTGCACCAACACAATTATTAGTATTATTAGTTGTAATAAAAATGAAAATCCCAAAATTTTCCAAGTTTTAAGTCAGATTATCAAAAACCAGGTTTTCATGCTGATGAAGATTTTTTCTAAAACTATATACCTGGATCCAAACTTGAAGAGTAAGAAGAGAAAAGTGTTTTCTTGGGGATATATTAAAAATATACAATGTAAATGCTGATGTATTTTATAGAGTATGAATTAATGAAGATTTAAAAAAAAAAACAAGAAAGGTAATTGAGTGTGAAGTATACCAGTCGTTGGTGTTGTTCGTCCTTTTCTTCTTCGACGAGGTCGTTGTCTTGTCGACGATTTATTCTTCTAGGGATTTTCTTCTCCGGTGATCGGAAAACATTCTTAACGGTCGTGAACCATGAGCTTCCGCCGGTTTTCCCCATCAAGATCGATCAACCTCTTCTGCTTAATTTATGTTAGTTGTATTCTCACTTTGTTAGAGATAGGAAACTCATTCATATAATTAAAAGTACGTATGGAATGAGTTATATATAAATTAAAGGCACACTCCTCTATCTCTCTCGCTTTTATGAAGAACAAGAACCTTTTTGTTGCCCAATATTAAATTAAAAAGTTGGGAACATATGTACATGTATATTTTGGCATTTTGCTATGGTAAGTGAATACATTAAGAAATTTCTTATTTATTTTAGTATTTCTATAATTGGAAGAAATATATGCATTGTCATGTAACGGCCAAATGCAAAACGGTCAGTTTTATCATATAATGCTTTGTATGGAAAAGCAGAAAAAGAGGAAAAATGTTGGAATAAAAAGAATAATGAAGCCGTAAACAAAATAAAATACTAATAGATAAAAGATAAAGAAAAATGAAAAGAGGAATAGTAATAGGTAGGCATGCTTTGTGTTTACAAATAAGATAGCTTTGTGTCAGAAACAAATATAATTGTAACATAAAAGAATGTGTCAATGTGGAATGCATCTCTCGAGAGTCGAGAGTGCAGAAGGTTGTTCCTTATCTTCTTTCTTATATTATTTTTCAGATAATCAGTTTCCATTAACGTCGCTATGATTTCGTGTATTCACTCTCATAGCTTTGATTTGTTTGGGATAGTGATTGAGCTACACAGTAAAAAAAAAAAAAACAATTTTTAAGAAAATATATATATACCCTAGTTTTAGAAACACAATTACAATTTGTAAATACTAATCTTTCGTTTGAGATTTATCCAGCAAAATCTGTAAATTATAATTTCCTTTAATTTATGCAAAAAGTAAAATGTCGTAGTATTTTGAAAGTTCATAAAAAAAAACGCTTAAACAAATCAAAGAAATTATTCATTTGACCGGAAAACATTAATATATATAGCCAGAAAAAACATATGATGGGAAAAGATCTAACGAATGCTAAGCAGAACAATACAAAGAGCAAAAGAAATCAAGCAAGACCCAAATTCAGACAAGATCTAACTGAAATTAATTACCAAAGAACAATGAAATCTTTTTTTTTGTTCGAAAGAGAGGAAATTTCTCCAACTGTCTCAAATAATTCATAAAAAATATCCAAAGGGTATTTCAACAACAACAAAAATAATCCAGTTTGTTTTTTTTTTTGGAGACTATAGAAAGGAGAAAGTTTAGACCAAAGTTCTTGAATTGTTCAAAGATACCGGGCAGGCTCTGCGACCGCGAAGCATAACTTAAAATAAATCTAAAAAGAGTTTAAATATAAACACAAAACGCCTCAAGTACCTTCTTCTTTAGACTTCTTCTTCTGCTTTCTCTCTCTCTCGTTTGCTATATAATTTTGACATCTCCAGCGAGAGTGTTTTTTGCGATCATTTCACTTGAAATCAGCGCGGGGAAAGTGCGGCCTTACTGGTGTCTTTGATGGACTTACCCTTCAAGAACAGATAAATCAACACAAAGATGAATACAAGAACAGATAATAATAACAACTAAAGAGATTCGTTCTATTATCACTCTTATTATGGAAATATATTAAACATATGTAGAACCGAGAAAGATGTCACATTTTATGCAAATGAACCAGATATAGAATTAAGTAAAGAGCTAGCCAAGTCGAAATAACGACGATCAAAAGTAGAAGCCAAAACGATGCTGTGTTTCACATTATTGATCGATATCATTATATCAAGTTTTTAGTAATCACTAAAACAACAACCTACCATTCAAAAGTTGACATTTAAGGGGATAAGATGGAATGAGAAACTAAAGTTAGAAGGTAAAATGTTGAAATCTTATACCTTATTGGGAGTGCCCCCAAGACAATACCACTGCAGTGAAGCGCAGCAATTGCACTTTCCGCCTGATAAAATAAAGCAAAGTATGAATCTCCATTGACAATCCAAAACATAATTTTGAATCTTGGACCCTTTTACCTAAACTTCATATTCGAGTTTATTTGGTATGTCTTTGAAAATATAAGAAGCTTTTTGAAATGCAACGTAACAAGTTAGAAGGGATAATCCGTGTTTCCTCAAATGGATCATACCGGCATGCAATTCAAAAATAGAATCTTAACTAGCAACTGAAACTACTCAATCACCAAGAAGACTAATGTCCAAAATGGGAACGCCTTTAACTGAAAACATAGGCGGAGAGAATTACCATCGCAAACTCAACAAAAGCAATACGGGTTTGGTGGTGATAGTCTCCAAGCCTCAGACGATGAACCTAAAAAAGATATATAACAATAAAAAAAATTGATTGCAGAGCGGAAAACAGATATATACATATTAAAGCGTAAAGGTATTTGTCGCATTCCAAACCAAGATTCATACCTCCCCGCAAAGATTTTCAAAGAAGCCTTTCAAGTCAATTTGAGTGATCTGCAAATACAAGTAACAGGACATTGAAGAAAGGTAGTTGCTCTAATACTTAAGCAGTTAACAGTTTCCAAAAAAGATAAAATCTCATCAAGGAAATGGTGAATGGAAATTGAATTACCCGCTTGTCAATGTTGGTACAGTAAACAGTCCTCACGCACATCTCACGCTCATCCTCAGACTGGGAGAAAAAGAAAACCATTATGCTCGAGAATACTTGTATTTATAAAATTTATGCCAAGTGTAGCCATGATTATGTGAACTTACTCTTGGAAGAAAAGTCGGGTTAACAGGGGCAATAGCGGTTTTGGAAGGAAGAACCTTAAGAGGGTAAAAACCGAGCACAGTACCCGACATGCTCAAAGCAGCCCTAGCTCCCTCTGCAGCAACATCTCTCGATAAGTTAAGAAACAGTGCTCTAAAATAAATCTCAACTAGTAAACAAAGGGTTGACGGGAGGAGTACCTTCATTGGTAAATTCAATGAAAGCAAAACGAAGGACAGAATTTGGGTCACCACATACACGACAATCAACAACCTTTCGATCCCAAAATGACAAAAAACTGATATGAGGAAACGAGTTACTGCAGATTAGCAAAACATTTCAAACATAGAAAAGATCATTTTAAGTACCTGTCCACAGTTAATAAAGACACCTGCGAGGTTCTCCTCGGTAACCTACAAACAAAACAATGTAAGAGAGGCTGAGGTTATAAAATGGATTCCTTTACGAGAAAAATGTTATCGAAAATAACTTCCCTCTTTTTACCTGTTGGTCAATGTCGGAGACATATACAGTTCTTCTGATCACATCGTCCTTCTGAGCCAAGCTTGTTCTTTTGTTAATTCTTCGCTTCCCTTGGCCAAAACTCCTTCTCTGTAGCAAGCGGTAAAACAAGAAGCACACGAATTACCAACTTGATCTCCAACACACGATTTTAATCAATAGTACAGTTTTGCATACTTTCCCTTCACATATCTGACAGCTAATACCATTGTTTGAAGAATGCGACCACAGAAACGATGAATACTTTCTATTTAAAACCCGTAAACTTCAAAGCTCATACAAAGAAGGAAATTTGTAAAGCAAAGGCAGCCATTTTCTCAAACAAAGTGTAACTGATAAGCAAAAGCAAAAGCAAATAGTAAACAAATCAAATTAACAAACTACACACAAAGCGAAACTGCTATTGTATCATCAAACGATAGATGCAAGAACACGAAAGCAAACATGCAAAGCTCGAACTTTTTTCTGTTATCCATTTGCTGAACGTTTCAGCATACAAGCCTTTTCAATCAACAAACAGGCTAGCAAATCATGGCAAACAAAAACACACAAAAGCTCGAAACTTTATATCATCATTTCTCTTCACCTCACTGTATCATCAAAATCTAAGGGAAGATAAGAAAAATACAAAGATCAGAATTCACACACTAATGAAAAAAAGAACATTCTATACACCAAAACACATCCATTTTCTAGAGTTGTAAATGCTAACAATCAAAACTTACAACGTAATTATATACTCAACAAATAGACATCAAATGAAGAACCAACAAGACTATCCATCAAAACACAAACTTTTTATCAATCAAGAAAACAAAACAAAACATAGAGATCATAAAATGAATAATATACCCTTGTAGGAAAATGATCATTCCCATCAGCAAGTTTAGGTGGGGCTGCAAAATTGTTAGTAAACCCTAATCCATTTCTCAAAACCCCAGATTGACTTCGAGCGAGAGAAGGAGGAACAAACTCCTGAGCCATGGGATTAAGCTTAGAAAAAGCATCAGCCAAATCTTTGATCTCACTCTTGAGACTCCCTCCATTGTTATCTCTCTCACCATTTTTGTTAAACCCATTTAAAGCCTGCCCCTTTAGAGCAGTCTCATTGATCCGATCGTCAGTTTCTGGAGTGGAATCGATGGTAGGAGGATTCGATGAGTCAGATTTAGGGCTCTGATCATCATCAGGACATGGCGGCTTCGTCTCGGTAGCTGAATCAGTGTTGTTGTCTAAATTCTGACCAGACGAAGAGTCCACTTTGACACCAGCATTCTCAGCAACAGCCATGATCGGACCAAAAAGGTTGAATCTTTATTAAGATCAGACAACAACAACTTACCAACTCGTCGATTTCTGCATCAAAAACAACAACCAAACTTAGAAAGAGAATTTGATATAGAAAAACTCAAGAAACACACAGAGGGAGAGATCAAGAATTGATACGAACCCTGGAGAGTTAATCTCGATCAAAATGGTTAAGCCATAAATGGAGAGAATCAAACTTAATTAAAAGATCAATGAGCAGAAGAGAGGACTGAAACAAAGAAAAATTGGATTTTTTTTGAAGGGAAAAATAGTAAAGACAAAAGGAGAAAACTTGGAAAATTCAAGGAGATGATTAGAATAGAAGGAACACCAGAGACCCCTTTGGTTATAAAATTAAATAACTTAACTAGTTTCTTCTGCCCTTTGGAGTTTGGACAACATCCTATGAATATTTTATCTCTTTTTACTTTATCTTCTTTCTTATGAAGCTTCCTACTTTTCAATTTTTTTTTTTTTTTTTTTTTTGACAAATCCTACTTTTCATTTATCTATCTGATTATGAATTATTAGTCTTTTAATCAATCAGTTAAACTATTACTGGTTAATATATTTTTCAAATCTCAACATTTTTAAGTTTTTTAAAACATATATTATGTGGTATATCCAATTTTTTTAGAAATGATATTGTTAAATAATTCAATTTTTTTAGAAATGATATTGTTAAATAATTGAGTATTTGAAATAATAATCAGTGTTCAAAAATATGCCTTGTTATTCTCATATACGTAAGGTAAGAATAAAAACATTCATATATATGACAATGGTTTTTTTTTAATATCCTTAACAAAACGATGTTGTTTTCTTTTTTCAATTGTTTATTTTTCACATAGTGATATTTGATTTTTAGATAAAATGTTTCCAATGCAACGTAAATTATTACTCAATAGATTACCTTTACCTTTTTGGTAGTATATTAGTTTTTTTTTTTTTTGTTCGTATATTTCTTACTATCATATTTTTGGTTTAGATATGAGCATATTACCAAAATTTTATAATTTTATAATTTTTTTCGTTTTTTTTTCTCGAGAAAAGAATATGTATATGTTGTTTAGTGCTCTCATAATCATATGTCTAGGCATTGTACCATATCCTCTTATATACATGTGTTATGTGTATAATGTATGTGTAGGCATTACCGCATTATACGATAATTAATTAATTATTCGCCTACCTAGAAATTAATTTATTTTAGAACACTTTGTGACATATATATATATATATATATATTACTTGGTTCGCCCAAAATAATAAAAAAATATATTACTTGAAGATCACACTATAAGAAGTGATCGAACCCCCAACATTTGATGAGTCATGAGCTCAGAGCTTTACAAGTTAATCAACATTAAGCTTAGAAACTTTTATCATTTGGAAATTAAGAAGAAGCAGGAGAACCACTAAAGCAGAAACAAAAACAAACAAGATTAAAAACGTTGAATCTTTATAACAATGTTTACAGATTTATAAAACAAATGTTCTGAAACAGTTACAACTTCTAAAATTCGATCTGAATTTCCTTAAGAAATCATCGAGGATTAGAACTTACTAGCTTAACAATTCTTTGACTATGCCACTTTCATCTATACACAAACAATAAAATACATGATCTACTTAACCCTTTTTCCTTATATTTATAAATAACCATGAAGTTATCACACAGGTGAAGCTGAGAGCAGAAACTCAGGCTGCTTTCTCTGCAGGAGAACTCCACAGAAGAGGCAGAACGGTTTCGAGGCAACTTTGCTAAAGGAGGATTTTGGAAGTGATTTGAGATCACTCGGGAATGAAGGCAATGCAAATAAGGTCTCTGGAGCGAGTTCTAAAGTCATTCGGTTGCAGCATTTGCAGAACCATAAAGGAGTTGGTGGACATACTTGCATTGAGACACAACACCTCTCAAGCTTGTGGCTTTGATCACATCTCTCTTTGTCTTTGCTCTTCTTCTTTTTTTGGTGCGGAGATTCGCAAAAGGCTTCCTCTGCTGAGTGGAAATTGACTGGCGCTGCACAATAAGGACATTTCTCTTCCTCTAATGAGGTTTCTGTGCTATTACTTGATCTGTGATGAATTAGAAACATAGAACATATGAATTTGAAACATTCTAGTATCTATTACCAAGGGAAGAAGAAGGTATGTGAGAAAAATACCTCGTTAGATTAGATTTCACTTCTACGGAAAGTGTTTCCAGCTGACTATGGACAATATCACGATTTATCTCAACCCATTGTTGCAACTGAGCCAATCCAGCTGGACACCAATTCCAAGAGGAAGGCGAAACAGTACCCTGAGATGACTCAGCGAGTAGATAAGCCGAGAAACTGAGACCAACCAGTCTTTCCCGGAGTTCTCGTTCACTTTCTTCAAGCAGTTTGAGCCACAGATCAATTTCTTCTTCATCGTTCGTTCTCTGACCTTGAAGTTTTCTGTTGATTTCCTCTGTTTTGAGCTCCGATAACATAACACGTCTAGAGATTACGTTGAGAATGTGTAACAGCCTGGAAGGAACAGCCGAGAAGCATTTGGTGATCTTTGGCACGAGATCTTCCATGGAGATATCAGCATGAAATCCAAGGTATGACACAGAGAGCCATTTGGTTAATACCAATTCAACAAACTCTGGCATTGATTGTTTGAACGCCAGCATTGCAGCTATCATATCCCAAAGAACTAGAGGCTTATTCAAATCTTTGAATTCTTTCAACGACCAGAGAAAATTAGATTCCCAATATGCGAATTCATTTTTTGAGAATCCCAGAATAGCTTCGGTTACCGTCTCTGAAGAATCTTCTGACTCACCAGATTGTTGTGCACCATTCCAGAGGAATTCTACAGCAGCCTTCTGCGACCTTAGGGCAAAAAAAAATGAACAGTCAGGTTTTGTAACGAGCAGGACACAGAAATGCTACTTAATGAATAATAATCACCTGGCTTGGTACATCGGATTCAAGAGTTCAACGTTAAAGTTGCGGACCTGCACAATTTCAAAGAGAAGTCTTAGTTATCTAATTCTGAAAAACATGATAGCTTACAGTCACCGCGAACCAGGTTTCTGGGAAGATCATACCAAAGCAACAGCAAGGTTTCCAGGGGACAACGCCACACCAAGGCATGATAGGAAATCATCAGGAAGCTGTGGAATTATTCCATTGTTTGTCAAGATAAACTAGAGGTAGGGATAAACATCGAGATAACATTAAAAACGTAACATAGTGACGTACATCAGTCGTGCTACTGAGACCAGGAGTGTTTGCAGGAATTGGCACTTCAGAGATGGTATTCTCACATAAAATCCAATTCAAGACATAATTATCCTGCATGTTACAAAAGAGTAATGCAACCTATAGCTAAAAAGAATTCGACAGTAGTTGATAGATCACAATGTAGCTCATAGCTTAGTTTTTTGGTACAAAAAAACATGTTTGTTTGTCTCTCAGAAGACAAGCAGTACAAAAGCTGTTTTTACAGAGGAGAAATATAATACCTGACTGCAACTGTACAAACAACGGCCATCATATGACCAAGCTAGACCTGTAACCTAAAAAGAGTGCCATATGCATCAATTAAGGGAACACTTACATTGCATTTTAGAAAAGGTTTATAGTAACAGAATCATGTCTTACCACTTGGTTATGAGCATTAGTTGAAACAATTTGTTCAAACTTTCTTGTAGATATTTCACACTTCCATACTTCGAAAGAACCAGATCCTTTGCCGATTGCCAAGTGCATTGCATTATAATGATTGCTTACAACAAAAGAAAGCGTTGAAACCTGAACAGGATTCACTGCTACAACCTATAAATAAGCCGGAAAATGTCAAAACACACAAAACTCTTAATGTTTGCTCGATGAAAACAGCCTATACACTTACATAGAATGGAATTAAAGAGAAAAACAGACAGATCATGATAGACTGATAGTTTCATAAAACAAGGAATAGATATATATGGAGTCAAAAGCACAAGGATCTACAAACACAAAGCGCAATATAAATCCAACTTTACTTGCAGAAAAACTTCAAAAAGGTCACAGTCAAAATTGAGGATGGTCTCAATCACAATCAACGCAGATATCACAGAAGCTACTATACTCAATCTGTTCCTAATCAGAATATCAGAAAAAGTAGAACACATAGAGAAGAAATATTAACTTTCACCTGTTTCAATAGAAAGAATGAAGATTTATAGGCATCCACAGATTTTTGCAAGTCTTCGTTGTTGCTCATCCAAATTTTTACACTGCAGAAAGAAATGGACAGGAAATTCTTATAAAAAAGATTCCATTGAGAAGCATATGCAGATGAATGGACATTAAAATGGCTTATTTCCAAGAGTGAGAACTTCAAAGAATTTCTAACATTTTTTGTTATGGTTTACAAATACAATTTGTTTCTTGTAATAGAATACTAACTTACCTACCATCGCAACTCCCAGTAACCAACACCACTTGTGGATTCGAAGAATCACAGCCAAAAATTCCCCAACTCATAGTTGAAACCCATGAGCTATGGGCCTGAATTATAGCATGAAGTTCCACCATGGGAGATACATTAGTACGTTCAATGTGATAGCATTCAGGTGCATGAACTTTCCATATGGAAACACTACCGGACTTTGAACCAATTGCCAAAAGCGAGAATCTTAACGTATTCTCACTAGAAGAACTTTCTGATGAGAATCTTAGTAGAGATGACCAGGCTACGGAAAGGGAGGATAATAATGCCTCACGAGACACATACGTTTCTGGACTTATCTCTTGACTACACTTTTTCAGAGCTTTAGGCAAAGAGTGACAATCTTGGCCATTGCTTGCCTGTTTATATACTTCAATCTCAAGTACCTGGGAACATAATGAATCATGTTAGATATGAGTACAATACGATGATTTGATTTTTACTAGATGACACTTGACAGTGAGAGTGTCAAAACTTCTAAGAACCATATGGTGTGAGCGATGCGTTAAAGGATTCTGGTGGAATTCAAAAGCATGCCAAGATTCGAAATGCATCAAATCAATGATGGTACAGTATAACAGAAACAAGTTAGTGAAGAGATATGAGGAAATACATTATGCTTTGCTTGACTGTCTTGCTTGGAACATGATGCTCGATCTGTATAATTCTTTTCATGCAAGTTGCTAGAACGAAGTCACAGATGAAAGTAAGTTAGTAAAGTGATCAAAACAGAAAAAAATATATGGAAAACAATTTCTCAAACCACTAGTATGCATCTGAGGAAATTTAAAAGTGAAAAAATGCTCTTTACATGTTGTTTGCGCTTGTTTTTCTTCGCTTGCGTGCCTTCAGACTTGAAATCCTTTCATCGTCTTCATGGTGATGTTCAACCAATTGATCCTGTGATAAAAGAGCACAAATCATTTCAATAATATATAGTTTGGATCAAAATAATATGCAAGAGATGTAAATGATTATGCAATACCTTCCACCACAACAATTGTCCATTAATAAAGGACAACAAAAGATGTAAACGATTTGTTAAGATGAGTCCTTATCAAAATCTAAAGGTGAGAGTACGAAGTACAAACTATCTACATATCGCTCCCTTATAGGAAACACATATATAGTTCGCCGGAGTAGTAAGTAGTCCTTGATGGTGTTCAAATTTCTACTGAAAAGTGATTAGTTAAGAGATACAAGTTACCTTAGATAATGAAGTAGAAGGATTGTTGGACTCTCCAAAGTTCATGCTTGATAGATTCTCATAAAGCATTTTAGATACATCAACAATCTGCAAAACCGATGAAAGCAACTGTAATGCATAATTTAGTTATAAAAGGTAAAACAGAACTTACGCCTTACCTCAATCCACTCAGCACAGAAATCAGAATATGGAGGTCGGTATAGCTTAACCCTTCCTTCCGCTGTGCAAACAGCCAGTAAGCACCTAAGCAGAGTTATTTCAATCACCAGTTTTAGGAAATAGAGAGACTAAACAAAATCGAACATGTTACACGAAACTGTATAATACCCGTGGTTGGGAGACATTCCTATCTCAGACCATGAGAGAGATCGAACACATGGATTCCTTTCCCGCTTCAAACTCGAAGGTAAGAGTCCACCAGTCAGCAAATCTACAATCACATCATCACTCAAATTGTTATCCGAAACCTCAAATCAACAGAAATTTGATCTACAAACACACAACTTCATGTTCCAGAACACTAAACAGTTGCAAAATATTGAACTTTGATCTGCAAATCTGAATTGACACATATAAAGGAAGGATTTTGAAATTTGATCTGAATTTTTTTATCAATAAAAATCAAACCTTGAGAGCGAATACGACCAATCTGATAAGGCTCAGCGTCAGAGATTGTGATCAATCCACGAGGTCCAGAAGGCAAAGCCGGATTCTGACAATTATAAAATCATCAATACAATTTTAAAAAGACTCAAACTTTAACCTCAAAAACGAAGCAGAAGAAAATTACAATGATGATGACTAGATGACCAGCAGCGACGGCGATCAGATTTTCCGATGACCAAGCCACGGCGTTAGGATACGATGGTGAAGTAACCAGTGAAGCTTCCTGAAACCGCGACGCCATCAAATTGACTAAGAATCTCTTCTTCTAGATCCGTTTAAAGATCAACTGAATTTTTTTGGAGGGAAAAAAAAAACTTGCTCTGCTTTGCTTAGCTTTGACAACGAGCTGATGAATTTGATTCAGTACGGAAACCCTAGTTCGAATCGCAGTGACGCAGATGCAATCCTCAATTATTTTTTAATTTTTATTTCCTCCCGAGATTTAATTTAAAAGTCAACTCTGTGAATTCTTAAACGACGTCGGTTAAAGATGGGCAAGCCCAAATCATTTGAGTCCATCAGAGAATATTCAGAACGGAGACCGTAGTTCGAACCGCAGAAACGACGAAGGGATTCTCTTTATTATTGAAACGGTATCGTTTAGCTTAAGCGATAAGCCCAAATAGGCCTGGGCATTCGGATTTCGGATCGGATTCGGATCGGATATATTCGGATTCGGATAATTCGGATATGAGAGTTTATTATCCGTTCGGATTTTATGACTTTTCGGTTCGGTTTCGGTTCGGATATATTCGGATTCGGATAATTTGGGTAGGAGATTTTATTATCCGTTCGGATTTTATGAGTCATCGGTTCGGTTTCGGTTCGGATATGTATCGGATTCGGATCGGTTTTCGGAGGAAAAAACTAAAAAAATGTTCAATTTAAATAAAAATTGGTTTAATCTTACTAAACTTTGGTTAAATTTTGCAAAAATATGTATAATTTTAACAAATATAACTAAAAAATTTCCGAAATCTAAGGTTATTTAGGATATTTTTGTTATTTGCTATAAAATTACAACTAAATATAACTAATATTTTTGGATATATAATTTTATTTTCGGTTTTTGGATATCTTTTCGGTTTTCGGTTCGGATCGGATTCGGTTCGGATAATTCGGATAGAAGAATTCATTATCCGTTCGGGTTTTGTGACTATTCGGTTCGGATTCGGTTCCGGATTTTTCGGATCGGTTTCGGGTCGGTTTTCGGATTTCGGGTTTTATGCCCAGCCCTAAGCCCAAATAAGTAAAAACTTCAAAAATTAAGGGTTTTGAAGCCGCGAGAAAAATATTCGCCGTCGCCGATGTCGGGAAACAGAAGAACCTGAGGCAAAAATCCCGTTTTTTCCGGTGAGTCTGAAGTTCCGGAATTATAAGCTTTCAAATTTCACGACTCCATTTCCCAATTCTCTGTCGACAAAAGGCGACACAATGAAGCACATATAAATGGGAAAATCAATAGGAATATATATACAAGTTATAATTCTCCAATTGCATTAGCATTGGATTTATCTGTTTGTTTTCTTGTATTAGAGAACAGAGTTAACTGTGGAAAGAGACAATGGGAATCATAGAAGAAGGAACAATCTCAGGTACCTTGCCTAGCAAGGAGGCGTTTGTTGTACACTTCCCTGGTTACCCATCTTCTATTTCCCGAGCTATTGAAACACTTGGAGGTATCCAAGGAATTTCACAAGTAAAAAATCTCTTAACTTTAGTCTTAAAAGTCTCTTCCTTTTTACTGAAATTGTCTTCATATGCTACTTATTAGAGCGATTCCAAAGTCTATATGTTGTTAGTTGTTACAGTCTTGGTATATGCATCCATATGACTTTAAAAAGGAGAGATTTTTATTCAGTTTTGAGTCTTTTTTTTTTTAATTGGGTAGGCAAGGGAATCAATTTCAAATAAGCTTGAGCTGCGTTTCCGGCCTGAAGATCCTTATGCACATCCTGCATTGGGTGAACAACGTCCTTGCTGTGGTTTTTTGTTAAGAATTTCTAAGCAGGATATCAAGAAACCAGAAAGTCAGCCTGTTCTTGACACTAGTAGTGATGTATGTTTAGAGGGAGCTAGTCCAGCTCTATGTGCAGATATCGTAGCTCGTGTGTCTGAATCGTTTCACTTTGATGGTAATTAGCTCTCCTCTTTTGCTTGGTTCTAATGCCTCTGAAATTTTGTCTTCCATGTGAGAGTTGGTACTTGATAGATCATATTTATAGTGTTTCAAGACTTTCGCCTCTTATTTGTTGTGTAGGCATGGCTGATTATCAGCATGTTATTCCAATTCACGCGGACATTGCGCAGCAGAAAAAGAGAAAGTGGATGGATGTTGATTCCCTTACAGGTGATTCACTTGCAATTATTTTCTGTTTTTCAATTTATTCGAAATTTCTGCTGTGATCACCTAAATTATATCGGATATATGCAGGAAACAGTGATTTGATGGGCCTTGCTGATGAAGATGTGATGATGTTATTGCCACAGTTCTTTGCACCCAAAGATATACCAGACAATGTGGCGTAAGATTACACTGCCTGTTTCTATTTCTTTCAATTTTTATCCTTTCTTATTCGGTGGAATAGCCGTTTACTTAGTTGTAAATATATTTATTATTGTCGAGCGGTGAAGAAAAACATTAGTTGATTGAAGTGACTTCAATTATAGAGCTGATTTCAATTTTCTTGTGTGATTACAGGTTGAAACCTCCGGCAGCATCTGGTCCTAAAAAGAAAGATGATGCGGCAACTCAGAACTTTTATGAGGTAAAAATAAAGAAATGGAAGCATCTGAGTTTTCTAAATAAACTAAACACAGACTGTTGGTTGCACCTAGAAGATAGAGAATAGGTAGTTGGGAACACTTGACTTTAATATCTAAACTTTATCTATAGACTATAGGACATTATTTTCTTGCTGAACTAATTGTCTGGGACTTCATTTATTTGTAATCTTGAAGTTTTAGGAATTTCTTAACCAAACCTGCATTTCGATTTCGGTTACTAAGAATAGGTGGATTATACTAGTAGAGGTTTGGCATGATAGTCATTAATTTGCAAAAGTTATATCTCAATCATGCAAATGCAGTAGTAAAAATATTTGAAGCATGTAAAACTCTTGGTTTCACTCTTATGAACCATCAAGAATGCGTGATCCGTTCTGTTTTCTTCCGGATTTCAAAGATGCTGTGACCGCTTCCTTATAGTTTTGTCATAACCTAATAGATCTATGTCATGCCATTTTCTTTTATGATGCAGATTGATGTTGGCCCAGTATTTGCAATTGATTTCAGTGTCAAAGATATCCTTTTTCTTATATGCTAGTTCTTCTTCCGATATTTCTTTTGACATTTTTGCATCTGGCAAGTAGAAAGAGCCGTGTTGGCTTGTTCTGTCCTTAGCTTTCAATACAGATCCCAAAGAAACTGAAGTGGGAAGACTTTGTTTCTCGCAGCTCCAACCACTGGCAATGGCAGGTATCAGTGTCTGCATTGTTTGAGGAGCGGCCTATATGGACAAGGGATTCTGTGGTTCAACGACTACTTGATAAAGGTCTTAAATGTACACATCATATGTTAAACAGGTGAGATAGCTTTCTAATACGGGTTTCTTATACTGAGGTGTTTTTAGGACTACATTGATCAGTTTGGTGTGTTCTCTGTAGGTTTCTGCTCAGGGCTGCGTATTATTTCTCCAGTGGTCCGTTTCTTAGGTTCTGGATTAAAAGAGGCTATGATCCACGGAATGATCCTGAGTCTCGTGTGTGAGTTCTCTCTTAAGAAATTGATTTATATATTCTTATTATATGGTTCTTGGTTCGTGACATTTGTTAGGTGAAATGGTAATAGACATAGATGGGTGCATAATGTTTGACTTTTGAATAATTGTGTTTCAGATATCAGAGAATGGAATTTAGGGTTCCTCCTGAATTACGGAGTTATTGTGATGCCAATGCAACTAACAGGTAAGTCTTTTTCTATTTCTGCGGTGAACTCTTCCTACATTAATGACACAGCCTCCTGGAGATTTAAGCCTGAATACTCTCTATAGCATTCTAAGATTGTAGGATTGTATCATACATTTAGCATGATTTGTTAAGAAATTTGCAACTGAACCATTGGATTTATGCAGGAAAAAGTCTGATTATATGTTTTTTCTTTTCTTTGCTACAGCTCAAAGCCAAGCTGGAACGACATTTGTGCTTTTAAGTTATTTCCTTTCAAATGCCAAACGTTTCTGCAGTTGTTTGAACTTGACGACGAGTACATCCAGCGAGAGATAAGAAAGCCTCCCAAGCAAACTACTTGTAGCGTGAGTTCTCAGCTTAGCTTTTTTTCATGAAGTAAATACCCATGAATCGTGGTCTTTTGCCTGTTGGGTTAGAGATTAATCGCACACAAAGTCACGCATCTACGCCAATAGATAAACTTTGGCAAGTCCTCAAGTTTATTATCTGATTCGTTTCTTGTTTGCAGCATAAATCAGGATGGTTTTCTGAAGCTCTGCTTGATACTTTGAGACTCCGTGTAGCTGTGAGGTTTGTGTCTGTCTTTCCTGAGCCAGGTTTCGAAGATGTATTTAAATCCATTCAAGAAGAATTTGAGAGGTCAGAAAAAGTACAAAGTCAGAAAGAGACACTTAAACCATCTTTAGTGAAGCACCGGGAGGCAACTAAAAGTAAGATCATCAAAAAAATTGTGTGTATATCTCTTTTAGCGTTTAGAAGTCTAGTGAGTGCTTTTTGATATGCCTTTGCGTTTGTAGAGTATTATTCGGAGTTAATCAAGTCTTTAACAGAAACTCAGTAGACTCAAAAGATCATACTGCTCTATGAGTATATTAGATGCATATATATTATGTAGAAATTTGTGTAATAAGAATTCTGTAATGAGCTAAACTAATCTTGATACATATCACATGCTATGCTTCTTGTCGTTAGTCATTGAACATGTTTTCCTTGAAGACTCTGAAGTAACAGCTACTGACAGTATTTTAATTTGCAGGCTCTGAAGACATGGAAAAGTGTAAAAGTGTAAACGAAGATGTTGATGCTAATGTTAACGAGGATGGAGATGATGAAAATCTGGATGACGAAGATGATGATGAAGAAGAAGAAGAAGAAGTCGATATGGTAATATTACTGTTAAAGTAAAGTTTTGTTGTTTTCTTCATCCGCTAGGATTCACCGTTTCTCTGTTCCTCTTCTTTTGCAGGCTGCAGGAGACAATGAGATATCTCTCGGTTCCCATGGATGTATCCTTCAAAGTTTAGCGTTTTCTTGCATTGCAGGAATTAAGACCGAGAAATTAAGCTATGTGTTTGGTTCTAACACCCTTTTGACACTCTGTTTCTTTAGATTTTCCTATACCATGATAAGATCTTGATACTGAGAACAGCTCCAGGACGTATCTGCAAGGCTTGTTCGATAGTTTTCCAACCAGTGAACCTGGTTTATATGGAGACTTTGCTGTTGACGATGGGAGTGATGGAGAGTTTCAGATATACGAGGAAGAATCTGAGGGATTGTATTCCATTGATGATGACGACGACGATGATGATGACTGATGCGTAAAGATCATCATTCCACATCACAGGTACTGTTTCTTGTTTTCATCCATAATCTCGTGATTGGTGATTTTCACATTACCTTTTTGTTGTTTCGTTTGTGATGTTTCAGGTGAAGTATAAGGCTTTTGTTCTTATGAATCTTGGTCCAGAAATGACATCACCAGGCCTGAGCTCCATAAATTGGTTGCAAATTGCAACATAATGCTTAAAACTAAAATGTAACGTTTTAGGTTAAAATCTCAATTTTGTAAACGAATCAAAGGAAAATAATTGTTTCATCTCACAAAAAAACTCATTGTAAGTTACTAAGTTCTAACCATTACGATTTAGTGATTTACGCATATTTCACTGATGTTATTAGTGGTTCTATAGGACCCAAACTAAACCAAAAAAAACTTAGAGGTTATATTGATAAACATATTACTTAGATAGGGACCGAAAAATAAAAACACAAGGGACTTGAATGAATCAACTTAAGGGCAATTCCGGTAATTCACAAAAGTTAAAGGATAAAGTACAAACCCTAGTTTGAATTCTCACGGCCGACGTATCTCTCATCTATTAAGCTCCTCCGAGAATTGTTGGCTTCAGACCGAATCTTCTCCGGCGCTGTAGCGTTTCTCCGGTACGGAGTCTTTCACTTCTCTCTATCTCTATCTCTATCTCTTGCTCTCCCTCTCTCTATCTCAATCTCTCCGTTGTTTTCTCTGAATTTAGTTTCTGTGTGTTCTTGTTTGAACGTTGCGGGTCTTGTGAATTCGATGGTTTGGTGTTTCAATTTCGTTAATTGTACTGCTAAGTGTTGGTCCTTGGCTCTCTAGAGGTTATTAAACTTCGCTTTGGTCGTGGGTGTAGTTTTCTTGACTTCAATTATCTTTTATCTGTCGAATGTTCTTGAGTTGCTTAATGTGATTTTTGATTCAATTGGGAGGGTTTAGACTCTGTATTACTCTTAATTGTTAGAAAGATTCGGAATTGATGTAATTACGAAATTGTTCTTACTAAACTTCCCATGAACTATGAATTGGGAGATTTCTTTCTCCTGCAGAGTTTATAATGATTTTGTTGGTTCCATAGTTTTATCTATCCTCCTTACTGAGGAAAAATTCTTACTTCCAGGAGATTCTATGTAATGATGATTAGTGGGTCGATCTTTTATTTAAATAGTCGGTAACAGTGGAATTTTTGCTCTATGTTTGAAAGGAATAATGAATGTATGAGTAAGGAAGATGAACAAGGTTAGATGCATGAGTCTATGTTACATGATGTCATGACACATGCTTTCTTTATGATAGATGGCAAGCGCTTGGAACATGAGCATTGCAATGGTTCATAGGGATATAGAGAGGGATTGGGGAGATCAATGTGGACTTGTTTCATATTGTTTTTATTATTATTGGAGATTCATGGGAACCATCTGGAGAAAAATATATATTTCAAATTTTTAAGTAGCTTTTGGAGCACATTGGAGCAAATAAGCATTTGGAGCTTGTGGAGCACTGCTCTGACCGAGGATTGCTCTCACTTGGTTTGCTTCATATATATTTTGGTCTTACCATGTTTTTTTTTTTTTCATCTATCTCATCTTGATGCTGAGGCTATATGGAAAGCTGTTTGAGTGGAGGTTCTTTGACTATAGCAGTAAACTTTGGTCCGTTATTGATTAGTTTCCTTTGTTTCCCCATGTGCAGTTTCCTCTTTGGTTTATTTTAACCTTCGGAAACAATGAGTGGGCGATTTTCTCGGTCAATCTATGTTGGTAACTTGCCTGGTGACATAAGAGAACATGAGATTGAAGATCTCTTTTACAAGGTCAGTTTTTGGTTATTTGTTTGACTCAATCACGTGTTCTCTATTGAATCATTATCCCTATAAGACAAAATGAAGATTCTTGAGCCTCTTTTGTATTGATATTTAATGCTCTTGTTTGCAGTATGGCCGCATTGTCGATATTGAATTGAAGGTTCCACCTCGGCCTCCATGTTATTGCTTTGTTGAGGTAAGTGTATTTACTTACATTACATGTTCCTAACCAAATTTATAAGTTTTAGTTTCACTCAACCAAGTTCTGTTGAATGTTTGTAGTTTGAGCATTCCCGGGATGCCGAAGATGCCATCAAGGGCCGTGATGGCTATAACTTTGATGGCTGTCGCTTGAGGGTAATCAGTTACTTCCTTGCTATTTTTTCAGCAGACAAGATGGGCTTATGCTTCACATGTCCTGAACAGAAGAGTCCAAACTTTTCTGGCTGCTTCACATTACCTTTTGATGTTTTTTTTTTTATTTGTAATAGTTTCTAATCATTATGAATGCAGGTTGAGCTTGCCCATGGTGGTCGAGGACAGTCTTCAAGTGATCGTCGTGGTGGCTACGGTGGTGGTGGCGGCGGCGGCTATGGTGGTGGAGGTGGTGGTGGTGGATCAGCTCGGTTTGGCGTCTCACGACACTCTGAATTCCGAGGTTTGTGTTACTTGCTGTAAGAAGTTGGTATTGATAAAATTTGGTTTCACTTCACTTCTTCTGATTCTTGGATGGCTTTTTACAGTTATTGTGCGTGGGCTCCCATCATCTGCTTCATGGCAAGATTTGAAGGTCTGATGACACAATGTTTTGCTTGAACATTTGTTTGTACTCCCTAGTCTTGTTTCTCATATAAAATCCATTTTTTCAGGATCATATGCGGAAAGCTGGTGATGTGTGCTTTGCTGAGGTGACTCGAGACAGTGATGGTGCGTTAATTTACACTTTCTCATGCATATTTTCTTAGCAATATCTTACTTTTTCAGCTCTGAGCAGTGTTTTGTTTGGGATATTATAGTTATGTTTTTCTCTCACAACATGACTATTTTTAATAATATGATCAGGAACTTATGGTGTTGTCGACTACACCAATTATGATGACATGAAGTATGCTGTAAGTGAACTATATTCTTCTCTCTTGCTGTATTGCATGCTATGATTTGTATATTTACTGATTTTCAAAAGTTGTGATTTCAGATAAGGAAACTTGATGACACAGAGTTCAGAAACCCCTGGGCTAGAGGTTTTATCCGGGTACCATTTCTCTGTGCAGTCTTTTTTTGTTTGCCCTTTTTGACCATAATGAACAGATTTTATGCATTCTGATGAAGCGGTTCTTGACAAGGCCAGATATAATGTTCAATTGCAAATACGCTTCTATAAGTAATGAACAGGGGACGGGTTAAACTAAGATTTGAAAGATAGAAGTAGAATTCACCTTTCTTAGGTTTTAGTTATCTCAAGTCACTCAACAATTTACTTTGGTTGATGCTTCATTCTCTCCCCTCCCATTCATAAAACATCTGTGACTTTCGTAGTCTCTATTGGTTGGGCAAGAAATTGATGTTGACTCATTTAAAATCATGATTTCACAAGTTTATATTCATGTTATGTCTGTGTTTTCTGCTCATATGCAGGTTAAGAAATATGAAAGCTCCCGATCAAGAAGCAGAAGCCCAAGCAGAAGCAGAAGCAGAAGCAGAAGTCGAAGTCGTAGCCGAGGCCGTGGTCGCAGCCGTAGCCGCAGCCGCAGCCTTAGCAGAAGCAAGAGCCCAAGGAAGGATCTGAGGTACTATGTTTGTTATCAATGAACCTTATATATCTCCCATTTTCAACAGCTAAAAATGGAGTTGTGTGTTTATCAATCTTTATTGCAGTAAATCACCAAAACGATCCCTTTCCAGATCGATTTCAAAATCAAGATCGCCATCTCCCGACAAGAAGAAGAGTCCCCCCAGGCAAGTTCTCTCCCTTTTTTTGTGTGTTCTCTCTCTCACTGGCTTGGTATTTTTATTAGCTCTTTTATTTCTCCTGTAACTAATATGATTTGTTTTTCTTTACCGATTCAGGGCAATGTCGAGATCAAGGTCCAGGTCCAGGTCCAGGTCTCCGTCCAAATCTCCTCCCAAGGTAATTTAGCAATGTGTTTTTGAAAATATACCAAGTTATAGGCAAAACACCAAACAGACAATCTAAAACAATCTTTTTTCTCAGGTTCGTGAAGGCAGTGTGTGATTTTGTTAGGCGGTGAAAAGAAAGAGTGCGAAAATTCTCAAGTCAAGATCCATTCTATGTGTTTTTTACTGTTTTCGGATAATTGACATCTTCTGCTGTTCTCTGCTTCTTTGCTCACAAATGATAATCTTTATACTATTCTCTCTTGTTATGTTATGAATGCTTCCGTGAACATTACCATACCTTTGAGTTTTGTATGGTTCGACCTGTTCTTGTTTAACACTATAAAGTCCTAGCGAACCCAGATTTCTTATCATAATTATGAAATAATTTGTTTGAAAATGGCATCAGATTAATGTAAAGTCCAGTGCGATGTTCAAAATATAAAAACTAAAAGGTCCTCCTAAATACGAAACATGGTAGTAAAAATTAACTATTTTAAAAGAGATATCATAAGAGTATCATAATATGTATTTTTTGGATAAATAGAGGCTAGCTATATATATGTAAGATCCCCAACTTAGAAACAAAACAAGATGTTATAAAGTCTTATGAAGCCATAATCGCTTCCATAGGCCTCACATCTTCTATATGGTCAATAAATGTGTAAACATTCCGACCCTTAATTAAAAGCTTCCATCCCTTGGATTTTGATTCTCGTAATAGTCTTCCTCTTCATATTGTAATAAAAAATGTAGAAAGGATCATATAAACCGCGTGATGCCAACACAATTTCACCATTACGAGCCATCCCGACAATATATGACCGGTAGTTTTCAACTAAATTCACCCACAAAGGTGGTAACATGTAGTAATGTCTCCACCATTTATGTTCCTCGACATCATCTAAAACCCAAAACTCAATGCATGTAGTCGCTCTATTAAACATTCCATCTGTATCAGTGATAAGGGCACCTAATTTTCCCTTGTAATTTATCAGAGTCCGAAGCGAGAACTGGATCTTGACAGCTTCATAATCATTAATAGTAATAAACTTGAACTTTTCAGACCTAACGTAACGTCAAAGCGAACTATCATCAACTGATTCCCCATAGCTTTATAATACAAATGCCCATTGATGCATATCCCAACACATTTAGGAGTACGAGGAATAGAACATTCAAAACCATTCTCCATAATAATCTCCCTCCATTTTCTAACGTCAAAACTTGATGCTTTCGAGTTGACACACACAACACCTTATATTGTTTTTCGATCGGATCATACACAAAGTAGGGTTTCTTCATTTCAGTGCTCTCATTTGTCGTGTTGGGTAAGGTTATGTACTCTCCAGTGCTAGGGTTACATATCATGATCAGATTCCTATCTTTATTACATAGCAATCCGTAGACAGGAGGTAAAACCTTAAAAAACTGTAAGGAACCAGGGAAACACATGTATTCGACGCTAAAAAACTGTAAGCGGCAGCTAATGAGTCAAGTTCCGACAAATATTCGACGCTCAAGTCAGAAAACAGAGCAAATGTAAGAAAGACCACAGGAGAAGTGGAGAAAGTGAGAAAGGGTCGAAAAACGGGTAAAGGGAAAAAAATGGGTCCACGGTGAATTTTTCAATTGGTTAGAGAGATTTTTAGGGTGGAAAATAGAGAAAAAAAACAAATGTTTAGAATTGCGAGGAGAATTGTATGTTGTAGAGTTGTTCATATAGTCGTTCATCATAATTCCCATGTATTACATGTGGTTAAATTCTATCAATCGATCATCATTTGTAAAAAGATTATATCAAACATAGATTGTTTTACATGTATTTTGATGGTTTCAATCTCTATATGGTTACTATACCCATAATCAGGCCTGCCCATAATGTTGTCACATTAATGGTTACTTTGTTTTAAGATGCATGAGGCACCACTACCTTTTATCCAATTTTCCAATCGATATGAACTCTAGATTTCAAGGCACGAGGGAAATGATAAGAGTGAAAAGTAAATGACTGAATGTTGATGAAATAGAGTTGAGATGATAAATCAAATAACTTCAAATAAAAATAACTTCTTCATGAAGAGACAAAGCGGCTGTGCACAATAAAGATCCACTACAAGAAATACAGCGTTTTCCTACGGCCAAAAACGTAGGAAATTGGTAGGAAACGTCTGTTTCCTACCAATTTCCTACGAAAAATATTTGAAGGGAATCGCCCGTAGGAAACAGAATTTGGTAGGAAATTCGTAGGAAATTTCCTACGAAATTTATTCGTAGGAAATCGCGTAGGAAATTTCGTAGGAAATTGGTAGGGCCGTCTTCACCATTTTCCTTCCAAATTTTCGTAGGAATTTTTATCCTTCAAATTTCCTACGAAATATTTCTCACTAATTACCTACCAAATATTTGGTAGGAAATTTGGTAGAAAAAGACTATGTTTTCTTGTAGTGTATTCTGTTCCAAGTCAAGGTTTAGTTATGTTCTAGTGATTTTGTTATTACAGACCACCTCTATTGAAGGGTTCTTACATAGAATTCTAAACAATTTTGATCTACAAAATAATAATTAAAATATTAGAGGGGTTCTCAAAAGAGGAAATAAGGTATCTAAGTTTCTCATTTGAGAATTGGGAAAAAGGCGTCTCTTAAGGATTCCTTGCATGTTGTCATTTGATGACGCATTGGCTACCGTAAAGAAGGAAAATAAATGTTGTAAGTTATTATATGATTACCCAACTTCTTCATGAAGAGACAAAGCGGCTGTGCACATAAAGAGGAGTATTAGACTTTGAAGTTTAAACAACTTCAAAGTATTGGTAGGTACATTTTCAACAAAACATAAAATAATCATCCAATACCTTACAATCAGGTTGACAGAAGAGGAAAACTGAACAATTGCTAACTAACTACATGAAGAGACTGTATTTGTAAAGTCTTATATATGAAGTCCTAAACACTTAGATGTGCTTCACATTCTCTACATGGTCTATAAAGGTGAAAATCTCTGAACCCTTACGAGATCCAAGACCTTGGATTTCAACTTTTATGACTGTGTTCCTCTCCACATTGTAGCTCAAAACGTAGAAAGGATCAGACGATGGAAAATATGAAGAGAACACAATTTCACCACTGCGAGTCATCCCAACAACGCATAAAAAATCCTCTTCTGCAACTAAATTCTTCCAAATAGGCGGGAATATGTAGATATGCCTCGACGACCATCTTCCTTCTTCGGGATCATCTAATACCCGCAGCTCAATACTTTCCGTTCCTCCGGAAACAATACTTTCAGCTATTCCGGAATATAGATTCAAATAAAGCACACCTAATTTATCCTTGTAATTTATCGGAGTCCTATTCCACTTATTCTCACTATTAACTGGTGGAATAATAAACTTGAACTTCTCAGACCTCAAATCAAAGCAATCTATGGATACCAAGACTCGTCCCTCAGCTTGAAAATACAAAACTCCACTTATGCAAATCGCACAACATGTAGGAGAAACATAATCACGTCGTACCCTATAACATTCAATATTTCTCCATGACAGTTTACCCGTACCTAATGTCAGAACCTTGGCTTTTTGAATACGGGATTTTTCACTAACTAGCAAGCACAATACCTTGTACTGTTTCCCGACTGGATCATACCCAAAAAAGATTCTCATTTTAGACTTCATCCATGTCGGATTGGGTAAGGTTTTGTACTCTCCTGTACTAGGGTTACATATCTTCAAACCCCTATCTCTATTACATATCAATCCACAGACAGGTGGACAAATCTCATGGGAACAATCTCTGGTGGGGAAACACATGTGATAATCGGCTGTTAAGTTCTGGTCGGTAGTTAGAGCCTGAGGTGTCGAGAAGAAGACCCACTTACCGTTGAGATGGAAGGTGAACAAAATACGAGGACTAGTCGAGTAGTTGGTGAGGTCACGGCTGAGAACTGAAGCCCATTGCTTCGACACGCAACGACACCTTGCTAGGTCTTCCACTGGCAAACTCGAGACTATCTTAATCAAGAGATCATTTGGGATCTCTGAGAAGAAAGATGGTGTATTACAATTTTGTCGGGAGATTGTTAAACCCATTGAGATATACTCACAACGACTCTGGCTCTAATACTTGAGATAGATTTTTTCTTTTTCTAGTATGCAGGCAAGAAATGTTTTCTCTGTGTTATTTCACATAACGGCTGATATTTTATACAATGAATTAACCTTAATTGAAACTCTAATTGATATATTAACAAAAAAACTAAGGACTTGTTATTGGTATATGATTTAAATAGTGCTTTAGTGACTTTAAATGTTAGGTAGAATCTGTTGTTATTCAATCAAAAATTTATTAAAGGTAGGTGTTATTAGTTTTTGATTTGTAAAAGGTCTTTTAAATTTTTTATAAATTTGGGATTATTAGATTCAGAATTTTTTAAAGTCAACAAAATTTTGTGTTATTCAACTAAAGAAAAATTCTTGGACTGTTAATGAATTAAATTATTATGTTATTGGTTTATGATTTTATATATTTTTCACAAAATAATTAAAATCATGAAAAGTATCATTAAAATACAATCTCTCTATTCATATATAATACAATATGGCCAATGGCCCAATAATAATGACAAATCTTGTAAAGTAAATCAAACCAAATACTTGTTTGAAGCAAAACATATAAATTAATTAATAAATATTATGTAGTAATACATGATCTAATAGAAATAAAACTTCATGGGCTAGATCTTAGATTCAGATACCATTTCTCTTTATCGTTTTTTTATTTTTTTTAAGTTACAGTTTGCCAAAAGGGTGTGGAGCTTCAGACCACCCCAAAAAAAATAAAAAGAGCCACTGAAACTAATAGAGCAACTATGATTAGGTGTTGGAGGTTACATGTTAGTAAACTAAAGGGATAAGAGATTATTGTAGAGCTAGCTAATAACAATGTGTAACTTATGTTTATGTTGATGATCCAAAATAGGGGTGAGCGTACCGTTTTTCGGTTTGCTTCGCTATTCAATTGAGGCGTTTGAACCCATTACCGCAAGAGGATGATGATCAGCCAATTAATAAATATCAACCATTTCACGAAGGGGAGGCACTGAAGAATAACACGTACGTATGTAATGAGATGCCCTAGTTTACAAACTTTGATGGAACTGGTAGTTGGTTTAGGTGGAGCAGTCCAGAAAGTAAAAGCGTGTTTATGCACCGGAACCAGTGGCGGAGGCAGGGGTTGGGGGTCAGTTGACCCCCATGAATTTTCAAAAATCTATTATATGTCATGAGCAATAATTCTAATGACCCCAACTTATAATAAATTTTGACCCCAATACAAAATTAATGTTGCAACTTAAAAG